ATTCACAAACATTTTAATAAAAAGTTTTGAAAAGCATTTATAAATATAAATAATAACAGAAGTTCTTTTCTAATGTTTCTATGAGACATAAAAAGCTTGTTATGGTTACATATTTTCTTCACACAGAATTCTCTATAAGAGAGAAATGTAAATTTCAATCAAAAATCTTTTAAATACTTTCACGTGCCTATATTTGAAAAGAATTTTTCTTCCTTCTTGGTGGAGGACATTTTCGCATATTTAATCGTTTTAAATGTTGATTCTCAAGATAAGCTGAATTTTTCTACTTTGCCAGCTTCAAATATTTTTTCAAGCTTTTAGGGTTACATTAACTCTCATGAGGCACGAGAGAGCTTTTGATTTTCATTACCAAATATTATAGACACGTTTTCATGTACATAATAGGATCATGTCACTAATTAAAATCTGTCTACAATTCTGTCTGACTTGTTGCCATAAAAGCAATTTGATATTACAGTGGAACTTCGATAAACAGATAGCTCAAGGGGAATCAGTTTATCAAGGTTCAGAGTTGTGATTTGGCATGTCAATGTCAGTCAGTCAATCGAGTTGAGCGTGCAATTTGCCCATCTCTGTCAAGGTTATCAGTTAATCGAGGCAATCTTTGATAGTAATTCGATTCAAGGGGGACAAAAAATATTTGTTTATCGAGGCAACTGTCTATCGAAGTTCCACTGTATTTCCTATTTCCTTTGCAATATCACTAAGCAGTAAGAAAGTGAAGTTTAACGAGATTATTTTATTCACAGGTAATGGATTGATAGATGAAACAGAGTTTCTTCAATGGATTGCCAGAATACAAGCATTACGTGAAACAGAAACAACCGCCGAAGATGATGATTTGACACAAGATTTGGTGGCTGCATTTCGGTAAGCGATTTTAATCCGTTATTTAACTTGGATAATTTCATCGAAAGAATTCTTTCCATTTCAGTGTCTTTGATAGAGATAGCAATGGATACATAACACTTGATGAACTACAAAGAGCGATGCAAATGATCGGTGAGAACGTTTCAGATGCTCAATTAAATGAAATGTTAACATTAGCAGATCTGGATAAGGATGGAAAAATAAATTATGAAGGTGAGTTGAGGAATCGCATTTATTAATTTTATTAACTTTTTTTTCTTTTTCTTCATTTTAGAGTTTGCGAGATTGCTTTTGTAATCTTCAAAAGGTTAAAAACACTCAAATGCTAATCATAAGAATGTAAAATTTAATCGTTAAACATTTTTGTAAATCCCAAATAATTTGTTGATAATTTTATTTTGCTGTAAGAAATAATTTATCGTCTATCCCCGTTTTAAATGAAAAATGAAAGAAATCAATAAAACATCCAATAAGATGTTGATTAAATCTTTTTGTCATTGAATATTTCTCTTCTTGTTAAGCTTGTTGTTAGATTTTAATACAAAGAAAGAAAAAAGAATGAAAAACATGAAACGAAATTTTAAATTCGATTTATGTTCGAGTCAGAAATAAAATTAATAACTTTGATGAAATGATAAAGAAAGTTTTTAGATTGTTGAATGAAAAGTTATTTAATAAATTTGTTTCAGAATTTTTAAACGCAACGATCGAGAAGTTTTCCATTCAATTTTCATTATTGAGCTATTTTCTGCTTCTCTTGTCAACGTCTCGTGAACAATGAACGCAAGAGATTCAATCAAAAAAATTCGTATTTCCGATTATTTTTTCTGAAATCAATTTGAAGTTAAACAGCAAATCTAATTAATTAAAGCAATTGTAAAAATTTCACTCAATTACACGCATTTCAATCAAACTTCGTTCCATTTTAGTTTATAAAGAAGAAAATTCATTTAGGAAAATTTCAGTTCGTTTCAATCAGTTTCTCAAAAAGTTTAGGATGAAATTTCTTTTCATGACTTTTATTTTATTGAGCTTAATTTTTTCAATAGAAATTTTCAAAGCATCTGCTCAATTTATTGACCCGATAACTCCAGTTGTTGAATCTTCTTCTGTAAGTAGACCTGTTGGTTCACCATCAACTTTCAATCCTTACACAACATTATCAACTTCATATCATTCATTTCGTGATGAACAGAAAGAGAAAGAAATAAATTAATATTTAATTTTAATGTTATTATGAATAAATTCAGCAATATCAGACGAAATCACAATCAAGAAATGTGCAACCAAATGATCAACTTTCAGAGCAATTACAAGATGAGCCTCAAAAATCACAAAAATCTCAAACACCAGAAAACCAACAAAATAATCAAAATCTAGCAAACTTAATAGCATTAACAATATCTGAATCAACACAGCTCAATGATCAAATAAAGAATGACTTTGCAAGTCTACATCCACAGTTTTCTTTACGTGATGCATCACAAGGTAAATTGAATCATTTTTGAAATTTTTTGATTATTATTTTATTTTTTGAGTCATTATTGTTTCTTATAAGATATTCCAGACGGAATGGAGCAATCACGAAATGGTGCACAGCCAATAACCCTACAGTTGTTGTGTACTCGTGGATATGATTCAAACTGCGCTCCATCACAATCTTACCCTGGGTATCAAACGAATTTTATTTCAAGATATTGGAATAAAGAAGGCAGAGGATATCACCCAGCAGACTACAACTCTAAGCATGACAGAGTCGGACCGTTTCAACTTTTTGATGAAAAGACAGATCTAAAAGTTCAAGATGATGAAACTATGATAAATGAAGCAACACATGATGAATTCGCTGATGATTTTCCTGAATAAAACTGTAAACTTTAAGTGACGAGTGCCTGTTGCCATCACTGACATGAATAAAATTTAATCAATGAAATTTAGATTTAGTCAAATCAACGAGACATAAATTTTTCCATCTGTCGCCTTATTGTTTAATTTTCCCTTAAAATTTCAGTGTCAGTTTCAATAGAATTTAATGAAGATTTCTGTCTAATCTAAAATAATAACGAAAACCAAATCGATTACATTTAAGCAGAATAAAAGTAATTTTTTTCTCATTGTCGATTTTATCAGAGAAGATTCCAGGAATAAAATGACAGAACAAAAGAATTGAAATTTTCTTCTACAATAAAATATCTTTAAGATGAATCTACAATAACAGTAATTGAATTTTAATAAATAACATATCTAATTCAAAGACAAAGAAGGCGGTTCTGATAATAATTGGAGATTAATATGTACAAAAAGAAAATAAATTGGTGAGTTGAAACTCTGAATAATTTTACTCTTAGATATGAAAAATTAAACTTTAAGAATTTTCTCTGTTTTCAGTTTATTTATTTGAGATAATTTGTAGTTTGTTTGAAATAATTGGCGGGGATGTTAGCAAAACATTAGAAATCAAATTCAAAAAAGTTACGATAATAACCATTAAGAAATAAAGTTAATGGTAAATAAAATTGGTTAAATAATTTTTCCGCTTGCGAATCAATTTTAACAGCTGGAAAAATCTTCAATTTCATATAAAAATTACATTTTTAGATGCCTCAAATTTAATTTTATTTCTATCAAGTTGTGTTGGTTCGAATTTGAGCTTTCAAGTGTTCAAACTAGAATTTAAAAAATAGAACAAGGAAGCACGAAATTTGGAAAAAAATAACTTCAACGTTTGATAGAAACTTAATTTTTTATCATAAAAGCTTTCATGCTTTTAAATTTGTTTCTAGGGAAATTAATCTTTAGAAACGAATACAAACTTCAATGTTCATTAACAACAGTTCAACTTAAATTTTCAATTCATTAATTTAATTGCCCACTAAATGCTTTCAAATAACTAAATAAACATTTTAGAAGATTTTGTTACCTTGAAGTTTTCGTAGTCAAGCCAACTTAGAAAATCGTTTCTAAACTGTTTGGATTCATCACTTAGGCAAAGAAGATTTTGAAGTTTCAGTTTATAGGTCTGACATTCATTTTTTACTGAAGGTTTATCAATCATAAAACGAAGGGCTTGAATGGAAATCTCTTGAAGATTCTGACTTTGCTTTGTTTGTGCATTTTTCACAAGAAGTCGTGTAAGATTTCTCCAAGGAATTGTTGGATTTGTTAGAATTTCTTCACTTAACAAGCAATTTCGAAAACATTTCAATGCATTGATTTTAATGTCTTCATGTTGTGAATCCTCAAGTAAAATTGGAATCAACACAAATATCAAGTCACATTCTTCAGCTAGTTTAATTCCTTGCTTACAACTTGTCAATCCTTTTAAGCAATGCAACATTATCGACGTCATTCTACTACTTTTAATATTTTTGATTAATATTTGAAAAAGATTTTCATTTGCGAATAATTCTGGGGATCTTGCAATGAACTTTCCAAGAATACGTTGCTTCAAAACATGGCGTTGATTCCATTGCAAGTTTTGTCAAGTTAGACACGAACCAGAAGTTTTCTTCTAAAATTTTATCGATTTCTGAAACATTGGAAAATTCCGATAAACATTCTTCAAAGAAAACACAAAATGAAAACTTTAATTACTCAGTGTGTTTGAAGTGAGGCTTTGTAAGACTTTGTTTGCAGCAGAAGAAGACATTTCATCTCCAAAGAGATTCAAAAAATTTATCAACAACTTTTTATTGTTGAGAATTTCAATTGAGCAGTGAAAGTCATTTGACAAAATCTCAAGGAGCTCAAGGAGTTTTATTTTTGCTTTGACACTCAAAAGCTTCTTTTCTCTTTGTAAAAGTTCCAACAGCTTAAATATGATTTTTCTTGGAAAGAGCTTTTCGATATTACTTGGGTGTTTTAATTGATCACAGAGCAGTGTGATTGAATTACAAATTAAAATTTTGTTACTAGATGAAAGATTTTCCATCTGAAAGGAAATTATTGTTGCCATAAGATGCCTCAAATAAAAAATTCAAAGAATTTAAGCTTACAAGAATCTCAAGGCCAATTGGTTTGAAACCTAGACAATTGTTTTCATTTAATTCCTTTGTTTGTTGAATAATTTCCATTTTATTTTCTTTTAAAGGATCTTTCAAGAATTGGAAAAATGTTGCATTCATTGCCTTTTGAATAATTTTGTCACTTTGACGAGACTTTGGCTGGTTTCTCAATAAAAAAGAATTTTGAAAGTTGTTGGATTGCAACATTTTTAAAAATTTTAAGTAAAGATTGAAATAATTTCATTGCTTTTTGCGATCATCAGAATTGTTTTTATTAATTTACTTCAGTTAAAATTTTTTCTTCTAATTCATTTTTATTTAATTCTTCAGTCTTTGAAGTTGTCTTCGTTTCGTCATTATTCATGTCTCTTGCGTTTCGTATTTCATGAGTCGATACTGGTCGAAGAATAAAGTGAGCGATGCACGTTACAAGAGCGATGATTGAAAAAATTTGAAAGCTTTGCTTGCCTCCAATTTCCTGATATAAAAATCCACCAAAAAGTGCTCCAATTGAGAACCCCAAACCATCATCCATTCCTGCTACTAAACCTTGAATTGTTGCCGATGTTCCAGGTGGTGAAATGACAGATGCGTAAGCTTTAGTTGAAATAAAATTTACTTTAACTTTAAATACATTTGAGAGAAAGCAAAACTCACCAACGATGCAAGTGTAACATAAAGCATAAGTACAGCCTTGCATCAGCAATTCAATGATGACAAGATACCAAGGATTTGTAATTAATGAAATGAGGAAGAGTCTCAGAGCATAGCAGGAAAAGCAGAAAGTCATGCAATGAATGTATCCAAGTTTTTTAATAATCTTCCCCGAAATAACGAAGAATAAAACTTCACCAAACACACATTCAGCAGCGACGACCATTCCTTCAATAAGTTTGATATGATCTTTCATTCCTGTTCGTTCGGCAACTTCTTCAATATGCCAAAACATGTAATAGAAGATGAACGCATCAAAAATTCCAGCAATTGTTGCAAACATTAAAAAAATTGCTATTTTCTTGTTACGCAAAAGTCTTCCAACATCTTTTGTGATTGATTCAGATGATGAAAGTTTTGGAAGTTTTAATTTTTTTAATATAAAGAGATCAATAAGTGCAAATGCCAACATTATTATAATGGCAGGTGTGAAGTTGTTTGTATTTAAATCAACAGTATAACCAGCAAGAAGTGAAGTCAATCCAAAGCCAATAGAACCATAAAGTCGTTGCTTTCCATATTTTGTTTGTCTCTCTTCACCAAGAACGTCGAAGCAGATTGCATCGCTTATACTGTTACCAACATTAAATCCAATTGTTCCTAAATATGTTAAAAAGACAAACGCCCAGAATATCCACGTTTTATAGAAGCAATTTGGAGCTTCAGTATCTTGTGACGTTTTACATTCGAGAATCGAAGGTTCAGGAAAAGTGAGATTTGTACTGACATGGCAAAGAATGTCTTCTCCATTCAATTGGATGACTTTGAAACTTGTAACGTTTGTTGGACTTGAACATGTTACGAAATGAAAATTAAAGCATTTTTCGACATGCAAGCTTGTCTGTAAGTAAATTATTTAACCGAGTAATTGTCAGTTTAGTTCATCGAATCCATCAATGAATTGAATTTACCCAATAATCGCAATGATTTATTTCTGTAACATTCAACTTAAGTCTGCTGGTTTGATGTGGAAGAAAGATGTAACATGCAAAGGAGACTGTCATAACCGTAATTATCGACATAAAAATAAATTTTCGAGCTTTCTGTGGAAAGAAAAAAAATATTAAAAGTTCTCGATAGAATTTAATTCTTACCATAAAGTAATCCGCCATCAAGCCAATCAAAGGCTTTGCAATAAAGTAAAGTATCGGTAAAATAGATAGCAAAATACCTGTTCAAAGTCAAGGCAAAAGAGTAATTAAACTTCAAGAGAAGTGATAATTTTTTTCAATAAATATTTACCCATAACAGACGGGGAAATGCCAAGTTGTCGTCCGAATACGTTGATTTGTGGAAGTATGGGGCCTAAACCTGTTTATTTTATTTTAAAAGATATAATTAAAAGACTATGCAAATATGGCAACGACTGAGAAGTTCTTACAAGCCATGAAGAAGAAATAGTGCGCCTTTATTGGAACCAACTGCTTGTTGACCGTGATCTTCATGATTGAGTTATGAGTTTGCTGTGCTGTGGTTAAATAAATATAAAAGAACAATTTAAACTCATTAAAAATTCCTAAGTGGCCATAAAGACCCGTGAGAAATTCTTTGAACGAAACAAAAAATAATCTCCAAAGCTTTTTTAAAGATTTTTCATCTTCATCATAGTTGAAAGAACTGCTTTTTGGGGATCTCCAAGCGTCATACAAAAAAACAACAAAGAGATCAAATTTTGAGAAGAAATCGAGAGTGAAATGTTGTGTAGAAAAAAATTTATTTCATTGCGCTCAGTGTTTCGTTAGCCATTCTACTGACCAGACGCAAACATAGACAGTTAATCTTTAAAGCCGGTTGTTTAAACGATTATTGATTCTTCTTTTAGTTTCAAATTTTCAAGCATATTTTAAAATTTTTGAAGAATATTTAAAGGTCAAAAATTGTGCGTTTATTAGACAATAGAAGAATTATCAATAAAGTTTTGAGAAGTTTTATAAATGTCTGTTCAGTAAAAAAGAGAAAATGAAGTGGAGACATAAACAAAGTTCTAACAAAATAAACGAGTAAGAGATAAGGTGAATCAAGAAGAATAAAAAAACATTTGGGAGCATTCAAAGTGATTTAAAAATAAAAACAAATATCAAAGGCAATCAACTATATCAAATAAAGCAAACAAATTTTGTTAGAAATTATGAAATCAAGAAAGATTAGCGACAGTTTTGCAATAGTTTTGGTTCACCTTCTGATATTTTATTCTTGCATAATTAAATGCTTTGGAAAAGACTCGTATGCTTACACAAAAGATACTTCAATTACGAAGAGTGAAAAGCGTAAGTAAATCAAAAATTAATAATTTAAAGGCTAAATGGCGCCAATAAGGTGATTAACATTTTTGAAAATTTATTATAATCCACCTTGAACTACCTATTTAAAATTCATTAAGAAACGTCAACAAAATTGGGATTTACCAGTTGTGGAAATGAATATAAATACATATGAAATCATTTTAGTGAGAATTTGCATTGTCGAGAACCGGGGATCTTTTCATCGCACGGAGAAGTTTTGTCCAACGCTTGAAAAACAAACAAATATTGAATGCATTATCGGCGTTGATCGTTCAGACTGCGCGAGAAGAATTAGCAAAGGCTACGCACACTTTGGCGTTTTTTCAAGTGAAGATTTGGTTGGCGCCAGATGGGCTAGCTTAGAGATATTAGTAACAAGCGAAATACGTTTTCATTCCGAACCATTCGAATATGGTGTGGTTGTAGTTGTAGACAATGAAGCGAACATTCACTCAGCAGCTGATCTCAAGAGTTCTCATCTTTGTCATCCCGGCAAAGGTTTAGACAATAATTGGAATGACATTATTTCTGATTATCTGGAAAATGTTATGGTTGCCAGAGGATGTGAGACTGAAATAACGCTTCCAGAGTCAAGAATAAAAGCAACAGCTAATTATTTCGCTGAAAGTTGTAAAGCCGGTCCCTGGGTTAATGATCCAATGCAAGATAAAAAATTAAGTACGAAAGATAGAAACAAAACCTGATGTCTGAGTAATAAACCATTTGATTTACGATTCATATTTCAGAAGCTAAATATCCATCATTGTGTTCACTTTGTTACAATCCTTCAGTGTGTGGTGTTGGAGATAAGCATTGGGGTCGTCGTGGTCCACTCTATTGCTTAACAAGTGGATCAGGAGAAGTGACGTTTTAAATTTTTTTGCGCTTGTCTCGATATTTACTCACTAAAAATATTTCTTTTAATTTATTTAGATTGCTTATGTTCGACTAGATGACGTAAAAAGTTTCTTTGGATTCACGGGATTAACACCAGAGAGTGATCCAAATAATTACAGTTATTTGTGCCCTGACAGTCACCTTCAACCGTTAAATGTTGAAAATCCTTGCACTTGGATCGATAAACCTTGGTCGGTGTTAGCAGCAAAAAGATCGCACGCTCAAAAGGTGCAAGAATTATTCAGAGAAATCGACGTGACAATCGAATGGCAACAAGCACTTCTTCAACTTTTAGAATCTTATCACGTAAACATTACGAGTTTAGACTTTCCCATAACAATTGATGATTATTTGGATAAAAGTTCCGGTTATCAAAGTGCTCATAGTTTTCCAGCTTGTTATCCCCCAAGACAGATCGTTTATTGTACCACAAATTTAATAGAGTTTAGCAAGTGCAGTTGGCTTCAAGAGATTTCAACAGTTTATGGTATTGAACCGAACTTTCAATGTATAAGAGGAGAAAATTTATTTCGTTGCCTTGACGATGTTGCTAAAAATGTTGCTGACTTAGTTCTGGTTGACCAAGACGCAAGGTTGAAGAGTGAAACGGATTTCAATTTGACATCTATTTTATACGAGTTCTCAATGGAATTTGAAAAAAATTACGTGACAATTGCCGTTGTTAAAGCTGAATCATCGTTCCAAACACTTTCAGGTGCTAAGACAATGCCACGAAAATGGTTTTGTAAAATATTAAAAGAAACTTTTTATTTTTTCTATAGATTTGGAAGGAAAGGTAGCTTGTTTTCCTTCATCTCGTGGTGCCTCATTCTCATCAGTATCGGAAACATTAAATAGATTAAATCTTATTCCAAATAACTGTTCAAGTTCGGTAGAAAGATTTTTCTCAAGGAAATCTTGTTTTGGAAATCAAAAGTCAAAATATTGTAAAAATAATTTCGTGGGTGAAGATGGGCCATTAAGGTGCTTAAAAGATTATGGTGATGTTGCATTTATGAACTTGGAAGCTTTCACAAATTTCACTGGTAAGTTTTTTGGCAAACTATTTTTAACTTTAATTGATTTCTAATAATTCTGCAGCTCAAAATAAAAATATTAAGGAATTTAGGACTATATGTCCTTTTCAAAATGTAAATAAATATTTGAAATCAAGTGATATCTGCTACTTAAGTTGGACCTCAAAAGGAGTATTATTAACAAGTAAGGATAAAAGTCAAATGAGAATCAACGAGATTGTAAATGCGCTTAAAACAATGGACAATCACTTTGGAAAACATAAATTCCGATCAGGAAACATACCTTTCACACTCTATGGACCATTCGATCAAAAGAATAATGTTATTTTTAGAGATGCAACTGATATGCTTAAGACAAACTTTGAGTTTAAAAAAACAAGTTTTGAGAGAAACTCAGAAGATTATTTCGACTCTTTAATAGAAAATAATCAATATTGTAACAAATCTGGGTCAAAATGTGTTCTTAGTGGTATATTGAGTTTGATAACAGTATTATCAGTGCTTGTGAAATTAAATACTTAGATAAAAGTAAAATGTATGTTTATTTACATTGTAAGAAACAAAATAATAAAACCGTTATAAATTTAAATATTTTACCCCTTAGTTTTCTTACCCCTTCACTTTGTTTACGTCCGACAAGTTGATAAAAATTGCTAAGAGTAGTAAAAGTTTTTATAAAATTTTATAAACTTTATATTGGATAATAATCATCTCCTAGAACTTTCAAGTCATGTTAAAACACAATAAAGTGAGTGTGAAAGTATTGACTAATTAATGAAAGATTTTTTAATTAGATAACTTTGTTACACAGCACGAATTTTCAAAAAATAATGGCACTGAAAATTTTAAAACTTCACGGTATTCTCAAACTGCACCAACACATATGACGTAATGAATGTTTTTATGTTTTTTATTAGCATTCATTTAATTATTTTTATTCGAAAAGACCACGAAAACAGCTGCTCGAGCAGGCACGAGTGCACTGAAAGATGAGAAAACAACGAAAGCAAACAAATTGTCTACAAATGATAAAAATGTTGCTGATAAAAAATCGGTGACAAAGAAATCAGACTTTGGATTATCAGCTAAAACAACAAATGGAAATAAAGCGTCAATAAAACTCAAAAGCTCGTCTTTAGTGACAGTGAAAGCTCCTGAAAAGCCGAAATCATTGAGTAAGAAAAATGTTATGAACACAATTCACAATGTGACAGTCGCTTCACCTCCTTCTTCTGCTTCAAAAGAAAGAACAGCATTGCCTACAAAAAAGGAGCCAATTAAGGCAAGTAACCACACAAGATCAAACACAAGAACAATACCGCCAGAAGATTCAATCTTACATAAGCATAAACTTTTGGAAAACGAACAAAAAGAAACAAAGCTAAATATAAAAGATCCTGTTGCCTTTGATATCAATTTCAAAGAAGACAAAAAAGAGAAAAAAGTTGAAGCTAAAGATGAAGATGAGTACAATTACGAAAGTGATTTTGAATCATATGAAAGTGACTTTGAATCAGAAGTTCCATCAACAAATTCATCAAAAGACAACAGTGACGTTGACGACGAAGTCAAATCGGTTCCAACAACAAATATCCATAAAGAACGTGATTCGGGTAGTTTTGAAATGAATTCAAAGAAATCTGCATCGCCTACAATTCCTTACGACAGCATTGAAGACACAATCAATTCTCATGACAGCGGAATTTCTTATGATGACTTAGCAGCTACAACAAGCAAGCGATCATTAGGCTCAAAACAAAAAGAAATCTACAAACGAGGAAAAGAATTGATGAAAAAGATAACATTTGATGAACAAAACTTTAATATTTTTGAGTCAAAACAAATTCCATACGAAACTTTCATGTCAGTTTATGGTCAACGTGGAATGACTCAAATTTCTACGCAATCAGAATCTATGATGTTGTCTGACGAGGTTCAAACTGATGCAATTATGAAATCTGAAATTTGGACTCAATGTCCACCGAAATTCACTAAATCTGGTCTTGAAATTGTCAATTCGAAGAATTATAATGAAGAAAAGTTGGGAGTTGGTGAAGGTGAGATTGAAAAGAACAACTTTAATGATATTTCCGATGATTTATCATTCAACATTGAGGCTATCAATAATTTCTCCAAGAACGAATTTGAAATAAACTTCAAATCAATTTCAAATGTGAATTCAAATGATGTCCATAAATTCATTGAAAATGCTGCTTTGACAATGTCAAATGTTCTTGATCGCCATTCAAAAATTCTAGAACTTCAACCAAGTCATTTACCAATCAGTCGTGGCTTAATTAAACTTCAATTTGAAGATAACAAATTATTATCAAACACAATCATCACAAAGATTTATACAAACAAAAATATTCACAATTTCCTTCTCACTGTTCACAAGCAACAAAACAATCAAGAAAATATTTTGTGTCTTTGGGATGTTTTACTCAACAAGCAACCGATTAAGATGTTTAAGTCGTGGAGTGAATTAAAATGCTTGGAAATGCATGATCATCAACGTGATGTTCTCGTTGGTGGTTGTAACGATGGAACGATTTGTTTATGGGATGTTCAAGAATTCAACGAGTGGAGTGACGAAAGTATGGAAATGTCGATGATTAAACCTTGCGAGATTGTCTCGTTAAGTCAAACAGTCATTGAATTCACTTTCGATAATGTGGTTGCTTTAAGAAGTTTACCTTATCGAGAACATAAAAACACTAAGTCAGTCTTTGCACAGTCACAGGCATCACAGATTTGTTCATTACAACAAAGTGGAACAGTCACAATTTGGACAATTTCACGAACCCACTTCGATGAGGTTGGAAGTTTAAATCCGAGGAAATCTGACTTGAAATTCAGTCATGTAAAGAGTCGAATTAAATTATTGAGAAATGTCGTTATTGAACTGAACAACTTGACGAAGAAAATCCCCGAGAAAGAAGGAAAATTAACAAGAAAATCGGCATTTGAAAAAACTCGCTATTACTTCGAAAACGATTTGTTTAACGATAAAGTTCTTCGTGAACTTCAAGAAATCGATACAAATCGTTTAAATAAAGCTAAAAATCCATTTGATGACGATGATTTATTGAGATTTAATGATTGTACGATTGGACTTAATGAAATTCTCGCAACAACTGACTTGAATTACATCGTTGCGATATCTCGTCTGAATTTAGCTGATAAGACAAGAAAAATTTTCACGAATGAATCAAGTTTCGTGTCGTCGACAGTGATTAAGTTTCACCCAATTAATTCGAATATTCTAGCGGTCGGTCAAGCGAATGGTGAAGTTAGATTTATGAAAATTTATGATGACGATCAGTCGCCTTCAAGTCACGCTTCTAAGAATGCCAGGAAGTCAGTTGACACTTCTTCGAGTGTCAATAACGATGTTCTATCGAAATCTTGTGCTTTTCAAAACATCGTTGAGAAGGAAAAGAAACTTTACGACGAGACACAAGCTCTGAATAATCTCGAGTGTGATGAACTCAAAGCGTTTCTTGTCAACGAAGCGTTATCGAAACAATTTTACGAACATAACGATGCACGAGAGAACTTCAAAGCTCCTTTCGATAAGAACATTTTCAACTCATTTGAAGTCTCTCCAGGTGCCGTCACTTCCATTGAGTTCAATAAAATGGGAGAGTTTATGTTTGTCATTGTTGGGAAAAAGTTGAGAATCTTCAATTGCTGGTTGAATGCGAAAGTTGATCATGAAGAGAAACGAAACATTGTCGATGTCAAATGTGTGATTGGAGCTGATTCGACTGAATATTTGGTGAGATTTAATTACTAATTTTATTTACTTTTATAATCACAATTTTCCTTTTCTATTCTTACAGATTCTTGTCACGAATGAAAATGAAGTTCTTATCAACAAACTCAAACACTAATTTATTGCACTTTAAAATTGTTGAATTGCTTTTGATGAAGAAGATTTTTGAAATAAATTTGTGATCTTTGAACATTTTTTTTTGCCTTCCCTGATGATTTCGAGTAATTTTTTCTTTCAGTAATTTGAAGATTAAATTTGTGGAGATGACGGCATGGCGATTGAAGTCAAAGCTCGTGAGTTGCATAAAATTTGACGTAGTGTGCAAACTTCTTCTCTTAAGGCAATTGTTTGCGCCCTTAAAATGCTGTTTTCTTGCTCAAGAATTGCTGCTCTAAGTGCAATCTGATTGACGAATTTATTTAGTTAAAATTATTCTTATTTCAATTAAAAACATTCTTACTCGATCTTCTCTTAATTTTCTTGCATCTCGTGACTTTTTCGCAGCTTCATTGTTTCTCTTACGTCTTTCAAAATATTTTTCGTCTTTCTGTTCTTCCGGAATTGGTCGCTTTTCACCTCTAGGACGTCTCATAAAGGAACTACAGAAAAGTGTGGATTGCGAGTTATTTCCTGTAACTGGTGAATTTAAAGAAATTGGACTTAAATTTGGGGATTTAACAGCAAGAAGCGATGATGAGCTTGATGAATAATCGGTGGCAGAAGAAGGTTTCGCTTGCGTTGATAATTTACTTAAAGGCAGAATAGTCTCCAACGGTGGTAAAGTTTGACTTTGAAAAGCATTTGGTTGAGATGCGAAATTATAACATTGAGATATGTCTGGTAGGAATCAAAAGTTAATTGAAATCGTTCAATCTTCCCTTCCTTATTCATTTACCTGAGGGCAAAAGTCTATTCCGTAAAAAGTGCAAAGCTGAAAACGAGAAAGGCTCAAGAGAATTTTTCTCTACTCTTGAAGCTTTTTCGTTATTATTTAATCCATTTTGACTAATTTTATCACCGAAAATCATTGTGAATATTTACTTGAATTAAAAATTTTACTCGACACCTTTGTTAAACGATGATCGACATTTGACTGACAAAAGCTGATCAAAGTTGAAATTATTTAAGCAATGAAAACATGAAAAGAATGTTTTTGATTCATAACAAAGTGAAACTATTATCTACCGTTGAAAAGGAAGAAGTTATTCATAAAAATCATGTCTCTCGTACACATGCGGTGTAAAAAACACGATACAAGTTCGCTTTTCAGCCAATGACAGTCTTTGATTTTGTAATGAAAATCCCGACACACACGCAAAAGGACAATCGTTATATAAAATTGTTGGATATTACAGGAGGTTAGATGATGGAAAAAGTTGGCTTTTTACAGCACACATTCAGCTGTTTAGTTAATGATGGCATGTCACGAATATACGAGGAACCAATTACGAAAGTTTTTCCTTCCCTTCCCATACAATTTAGGAAAAAAAAGTTTCCATGTTAGGATTTTGTAGTTTCATGATGTCGTAACGCCTTTTTATTTTATTTTCTTCATTCAGAAAGCTTTTACTTTGATTTATTCCGATGATTCTACTGAAAACAGATTAAAGGGTAATCGAAAGAATTTTCTTTTTATCTCAGTTAATGAAATAAATTAATTTCGAATTTTCATCATACTTACATGATTTAATTCTAGATAAGATAATTAAAATATTTCCCTTTCCTTAAAATATTTTTTCTTTGACCTTAATTCTCTAACCACTCATCTTATAAATCTAATAAACAAAGCTTTAGGTTTTTATATGACATGGGAAACTAAAAAATCAAAGCGAAAAAGGCAAATTTAATGCTCAATAGTAACGCAATCACAATCATATTTCAAATTTTTTATTCATAACTTTTTTGTTGTGATGTTTTAGTGGAAATGTCTTTACAACTCACATAATTCTTATATGGCTGATGTGCCACCAATTCATTGTGAGAACTTTCACATGTGCACGTTTCATGCAAACAATGGTAATATGTTATTTTTACAGGTTGTTTTAGATCCTCTAACGATTATGATTTCGAATGTTTGTGTCGTATTTTAATAATAACAACAAATAATACAAACTCGACGTTGAAACATTAATCGCTTTCGTTTGATGAGCTGTTTCATGAAATTTGTCATCGTGATCAAAGGCAAGCACACTACGAGCTCGAGGTCGTGTAAGCTCATCAATTATGAATGATTTAAATTGTTATATATGTACAAGAAAACATTTTTTAATTACTTTTCTATTTTCACCGTGAGTTGATGTGAATTATTGAAGACATTTCATACAATGAGAATAAGAGAAATGAAAGGGTTTCAAATAAAAGATTCCCGCGATCTTTATGATATTTTGAACGTTTACTCCCCCACATTTGAATATTGCTTTTGAGTTTGAATTACTCAACAAAAAGAATCACTTAAACCTTTCTTTCCTTCCCTCTTAAGCCAATACAACACCTGATAACGGTCTCATAATTAAGCGTAATAAAAAATTACCAACATTCAACAGCAGCAAAGGAAATTGTTGTTTTGAAGTTTTACAACTGCAATTATAAAACAATAATAAGTGATTCACCTGGTGATAGGATCGGGAGGTCGTGTTTTGATGGTTCAATAATTGATAGAGATTTTCATTAAATCCTTTTTAAAACTTACCAAGTATTGAATTTTGTGAATTTAATTTAAAAGAATTTTCTGGTTATAAATTATTGAATATAATTTAAAAATAACTTTCAGACAATCACGTTAAGTAATCGAGAGACTTATCGGTCACTTCAGGTCACGTTTTTTCATTTATCACCCCTTTGCATTAACAATATCGCTTTTTCTATAACAAACAACCATTTAACCCCGAAATAACACACAAAATTAATAATTCATCGTCTTCTATTACGAAGGGATTGAGACAGATATTTGTTCAATTGTATAATTTCGATGTGATTAGCGCCCACCAACGTACGTTTGTTCTTGCGCGAAGTAATCAATCAACATTTCCTTCTGATTTGAAGTAATTATTGTCTCGATAGTCATTTAAAAAGTTCTTGTAGGTCAAAGTATAAACTCAATATTATGATGTCTGTAACTGTAAAAAACTCAGTAATAATAAAATTTCCAATTTTTATTCCCGAATAATGAAACTTTATTTTACTTTTTCTTTCTATTTATGTTCACTTTCAAAACAATTTCAAATGGAAAGCTTTAAATTTGCTAATCTCATCAAGATGTGGAAAGACGAGAAAGTAGCTGAACTTTCAGGACATACATTCGAATACTTAATGATATTTGTAGTTTCTATGAAGCTCTGTAAAGAAAGAAGATGATAATGTTGATCATCAAGTTGTCGGATATTTGAAGTGAAAATTCAATTAAAATACTTACTAATCTTTCCATAGTTAATAGTGTAAAAGAAAACCATTGACGCTGCAATAACTTGGAAAAATGGAGCAATGCCAGCACGTTTTGGCTGGCAATATTTGTGTTGCCACCTCCAAAATGCTCGGCTGAAAGTTCCTGCCAAAGCGTTTGGACTCTTCCGACGTCGTCCTAACCATTCAGTGATTTCGCCAACTTTTAATTGACTGAATGGAGTGTCAGCTAAAATTAAAATAAGAAATCTTAATGAAATTTTCGTAAACTTAACATTGATAAAGAGCATTTTAATCAAGGAGAAATGTTAATAAATTTTCAAAATATATTGCATAATATGAAAAATTCAATTTTTATTACAACTTTGAAAATTGTTTTAAATTTAACCCGACGAAATACTTACGTTTGCCATAGAAGCGTGCTGGATCATACACTCCATGAATTTTTGGATTATACTCAATAGGGTAGTCGCCAAAACCCATGATTTAGAAATTTTTTATCAAGAATTCGGGACTCAAAGATACTTCAGCACTCAAAATATAATTTTCTTGAAGTTATTATTTTCCGCTAGGTGGCTTACAAAAGAGTTTTACCCCTTGTTTTTAAATATTGAACCGTTATGATTTGTTAGATATTTTATAATTTCGTTGATTATGATTATGAAATTTATTTTTAAAGTTGATGATAAAACATATTTCAAAGACTTAGCTTTCGCACAAAAGATTTTATTTTTTTTCTTTTTATTTTGTCGTCACAATTACATGTTAAGACCTTAAATATTATTCCGATTAGTGCTAATTAATGTTTATATAAGGAAAAGTGAATGCAAAACTTATCTCTTCTAATCGTCAAATGTAGTTGAAATAACAAACAAAAAGAAACCCCCTGCCTGGAGAATGAATCTGGCTACAATGAAACAATATTTTTCATTTTTGGACAAACACTAACTCTATAAGAATATTTCTAATTAATAAAGCAGAATTGAAATTTCTCCGTGAAATTTCGTTTTTAGTCAACCTCAGCTATGTGAAGTAATTTAGTTATCTTAAATAATATAAACTGATGTAAGTTATTACATATTCATGTGGCGATTCAATCAAATGTTTGGGTCTTTTTTGTATCTTCTGCTTTTGATATCATAAAATCTTTGTACTTAACTTATAAATTTAATTTCTTTTCTCTCTCTGTTGCTTTACTCATATGAAGCGTAATTAAGGATGCTAATTTTATTGAAAGAAAATTACTTTAGTGTTTTTGTATTGTTTGTTTGTTTGTTTGTTTCGCTTACAATTAAACATTTGGATAGAGAAACCAATCCTCATGTACACGTCATGTAAGAGAAGCAAGATCGATCAATTTAGCAATCAAATTATTGCTTGGTTTGATTATTATCATACGAAGAATTTGATGAGAATGCGCCACCATAATTTTGATCGGAGTACCAACCTTGTTGACCAGCTTGTTGTGTTTGCTAATGAATAAAATGAATTAAAAAAGTTTAAAATTAATAAAATTTTAAATTTTACCTGATAGTAAGCCAACCATTGTTGATTTGCATCGCTCGAACCATCTGAGTTAGAACCACCGTATTGAGTTTGGTTCCATTGATTATTTCCCCATCCACCGCCTAATGATAATAATTTATGAATATTCGTATTTTAAATGAAATAATTACATCTTACCTTGACTTCCTCCATAATTGTTGCCTCCACTTCCCCAATTATTATTTCCCCAAGCTCCACCTGAACCTCCTTGTGAATTCCAATCATTTTTATTTCCAAACTTTTTATTTCCATCCGATCGACGATCACGATTTCGATTGATATTATTTCCGGTTCCTTGTTGTTGTTGTTGCTGTTGTTGTTGTGGACGGAAATCACGACGATCTCGGTTGCCTCCTCTGTTGTCTGATGGCTTTCTTCCAGGACGTGGTGGTGGCGCACCTGAAGAATTAACTAAAAACGATTAATAAATAGCAATAAGAAAATGTTTTAATTAAAAAATACCTCCATAGCCTCCTTGACGTGGTCTATTCATCCAGTTATCAGGCCCATTCCAATTTCTCCCTCCTCTTGAATTAAAATCAAAGTCGCGACGATAACCGCCACCCATATTGTTGCCTCTGTGTCCTTGATTTGGTGGACCCCATCTGTCATTTCTTCTAAAATCATTTCTGTCATTTCTTCCTCCCCATCTTCTGTCATTTCTGTTGTTAAAATCTCGTCCACCGCCACGGTTAAAGTCATTATGACGATTGCGTTGACTGAGTGCTTTCTTTCCACGTTCATTCTCTTTGCTCACTTCAGTTTGTGCTGCTTCCTTCTCCATATCAGCATAAATAATTTCATTAAACCATTGATACTCAAGTTCGGGAAGTGTTAGGTTCGCTCTCATTTCATTCACAGCTGATTCTGGAATGTCTTTTCCCTCAGTATCCAAACGTTGCTTGAAACGTTTCTTGTAATCTTCTTCACTTGGAACGACAATGACAGCGATTCTTTTGAAGTCTCCATAAACTCGCATCTTGCGTCGTTGATCAGAAATGTAAACATGGGGTTGATCTAAAATATAATTTCGTCGCCGTTGACAAGCGATTTCGTTTAAAGTCAACAATCCTCGATTGCACAACTCGATAAGTTTTTCCCATCTTCCTGGGCCACTGCCAGGCTTACGTGGAACTCCTTGAATCTTCATACGTTCAAGAAGATGTTTAGTGCCCAAAAGAGTGTAACGCTTTTCAGGGAATTGAGCAGCTCTTTCTAAAGCCCAATGACTCTTTCCAGCGCCTGGCAAGCCGATCATCATGATAACTTCACAATCAGTTCGAGCTTCTGATCGACGTGGTCCTTTCGAAAGCTGATTGACTGGATATTTATTAATGAAATAAAAACCTGGCAGAATATTTTCAATCGGAGTATCTTGATTTATTTCATCTTCGGTAATTTCATCTGGAAGTTGTGGCTCTTCAACGACTTCTTCTTTCTTTTCTTCTTCTACAGGTTCTGGAACAGCTACTGGTTGTGGCTGATCGCTTGCAGTTTCTTCAGTGGGTTGTGCTTCACTAGAAGCTTCGGCATCTTGATTTTCTTCAACTTTCTTAGCCATTTCTGCTTCTTTCTTTAATTTCTCCTCGCGTTTCTTCTCAAAGTCTTTCTTTTTTCGCTCCAATTCAGCGCGTTTTCGTTTAAGCTCATTTTCCTTGTATTTGTCACGACTTAAGCTCCATAATGAAGGCTCAATTTGTCCAAAATTCACTTTGTACTCGATATTCTTTGTTGAGACATGTGGGAAAAGAGCGCGATCATTTAGCAGTGTTCTCTCGAAATCAAACGCTATTCCTTGATCTTTTCCATTGATTGTAAACTGAATTGAGCATTTTTCTTCATTAAGTTCCAAATGAACGCCAATAACATCGTCGACATGTAGTCTGGAAGCGTAGTTTGTAAACTCCGAATTACAACATTTCTTTCCTGAAGAGTCGAGACCAAATGACGTCGGACTTTCTCCAAGTTGAAGGTTGGTATCAGTCGTTGCCCAACCACAACGGATTTCATGGAGATTCCTTTCGTTGGGATAATTTATTTTTGTATTGAATGCCACGAGTTGCACTTCGTAAAAGTATTTTCCATTATTTAAAGCGCCATAATTAGCTCGAGCACCAGCCCACACTAACGCCAAACCTGTATCTGACAGTGACTGCGCTGAACAGAATGTTTCACGATTTATCTTCAAATTGAGATCGGAATCGACTGAAATATTTAAAATAAACAAATTATTTGAAAACAGACATTTCTCAGGAATTTATTTTATTAACTTACACCATGAAAGTTGGAGTGCTGTTTCGTCCAGTTCTGGTTCATCTTCATCATTGACAAAATCTTCAATGTTTGGTGGTGGAAGTCTTTGACGCTTTTTTGGAGTGTTGCCTTTCGACGGTGAATCTGACCGACGTTTTGTACCTCGATTTTCATCATCTGTTGTTGCTTTTTCTTCTGATGCTTGAATTTCTTTTTCTGCTGGTAAAGTTTCATCATCAGCTTTCTCTTGAGTGTTGATATTGGTGTTAGTCGTATCTTCAGGTTCAGCCAAAAGCTCATCTTCGTTCATGTCGTCCTGATTGTTGCTTTCGTCGACCTCCATCTCATCAATTATTTTTTCATACATATGGGAATCTGAATGCTGATCCACCGTTGATGACTGTTCACTTTTTTGATTCTGTTCTTCTGGTTCCTCCTCAAGTGGAGTCAAAGTTGGATCTTGAATTTTTGTGACAATCGGCTCAGGTGATTTTGTTCGAGAGCGACTACTTCGTCGTAGCTGTTGAGTTTCAGTAGAAGGTGTTTCCGCTATCGGTTCCTGTGAGACTGCAGGTGTTATTGGTACACCCGTAGAAGCTTGAATGAGAATAAATTTCTTTATGAGTTTTGTTTTGACTCGCGCGTTTCGTATTATCCACACATACAACAATGTATAGTACACGAGTTACATGTTTAGCTTCAGCACGAGTTTGTTTTTTTTTTCTCTGAGAATAACCGGCACCTAAATAACTACTTTTAACTCTTCCAAGTATTCTTGAAATTAATTTAATTTTGAATTTCACATACACTGAGATAAAACTAATCGAATGAAATCAAAGAAAATTCCAGAAACAAGTAATAAGTTAAAAATGTTAAACTCTCTAAGTGCCGAAGCTAATGAAAGGGTACTCCGTAACTTCAATTATAAAAATGTCACTGAATTTTTTTCATTTCGTTTTATAACATCTTGAAGTCCTTTTATTTCTTAAATACTTACTGTCGTGCTGCTGTTCTAAGTCCAATGCTTCTTTTAATCGGTCTATTAAGGCTGCTTTTATTCCTAATTTGATAAAAATTTGTAAATATACTTTCCGGATAACGATTTACAAACAACTTACCTTTTGTGTCCAATCCTCTCGCTTGGAGCTCTGCTCTCAATTCAACCACTTTCATTTTACCGTAATCCATAATGGTATTTTATTTTTCCAAGAAAAAAACGCGTAATAAACAGATAATACAATACAGAAAAATTCACAAAAAACTTTTTACAAAAGCGGGCATACAACTACATTCAAGCGGTATACAACTACATAAACAACCCGTAAATTGAAGCGAAATCTAAGAAAGAAGCAAAGATTGAATTATTAAAATTCGTTAAAATAATCGGTTATAATCTGAGACATTTAATCCGTATCATAATTCTATTAAGTCGTCTTGACATAAAAATGAAAACTTCTCGAAGATTTAGCTAATAATTTAATTCATTTTTAAAACTAAAGGTGTCATGTTCTTCCTTTCTATAATATTATTGATGAAGCGTGGAGATAGGAAATAGTTTTAAAAACTTTAAAATAGAACGGAGAACTTTTCTATATACATGAAGAGCGGATGATTAAGCAAGCAATTGTTTGAATGAGCGTGATGGGGATAGGGAAATATTAGATTAACAGAAGAGAAAGAAAACTTTTTAGATGATGTTTTGAAAGGTGTATGATACTAATTTGATTCATTCATAAAAGTCTTCAAATAAATTCATCTTAATAAAGTTTATTATCAGAACTTGTGAGAAATATATTCTTAAATCGCACGCAGTCAAGCTTAAAAGTTTTCTGCTAAAAGTTTTAACCATATCAAGAAGTATGAAAATCTTTCACCCCAGTCGACCTCCTAATAGTTTAACAAGCGAATTCTCTCACATTAGTGCCCATTTCCATTTCCATCTTCTGCTTCCTGGTTCCATTATTTCAAGCATGCTACAAATTAAACACGATTATGATTAATTGATGTGGAAGATTTAAGCCATAAACACAAGACTTTAATAGTATTTCAAGGTGTCGGGTGTGATAGATTAGAAGAGAATCATCAACTTTCTACATCCACACTTCCTTTTCTCTATTACCTTTCAACCTTCAAACTTTACCTCAACATGCGCTGTATATGGATGCTGCAGTGCGAAACGATAATTATGAAATCAATCAACATAACACTTTTCGCTTTCATAGTGTTGATAGTTCTCCCATTTCTCCTACGAACCAAATCCAAACTACCTTAACCGACTTTCAATCTCATGTTTCTGTTTCTCTGACAAACGAACGTTCCGTTCTCAACACTTCTCTCAAAAATTCATACAAAATCCTATTACATCAGCAAATGTGTCGAGATGAAAGGCTTCATAGTTATGTTGGGTGGATTATATTTCCTCTCTTAAATTTGCTTCTGTTGTGATTGATTTGACTTCGTATGTCGGGTCGGTGTATGGCTGATGGCTAGGTTGATGATATAATTTTAGTAGTTTACCAAGTTCCATTATATTCCCACATTCAATTTCTCATTCATTATGAAACGTTATTTACTTTCAACTCGCTTTGGCGATAATGAAATTTAATCTATGATTTAATTCATTTCGAATGAGTTCTGTAATTAATAATAATGATCCCCTTTACAATGGTCTCAACATAGTTATTTATATGAATGGAAATATACAAAAGCTTTGAGAAGAGAGGCTGTTTTTAGCAGTTGTTAAGATAATATTTGGCAGAAGCCATCATCATCTAATATCCATTTAGTATGAGTGTAGCCCTTAAATCGAAAGCTTTTTTTGAGAGCATTTCCTTAAATTAATATTTGTATTTTCTCCCCTTTTTTCTATCATTCAATGTTTCTAAGTTATATATATAAATTTTTGTTATCATTGGATAATGGAACATGAACGAAGTAATGCGGTTGTGGACACAAGATGAGAAGACATACATTGAGGAATGAAAACCACAATAACATGCTATTAAAATGTTTCAAATTAAGTTTTTACTAATTGATTTGCAGCTGCATACAGCAAGATAAAGTTACCGTCTATCTCTTGTGTCAACTCATCTGTTTTTCAACTGATTATGTTACGAGAGGGAGACAGGAAGGGAATGATAGGGAGAGAAAGCTAGGATAAATATAAAATGTGATTTAAATTGAGTTTTAATACTTTTTATGCTTCCTCATTTTATTCTCATCAGCTTCGACATTATCCATCATGATTATTATGTATTTGAGTAGATCGTAGATGTGGCCATAATAAGATTTTTAGATTTCCAGCACGTCATACTCGAAAGAAAACATTTATGATGACATTGCAACAATGTATGCAAATGGATGAAATTCGATTTAGTAGTTCTTACATCTAACGAAGTCGATGATTTATTCTGATATTATTTTGATTTGATACTGAATCAAGGTTGTAAATGGTGATGGCGATGATACTAAATCAAGATAATCTTACAGCTTTCGGTCACTTACTTTTAAAGCAAATTTCATGTTGTAAAAGGATCAGCGTAAAATGTTTAATCCCTAAAGTGATGAAGACTTCACATCAAAAAAAAACGATAGAGAGAAACTTAATTTCATGGCAACGAAGCATAAAGAGCTTAGAGCTTCAAAAACTTTTTTATCTTCACTTTGTGAATTTAGAAACGTCTGAAAAAGAAATCGAATTATTTAGAACGATGATGAACACTTGTCAATCATTAGCAGAGTGACTTGGAGTCTCCATTGCATAAAATGTTCATTTCAAAGTGAAAAATCCGATTGCAAAAATTCACGTCCTAGATTCTTAAAATTTTAGAGCTTTTTTCAATTTGATTTCAATCTTCTACCATCAAGCACAATTTATTTACGCTGTCGATTTCAGGAAGAAAATTGTAGTAATCTTTCACCTTGTTTGCTTTCAATTTCCACTGTGTGATAATAAAAATAACGAAAAGCATAAATGACTGTCGAAGCGGATGGTGTAAGGCAATGTTGAACAACGCTTTTGATTGATTCTCTATGGGTAAATTTCATAGCATGATTTTATGGACTACATTTTTTATGTCCACTTCTTTTCATTCTTTTCGATGCTCGATTGACCTGAGATTCATTGATGAATCGTCAGGGATTCGTGTTGGCTGCATCATCAACATTTCATGAGAGATATTTTTCACATCAGATCTATCCTGATTTTTATTCCACTTGCAGACATTAACGTGAATATTTGATGATGTGTGAGTTTTGTACAATGCACTACTTATACGTATTCTCAAGCATTGTGAGGTTTGCCGGAGGAAAAATAAGAACTAAAACGAAAACAAAAACTAAAGCAGGAATGAAAACACATAACACGAAAATCGAGTTAATTTATTGCTCCTTTACACACATATAAAATATTTGAAACCAAACTTATTTCTCTACGAAAACTTATCAAAGCAATCGAGTTGAATTTCATACTTCCATACGAACCTCATTTGATATTTATGCATTAAAAATGGCTTTTATTACGATTTATGATGAAATTTCATTTAAATGAATTCGGATAATGTCAAAATGAATCGTTAAAAGATATGAAATTTAATTTAAAACGAATGTTTAGTGAATCATTAGAAATATTTTTTTATTAGTTTCGAAATATGAGAAACTCTAACAGTTGAAAAAGGTTTTCTTTAAAGTTACTTAAACTTATCGAGATTCTTTAGGTTGATTCGGTAATTTGAAACTGGAACAAAAGTGTGCATGAAAAAACTTTTCTTTTTTCTATCATTTAACTTTAGTTCTTTACTTTTAGTTTGAACTACTGTGAGTGTAAGAAAAGTCATCTTCAATTTAAGACTAATTGATTAGAAAGATTGAATAATTGATTAGATTCTTGACGCACTAAAAGTTTGTTTGAACAAATATTTGCAAATTGTCTCAAACGATTTTCATCGCGTCCCTTACAATTTTAATTTGAAATAAGAATCCCTTGGTTATTAAGCTTCTGGGAACCTCTTCATAATATTGTGCAAATAACAAAATAGTTGTACAAAAAGATTTCTCTATGAAAGGAAGGAAAACAAAACTGAACCTTGCGCCAGAATAGCATAAATATAAATTTTCATGAAAAATTCATTAACGATAAAACATCAACATGAAAATAATAAAATGTGAACCCGAAATTCTTTCTCTTCTTCTGCCTTTTTGACTTCATTTGCCACACTGGTGGGACGACGAAAGCTGCAACAAAAGGAACAAGTTCCGAGCTTCATGATAAGAATTTATTGTGTCAGAATTTAATTGAATTCGTTTGCTCTTCCGTACACATTTGATATTTATTGATTTATGTTTAAGCAAGCAAAAAAAAGAAAAGAACACGTGTGAATAATATTGAGGAGACGTTGATAAGAAATTACATATCGCTGGCAGATTCACAAATCGATTCTGAGAGATAAAATCAAAAAGAGATTTTTCATGGCCTACATAAAGTAGTTGAAACATCAAGGATTGTTGTCCTACATTTTATCTGAACTGAGTTTTCTTTTCCCTTCTCCTTGCTCGTTTACTATTCCCTGGTTTCATTCAAAATTGCCCCAGACATCAATAACGAAAATCTATGCCCACAAAAAGAACGTTCATAAATTAATCATCTCTTGCTGATGTCTTCCGTTCATGTTTTTTCTTCTCTCTCACAGTCTTGTTCTACATTACGTCAAAAACGTTGAAGATAGAAAGCTTCTCAAATCTGTCATCGGCGTGTTGTGAGAAGGTTTAAGGCAGTAGGCGAAGAAAAATGTGGGACAAGATATAAGCAAGAAAGGCGCTTTATTGCGTGTTTATCCTGAACGAGTAGGTTCAAAGCATCAGTCAAAGCTGAAGCCATTAGACGCATGTGATGATTCCCAATATAAAATCTTTCTTAAAACAAATGTGGAGAAAATTTGGAGAAAAGCGCGTTCTTTACATTTCCTGATGCTTTATTTATGTAATAAGCTATTACATACCAAAAAAAGCTCTTGTTAAAGGCTTTCTTAAGCCTCAACCACTAATCGGATTCATCTCATAAAGAACTTGTGGTGGAGCGGAAAAACAAGCAAAAACACATTTTAATCGCATGTATCCGTTTTCGGCAGTGAAACTGATAGCATACAAAGAGAAAAAAGAATAAATGCGAATTTATCAATGAATATTTTAAGCTGACAAAGCTTCTTTCCTCTGCCTTCTTACATTCTGCCTTTTAACCATTGGAAAGCAAACGACAAAAATCCTCAATAATCTAAGCCCGCCTAGTAGAAGGGATTTAGTTAGCGGGTGAAACTTCTCCGTCGTTTTTTCTTTCTTTCCTTTCTCTTTGATTTCTTTGATTTTTCTCCTTTTCTTGTCTTCTTCATCTTCCCTTAACCTTCCGAGCTTAAATATTATAACGATGATGATGGAGTTGATAACGAAAGGAAATGAAGGCATCACACACAACAAAGTGAAGCTATATAAAAAAAAATCTCCTGAGTATAATAAAACTTTTACTGTCATTAATTTATTTATTAAGTTTTATGTAGTGACCTTCATTTTCATTGGATTCAAGTTTCTTTTATAATATTAATGAAGTTATATTGTTTCGGATGAAATTGACATTGAATCTTGTTTATGAAGATAAGTACTTGCGGCAGTTTCATATTTGTTGTCTCGTCTTTTTTAAAAATTATTAGGCAGGCAATTTATGAATGAAGAATAAAAGTTTCGGAACAATTTACAAGGATTTCCTGTGTAATACCAGAAACATGAGTAATTTTTTTTCTTCTGATAATATTTCGTTTATTTGTTTTGTTTACGTTACTTCATAACGATGGATTTCGGTCAAAGCAAAACTCTAGGCGACATGTTTGCAAGAGAGAAAGCAAAGCAAAGATAAACTTTCAGACATAAAAACTTTTCATATTGATGATGATGTAAAAGAAGAAGATGAATCGAAAGAAAATATATGATGGAGGAAGAAGAAAACCATGACACTCGTTATAATAAAAATTTTCTTCAGTTCTTCTTATTGTCAATTATTGTAATTTACATTTTAACTTCACTCAATTGAACTTTACTTAATGATCCCAACATTGGTCAAACAATTTCTTAGTCAACGATTTCTTCGCTTAATTCAGTTCGCTCAAAGAGTTTTTGTTTTAAATATTTTCCAACTTGAAAATTGTTACCCCTTTCTCTCAGCTTTTCTGTTTCTCATACTTTCGATCTGTTTTAAATTCATCTCGCGACACATCATATAAATATCACTTTTATTATGGATCTAGCGTTTCCATCCACTCCTATTCAGTCTTTTTTAAATTCAAATGTTCAAATATCATATTTGTTGAATAATACCAAACGCCTGACACTAAAAACAAAATTTGCTTTGCCTCCATAGGACTTCAATTCTTCAATTTTGTATTACATACAACATCCCACGTTTAGCTTGAATTTATGATTGGTGATGGTGCTTAAATGGAGCGACATATTATTCAACCAAAGGCTTTTGGCACGAAGCATAGCATTGACATGACGGGATGAATTGGATGTAATGTATCACCATATAGATCCGTAGAATGTTTATCAAACTCAAACATTGAATAAATATTGATAACAAAAAAGAACAAAAAAAAGAAAACAAGATTAAAAAAACTCCAATAACCCATCAATAATTTTTTTTCCCTTCAATCTTCTGAGGTCGTGAGTATGGTTTAGAAGATAAAAAAAGAAGATTTAAGATAATGAATTTTCATTGATTTCCTTTCATTAAAATTGAATGTTTACAAACTCCTTCAAATTTGTCTCCTTTCTATCAATCGTTCTGGCTTGTAAAGAAACTTTTCCTAAAAAATCCTTCTTCTGATTCTTTTTGTTTTAATAAAAAAAAGAAAAGGAAATAAAGAAGAAAATTTGGCAATCCAAAGAATTAATAAGTCTCTTCCGTTATTGTCCTTGGCTGGGGTCGTTTGTCTGCTTTTCTATGCTGTGATGAAACTAACGAGCTCGAAGAAAAATATTGAACTCATATTTAAAGGCTTCCGAAATGTCGGCCTAAATGTATGAAACTCTAAGATAAGTTGAATATTTCTTGCACAACAGAATATTTATCAAAGAAATTATTTATAATTTATTCATGACTCTGGAAATTATTCGCACCCACAATTGGCGCAAAAAAATTCATTCTCAATAAATTTCTAAATTTCATTTACATAAAAATGAGTTCTGACAAATATGCAATGACAAAAAAAAAATTATTTAATATTCATTTAAACAGCCTCTCGTCGTCTTGTTGAGTGAATAATTTAAAGTGAAAATTTTTAGCGGTGTGAAAATATGATTTCGATAATATTGAATGTAAGAAAGAGAACCGAAATATCCAAGGGGTAAATCATCGTAGTGCTTCTGTCGGCTGCCTCCCAATGAAGCAACAAAAATTACTAGTGCTTTTCAAGAAAAATGACCTTTTTCCAAGAATTTGCTTACTTTTTTTTGGAATATGTCTAGTGCTTCAATGCATCAATGGTGCTTCTGCCGGCCAATTTTATTCGATGAACAGCCCCTTGGAAATATCCTTGGAAAACATCAAGAGAAATGTTTCTGAGCATAAATCTCTCTCTGAGTCTCTCCTTAAGATTAATGTATAGGGAAATATCCAAGCAAATGAATCGAAAATTTCTAGCAGTGTGGAAAATTCTCAGAGAGGATAAGAAGAAAAGTGATACGAAAATGTTTAAGAGTGTGGCTTCAAATATTAATTTAAAAGGCTTTAGGATATTTCACAGAATATTAGAAGAAACACTCTTCGTAAATTAAATGTTTTTTATCTCTTGAATTAACGAAATGGGATGCTTAAGAAAATTATGAGACTAAAAAATGATTACAAAAGAAAATTGTACAGATATTTAAAAGTTTTTCCCAGTAATTACATTAGATATAAATAAAAGATTCGAAAAATAAACGATAGGATGAACGACAAAATATTTTAATGTAAAGATAATTAACAGGCATTAAATTTACAACAACTAGAATATTTTAATGCCATGAAAATTTATCGAGTGAATATTAGATAGCAAAATAAAAGCTTTCAATTTATTCCAATTAGAGATTGAATCATATCGATGTAACATCATTTTTGAATTTCTTTTTAATGAATAAATTTTTGCCAATATTGACAAATATTTATGATTGGAAAATAAACAAAATTATTTGTTTAACGTTGTTTTAGTGGTAAATTGATGCAAAATAAATATTTTTCTTCTATGCAGATTTCTAGATCAATATAAATTCAAAATAGATAAAAAATATTTCCGTTTGTAACGAAAACAAATTTCAATTGAATGTGAAGGCAAAAGTTCGAGAAACGAAAATTGGAAAGCTAAAGTTTCTTTCATATCTTATTTTATATTTTTCTTTCTTTGCATTAGAGTGAGTTAAAAACGATATCGATGAAAAAGTTTTCCGATTTGCGACAGCTACATAGGAATTGGAAAATATAATCATCAAAGAAAATAAATAAAAAGGAAAATTTTTTGAAAAGACTTAAATAGAAATATTTGGTGAGTGGTTGCAACTTGCAACGACTGAACTATTTCCGTAAAAGAACTAATAAATATCAATAGGGTAGTCGAGTATCATGAGTAGCATAAGAAGAATAAGAAGCTACTCGAATCTTCTTCACAATCTCACCACCTTGTCACCAATTGTAAATATTCCAGTTAAAGTCTGTTAAATAGCTAGAAAATTTATTCTTATCGCACTGCATTCGAATTGGTTGGCAAATCGATTTTCTCTCCAAAATAGGATAAATCCAATCTGAGAAAGCTTCACCGTCAGATTAAAAACTTAAAATGGGCTTCCAAGAACCCGTTTTATCACATCAAGATAAAGTAGTCACTAAGTTATTATTTTGAAAAAAGGAAAATTTATTTCTTATAACCAGAAAGATTATCAAGTTTTTCTCGTTCTGACAGTCTCTCAACTACATCAAATTTCTTTACTAGCATGAGATGGTTCGTTAGATTATGTGCTTTTTATGATGATGTGAAAATATTTCTTGTTTAATGTCATTTCAAGTGATAAATTCAATTAAAACTTTCTTACAATACTTCACTTACATTGAGAACCAGAACGATGGATACATTTATAAGATTTGCTAATATATCTGAAATTATCTACGCTCTAGGGTTAATATTTAACAATAGTTGAATTAAAGTTTGTTCCATATTTTATAAACATCTGACAAAATGTGAATATTAAAATTATGTAGATATTTTCCCATTAAAAAATCAGCCCAACCTACTCACATATATTTTTATTCATCTCTCCGACGTGTTTGCATAAAAGGATTTTGATTCAAGCTGTTTCAACAATACTTTTTTCATTTTCCCAAAAATATGATGTTCAATAAAGATCTCGGCAACAGAAAATTTTATCGAAAATGTTCTCTAAAAAGTTTTTTTGTATGCATCGACAGAACAAAACAAAAACTTTTATTTTAACGTATGAAAAGTGTACACACACGTGTTGACTGCTTGTGTTTGCATAAACTATTCAGAACTTTATAAATTTCCATCAAGTGATTGTCGATGTGGGTTGTCGGAGTACATAGCAAAATATTCGTTGAAAGAATTTAAATCAACTGCAAAATTTTTAATGAAATTTTTGGCAGTGCTATGCGAATTGAAAATTCATGCAATGTTTATATCATCAATATTGAAAACGTGATTTAATGGCAAAGGTAAGAGTACAACGACAACGAATGATTTTGAAAACCTTTAATTTTTCTCTTTTTTTTATGTTTTTCACAAACGTTCTTTGCCTTGTTCTTTTGAGAAGGAAACTGAATCACTCCCTGAATCGAGTTTCTAATGCTTTTACTGTTTGCTCTTAAAAGCAAATAAAAAATTCTTTAGCATCCGGATATAATAAGGAAATCTAAAGCAAACAAAAACGAAGCATGAAGTAGTTTAAACTTGTATAAATATTTTCGACTAAACATATCCCAACAATAAAGTATCAGAAACAGACAATCGTGCTTATCTTGAAAATGATGGTCATTTCTGATGATACTGCTGACTTTCCAACCCGAAAACTTTCACTAAAATTTTATGATTTTCATTTTAATGACTTAAACAGAATTCCGAATTGAATGAATGACACAAGACCGAATTAGTAGACTTTTACTTAGCATTAGTTTCAATAGCAAATACTTTTGGAAATAAGCTTGGAATTGACATTTTTATTGACTCGATTTGCTTTCTCCCTTCTAAGCATATATAAAAGGCTTTGGATGAGTTCAAAAACATTAAGTAAACTACGAAATCATTCCGAAAACTTTCTTATGAAAATGAAAATGACAGAATCTTTGAACAATCCCCTTTTGAATGAAGATTTTATTGGGATTTTATTTTGCTTCGTGATTATAATCCTTGGAACTAAATTAATTCGGATCATGATTGTAAAAGTTCTTAGGCAAAATGCTGTCCAGAATAAAATTGTTTTCAAAGGTTTAATAGTGACTCTGTAAATCCTCTGAACGATTTATGCTTAATCGATTTATTCGTCGTAATGATTTTGTTTTCTATTGAAATACGTCTTTAGTAATATGAAGGTAATGATTAAATAAAGTTATACGAGAAAGTTTGTTGTTTTACATTTAGGCAATGTTTCTAAAATAATAAAAAGGGAAAAGTTCTCTAAAGACTCGATCTTGAGTAACATAATCATCAGCTTTTTCCCTTGTTTCATTCAACGTTAAGTCGTATAGAATTTAATTGAGTTGGAATTAAAGGAGAAATTAATTGCTTTGTGCTCTTCTCAATGAAAGCTTCGTATGAAATAAGTGAGTGAAAAACCCCTCAGGCATATTTTACTCTTCTTAGTTATTTCTCATAACATTTCTTCAACAAGCTTGCACGAAGAATTTGTATTGAAGTTCATCGACAAACTCATCTGAACGAGACAATTTCTATTTGATGAAACTCTTTGAATTCCTTATTTAAATATTTCTCGTTTATGCATGCTTTCTGTTGTTTCAAATGGAAGTTCTGATATATTTTTTTATAAATATCTAACTTTACGTATAAACCTCTTTATAGCAATTCATAAATCGCAAAATTCAAGTGATTCAAAATCTTTTTCTAAGAAAATGTTAATTAAATATTAAATTTTTGATTGAAACTTGAATAATTAAAATCTTTGTAAAGATTTCCATTGAATTAATATTTTTAATTCAGTTAAACGAAGGAATAAATAAATTAAAGCAAAACTCTTTTCCTTTAAATATATAAATTCTTGTTAAACTCTTGCCCGGACTGCCAGTTTGTTTTCATGTTATGATCTTCCACAACATTGTTTAATGATTTTTCATTTTGTCGTGAAAACCCACACGATGAGTTGCGATAGAAACCATCGCTTGAATCAACACTTTCTCTTGTTAGTTTTAAATGTTTACACGGATCCGTTAGAGCCAAGAAACAAAGAACATAAAAAAATTGCCGAACATATAAAATTTAATGAAAATGAAGAAAGAAAAGTTTTTCAATTTTTCTATGTACCTGCTTTTCACTGATAAAAGAACTTTTTCTTTACAATTCTTTCTTCTACCGGCTTGCAGATACATTTAAGTTCTTTAACTCAGGTTTTATCATGCAATTAAACAACAGAATCTGCTTTTTTTTTCTTTGATATTCCGTGTTCCTTTGTATACTAAATTGAAAGAAAATCCAACTTCCAAGTTCAAAAGAAATTCAACCCCGAGAAAAGCTTCAAACAAGAAAATAGAAAAAAGTGATAAAAGTTTTATTCAGAAATTAAAAGAAACTTGAAACAGAGAAGATTTAACAGAACAATTAGATACATAGAGGTCTTGTAATGCAAAGCAAAAAAAAAATTACTTCAAAATTCTGCTTCTGCAATTAAGCTTCAGATTAAAATTTATATAAAGAATTATTTTTTCCACGAACGTTCAACACCTTTTGAAAGATATCTGAGTATAATAATGACTTTTAATAGAACTTTAATGAAAAAACAATTTAAACAATGAGTCGTAATATAAAATAAGTTAACGAGAATTAAAATCCTATTAATGGATTTTCCTTCACTTTATGAATTTAATTGACGGTTGATGTAAAAGCTTTTGTTGTTGTTAAAGCGTTTTTGCATTTTTAAAACATTGAGTGGAATGATGATTGAGTGACAGCTTCATGAAAATATTTCATAATTTATTCAGTAAATAAATCTTTGTTGAAATAATAAAAATTTTCATTTGAACTCTGAATTGAAATGTGAGATGAAAATTCTCGATAATATTTATTAAAGTACTTCAAACTTGTTCGTTTTGCTGGCTCATCCTTTCAATATAATTCCTTACATATTTTTGAAATTTATCGAAATACTTGCAGGCTGTTTTGCATAAAATTGGACTGTATGCACATGTTTATTAACTCGTCCTACCTGTCTAGTATTTTATGTAGATTTAAAGAGTAAAACATGTAAATGGTTCACACTCCAAGGATTAAAAAGCACTCAATTAAGATTTATTAATCCATTGCAACATTTATCACCACTCGCTCCTGTTTATATTTATTTAACAACCATTCAAACGTAACGTTCAAAAATGTCTTGTTCTATAAAAGAATTTCTTTTAGCATCGCTTTTCTGCCAGCATGCATATTTTTACATTTATGGTAATCATAAAAATCTACATAATTTGAAATCCCAAATGCTATCAAGTATAAAACACCTTTTTTAACAGATATAAAGGCAACATACGTGCGGGTACTGCATACATATATGAAGCAACTATTGGTAATTCAATAAAATTTCATACAACATCAGAAAACTTACACAAATTTGAATAAATATCTACCACATAGATATGTTTATTACGTTAAGGGAGTTCAGATTTCTTAGGTTGTCAGGTCGACCTTTTTACATAAAGTTCGCAACACGAGCGAATTTGATTTTTCTCATATTCAAGTTGATTGTTGATCCAAAAGGTGAGGTGATGTACTTTTAGGGATTTATGCAATGCGTATAGATATTTTCAATTTGAGTATCGTTTAAGCTGGCTTTAAGATAACCTCTCGAGTTAAGAGTATAAATAAATAATTATATGTACCTTTACAACTTCCAAGAAATGCTAGAAGACGTTGTCGACAAAAAGTGATAACTCTTGAGATTTAATTGAAACAATTTCTTTCCTCTTGAAACAAGGCAGGCGATATTATTCAGCTGCAAATTTATAGCTTCATTGAAGTCAATATAAAAGGCGGAATTTTCGCGATAAAAAGCACGCTTAGAATTCAATGCAGTGACTTGGAATATTTTTTTTGTGCGGTGTAAACGATCTTTGCAGAGAAATAAAAGGAAATGTGAAGCAACGAACGAATGTGAATGTAAAAAGTTGATAACTTTATTCTCATATTCACATTCGCCTACAAAACAACAATGAAATAAAAAGAAATTCTGCAATAAAAATGATAACTTGCTTTCGCTCATTCGCTTTCCTTCAGTTATTACTCATACTATATATGAAATATACAACTCATTGTGTATAATCATGATAATGACATTGCTTGAAAATAAATATTTTTGCTTTTAGCTTTTTCTTTTTTCATTCTTTTTCTGATGATTCAGTTTGAAAGAAATGTGAGTGGAAAAACATTCGGAAGATTCGAGAATTTTGCTTTCCTCGAGAGAGTCAAGGTTGTGCTTACTTAAATGTTATCTCATCATTAAAATAACTTTCAAAAATAATTTCTTATTGTTTATTCATCTTCTCTTTAATGTTATTATCAGATCTTGAATTATAAATAAATTTTGAAACAAATATTTCATAAGAAAATGATAGTCAGCTTACTTTTATGCGTGCGAGCTTTCAAACTCAATGATGATCTGATATCGCAATGCAGCATTTTTAAATCACTGTCATAAAACATAATTCAAACGCGAATAAAAAATGCTTGTCATGATTTCTCAATTACAAGAATAGTACGATGGGAATTTGTTCAGATTAAGAGCATATTGTAAAGGAGAATCAAGAACAAGGTTACTTAAATGTAGTCGAGTAATTAAATGTCATGAAATTAAATTAAATTAACTCCACATAAAGTTCTTGTATTTTTTAAACGTCATCAGACCCCAACCAACAACCAAGAGAGAGTGAGAAAGAAACTCATTCAAAAATAAATTAATTAATCGTAAATTTACATTGAGGGTAAGCTTTGGGAATCTTTGTGTGCGACGCACAAAATTTTAATGATTCTCATTAAAAATAAAGTGATAAAAAGCAGAAGAAAACGCAAATTTCACACCCTTTTGTGTTGAATGGAATTCTGTTAATTTCATTTTATTCCTGGTGCTAACGAAAAGAAAGCTTTTGAAAGAAGATGAGACGATGAAGGATGAAAGGAAAAGACGCTTTTCAGTTGTGAGCATATTAAAGTCTGATTATGTTTTCATGTTACGGGATGTTGTGTGTATACTGTTGAAGCTGTAAAAATTTATGTTACACCAGCGGAGACATAAAATATGTTTTATTAATTCTATATCTCCAAGTTATGCTGGGTACAGTAAACATCAACGTCAGCATAAAGACAGACTTCCCTATGTTACTTTTCTAATTCAATTTCAAGAAATAAGTACAAGTAATTCGTTTAAGTTTTAATGATTCATTTGTTTGCTTGCTAATTTTCATAAAGCTCATTCTGGGAGAAAATCAAAAGCTTAAGTTGAAAATTATGAGGCTGATAAGCGAAGGCATCATCGTGCAACACAAACCTAAGTTTTTATATTCCGTGAAATGGTTTGGAAATTTCCTTTAGAGGCGAAGAGATTTTCATTAAGATTTCTTTTGCCATGAGAATTGCAAAGAAAAGTTTGCTTATAATTTTCTATAGTTCTCCAGAGATTATTTCACGATGGCTAAAAGAAATTAAAATTAAAGCGAATTTTGCATCGTTTCAATTTCATTTGCAGTGTTAAATAGCCAAAAATCTTTTAGTAAGTATTCGCCATTACCGGCAGATTTATCAATTAAAATTATTTATTACTTTCCAAGGCTACTCTATGAGACTCAAAAAGAATTTCTGAATAAAATTTCGCTTAACATTTTCCGCACACCATCAATTAAAAAAGCGCTCTATTTAAGCCACGATGAAAAAAAGCTTTCGAAACTCATGCCTTGAATAAATAATTATCTGCTCTTTCCAAACTAAAAACCGCTGAAAAAACGTGAGGTTGTAAAAGTTAAGACATCGAGAGGAGCAAAAACAAAAATTAAGAAGTTGATTTCTTCTCCTTCTACTAATGCAGAACGCAAAGCAAAGAATTAAAAGAAAATTGTTTACAAACTACGTTCGCCACAGTTTTAGTGTTGATGTTATTGTGTGAATAAAATAGAAGAAAGTTGTGAAAACTTTTCCCTTCATAAAATATTCATTCCTTTAAGCTTAAGAAGTAATAGATCAAACATGACGACTTTCATTGCGAAGCACTGAACACATCATCACGAGCTGCATTTCATAGTACTACTCATCACTCAATAAAAAAACAAGTTAATGACTCCCGAGTGTGAGTTTCAGACGGGAACTTTTAAACCATCACAAGCTCATCTCCTTTCATTTCTCTTAAGGAAAGATGTTAAGTATTCTGAATTGAATAATCGAATCACGTTTAGACGAAAGTTGATTTAACCTTAGGCCGAAGCATAGCACAAAAGCCAACATCAACTCACATAAACTGCGAAAAGCAAATATCTCTTGGATTGATTTGTTTGCTAAAATCACTCGAGTGATTTGAAATTTAAATTACAAATTCCCGACGAAGTCAGCTTGTTAATGCGACAGTTTCAAAAAGAACGTACGTAAAAATCTTAAGATTACTTCGACATATCGAAGGTTGATTCATTCGTTCATTCAAAATTCTGTTTATGAACAAAATTATGACAAACGACACAATATTGACGTTGAAAACTTTTTGCTACTCACACATATCTTGTTAATCTTCCTTTCGTTTTACTTTCGCCTCAAAATATGATATTCAATGTGCTTATTGACGAAGAAGGAAAAGTAATTGAAGATTTAAAAATTCTTTTTATTGATTTTTCCTTCCTTTTGTCAATCATTGCTCATGAATTTTAATTCCAGCATTGAAATATTTATCATTATGACATTCAGGTTAATATTTCAATGAGAAAATTCTTTTAACATTTTAAAAAATGTTCCTTAAAATTGTAAATAAAAGAAGCTTTTCTCAGTATGATTCAGAAATATTAATTTCACGTTTCTTATTTAGGTGTGGGTGTTGGAAAATGGCAAACTTTCAAAATAAATTAAAGATGATTCCATTAAGAATCTCTTTAAAATTTGAACTCACTTGAGTGTTTCTGACGCGTGGGCTTGAAATTCTCTTTTTGGAAATTTAACTTTCGAGAAAAGTGTGAGAAATTCCCGACTGGAAAGTGAAAGGAAAATCTCAGAGAAATAAACTTTCCGAGAGCTTTAAATAAACTTAGGGAAATAAAATTCATTGGCATGGCTAAGTATAAGCAATTTCTAAACTTGTTGATGACGCAACTTCAGGAAACGAAATTTTCTGTGAATACATTACCATGAATTAAACATTATCTGCCATAGTCAACCTACCTGAAGCAGAAGCTTATTTATACCAGAGATGCTTATAAACGGTACAACGTGTTTGTATGAATAATATTTAAAGATAAATAGAAAAGTAAAATTTTATTCTAAATGCTGTCATCGTCACTTTGGAATGTGAAAACATGTGGAAGATTTAAGAATCAGGAAAAGCAAGCTAAAATCTCCATTAGAAGAAATAAAATTTAATTTCTAACAACTCACCTACAAAACTATCACAACTTTTAGTTCAGAAAGCTGAAAGCCATTTCAAGCTTTAATTATTCTTCATATGGAAAATATGAAATTTGTTGCCTTTATCAAAAGAGAAAGAGAAGACAACATTAGATTTTTTATTATAATTTATCATTCTACAGCTTTGAATGGCTGCTGATAAGAAGGTTTACTTGAAGACTAACAAGAGGTCTATGTCTATCATGATTTATTGTGACTCATAAATATCATTGTATGCATTATGATTGCTTTTTTCTGCACCTTTACCTGCGAAGATAAAGGTCGGATGAAAAATAGGATTTAAACATGCGATATCTTCTGATTTTGCAATGAATTTAAAGACGATGAAAATAAAAAAGTTTCTGGTAAATCCATAAATACATGCATGGAGATCGAAAGCATAATATTCCCATAAATCATCTAGCATGAAAATTCACGGGATTTTTAAATCGTGGTTAGAAGGATGCATGAAATATTCTCAATTCTAATATTTATGAATTTTTTACGACACACGAAACAAGTTTAATTGACTTTCTAAAGTGATGTCAGGATTCCTTTTTTTATTAATGATTTAATTTGATTGCGGGAAGTTCATATCACGTGTAAAATTATTATTCAATTTTTCCGACATATCATTTAACTCACAAAACCGCTTTCAGTAAATTATTTAATTAAAATACTGTTTTCATAATTTTATGCGTGCTTGCGAATAATTACTCAACGGTGTCGTAATTCTTGTTTTCATCCAACTTTTGAATTTAATTTCTATATAACCACAGAATTTTTTAACCCTGAAAATGGAACATTTTTCATTCTCATGCTTGGCTGTATTTACACTAGAATGATATAGAATACTATGTGTGGGAGTAATGTTTATGGTGAAACCACAGTCAATGTAAATTTCGTATGTTTATTTGCCTTTTCACATTGGATGGGCTAGGATCGCATAATGTTTAGGCTAGAACGTGAAATAATAAGTGCGGACAAATGTTATTGGTCGGAACCATAATTTGGGTTTCCTAATGTCCACTTCTTCTAACGACTTTCTGCATTTCCAGTGTTGAATTGAAATTAAAATGAATAGAAATGTGAAATTTAATTACATCCAGCATGGAACATAAATTTACTAATGTTTTATAAGGAATTTGATTTGCTGTGTATTGTGAAATATTTGTATCGTGTTTCCGTTTGAAAACAAATTTTGGTAAATTAGGTCATAGAATTTTGAACAGAATTTCAACATTAGTATAATCATTCAATTATTATTAACACTGAAAGTTAATCATCGAACTTTTCTTCGTTTTGTGCACATCATTATTGAAGCGATAGTTTGTCGAAGCAGAACTAAATAACAATGAGCTTTAGCTAGATTGAATGCAACTTTGCTTCAGGATGTGCAGAGGAAAAGTTATTGGATTTTATGTCACATTATTGGCCTTTGTGAAACCGGATGACAGCTATGGTGAGCAAGAATATAACTTCATTTGCACTTAGCTTTCATTAGCAATTCATTGCATGCATCATTTTAAAGTAATTCGTAGAATTCTAGTAACGTCCTTCATTCGAGCGTAACATAAATTAAATTTCAATCTGACCTACTAAAGATTTGTTGCAGATTTTCAATATTCATAATAAGAATGACAAAATGTTGCCTTTCCCACCCAGCCAGGTGATTATTGCGACCTTTTGTGATATCTACCAACATTACACAATATATTTAACCCATTCACATATTAAATTTTCACAAACTTTGCGGTTATTTTCGTATAAATATGAAAAACTTTATACAACTCGAAATTTATGTAAATTGTCTTACCAACTAAATAGGTGAAAGCAAGTAATTAAATTTCACCACAGGAACAAACTTCTTCAAGCTATCTAAGTAAATAAATATCAAGAAACTTTCTGAAGCAGCATTACTTTCAACAAATACGTTTAAATATCGGTATTGAGATCACTTTCATGTTTAGAAAAGACGGCGTTAACATAACAACCTTGCACGTAAATGTTTGTTAAGAAAAGTGTTGTTATTTCCATTTCAATTACTTCTTGATACCTCCGACATTCAAAGGCAGAGTTTTCTTTCATGTCATGTTGAATGTGAAGCATCTCTTTGAAGCTTTATTGTCTATTGGAATACTTGTGTTTATTTACACACAGACTTGTTCATGTAATTCTTTCAAAATGTCATATTTATTTAATGCGATAATATTTTTAAACACGAACACCTACGAATAAACAACAATTTTCTTTTTCGCTTTAATTCCTTTACGCGAAATTATCTCCACTCACATAAAATCTTAATTTTATTTATGGCTCAAAGTGTTAATTAGCGAAAGTAATTTTTAACAACTTTGTGTTAATATTCTCGATGGAATGGAAAATGTGCTTCGCATGTTAAAACTTGAACTCTAAAAGGTGGATATATGACAAGAGTTCTGGATGTTTTTATCGTTTTATTCAACTGTTAGTAAGTCAAAAAAGGAAAATGAAAAAGCCGATAAGATAGAAAAACTTTTTCCCTTCACCTTTCTGAAACGATTTTTTTATTTCTTCTGATTGAATCTTTTTCCTCTCGGTTTCAATGATCATAATTCAATCACGCAAATAAACCATTTGTTATGAAATCATTGATAAGAATCAAATGGTATTGAAGAAACTTTCTTCCGATACTTATTTATGTAGACCGACAATCAATAAATCTCCATTTTTGAAATCACTGAAAAGTATTTATACGAAATAGAATTTTTTACGTGTAAACGAAACTCTGTGACATTTGAGATTCGAATTTATTCGTTCTGTACGACTCGAACCTGTAGAAAAATGATTTCTCCTACTCGTCTTGTTGCTATCCATTAAAATTAAACATTGAAATGCAATATCCATGATTTTTTTCATTTTAAATTGTTATTGCTTATCAATTTTAGCTTCGAAAATCAATTGATACGACTTCAAACTTCTTCGTTTCCAGTTTCTTGCAGATATTTGAAGTTTAATGATAAAGGAAAACAAGAAATAAATTTGGAAGTATTAGATATCATTTGTTTGATTAATTTATGAACTTGAATTATCATCTATAGATAATTTGATTTGGTTGGAATTTGCAGACATTTCAAAGGTCCAATTTAATCTTACTTAAATTATTCTGTAAATCTCAACTTCAGTTGACATTTAAGGAACATTTTCCATTCATTTTCCAAATTGCAAAACGTCGTAAAGTGTTTTAGATTCATTAATTTTATATGAGAACATAAACAAATTCTTCGCCTACTTTAACTCAATTGACTTAAGGTGAATTTTATTAATGTGATTTAATTATTCATTTCATTCGCTCCCGTGGAAATAAATTAATTTCTATTTGATTTTCGGTTGAATGGTAATTCTGTTTGTGTCAACAATGATTCTTCTTCACATGAAGTGATGTTCTAATAGAAGTGAATGTCATTAAAAATTTATAGGATGTTTTACAGCACATTTAACATTTTTTTACGGGAATGTTATAAATAAATACATACATGTGATTCGATACAAGCGTGGAAGACGACATCATTCGTTTAAATCAGGCAGCAGTGAGCATTCATTCACGGGGTAAATCTAACACGCGCTCGTCTCATATTATAAAATACAACTTTGTTTGTCACATTCCCTTTCGTCATTTTGCTCTTTAATCTTGACATTTCACTATTTAAGCGTAAAGAGATATTTTTTATAATTAACTGCACTCTGTGACTTAAAACCACAAAAGCATTCTTTAGATTTGTGCATTGATTAATGTCACAAGCATCATTTAACATCTTTAGGGTTTATGGTCCGTAACATCATTCAGACGATGGGTTCAAACAGATTAGAATTCAATTTTGATTTAATGACTTAAACTTGGTGTCGTTTTGTTTCAAGTCTCGAGAAAGAGCTTGAGCAGATGAAAAGAAAATTGAACATTATAATTCCATGAAAGAAATTCAATATAAAAGTTTTGGAAGGTCGTAAAACTTTTTTTTGCCTTCATCTTCTAGATTTCGGGTAATTTATCTCGCTTGACCCATCAACTTACACTGGCATATAAGGATATCCTCCCTTTCCTTCCACCCACTCAAACGAAATCTATCAAAAACTTCCGAAACATTCACTATAAAACTTTGGTGCTAAAGGTAAAGATTCAACTATAAGACGACTTTGTTATTCATCGAATCGATCGTATTTAATCTTCATGCAAACTTTTCAATAAGAAGAAAGTTTAATGGTAGGCACGTGGTCAACAGTCACTTGAAATCGCTGAGAAAATACTTTTTTATGACTTTCGGACTTGTCGTGATCCTTTGAGAGAATGAGCGGAACAGTGATTTAAGATTGATCGATATACACTTGTTCGTATTGTTTCAATCATTTTATGGGATTTCGAGGATTTTGGCCACATCCACTGTTTGCGATGTCCTCGATCAAACGGAGATAAAAATTTGATGCTTCGAAGCAATCATAAACCTCTTGACATGCTTTTATGAGCCCGCAAACAGTTTCACTCATCAAAAGGAATCGATTTTTCATTGGATTTATATTGCTGACAGAGAGAAAGTGATTGCCATCTTTGGAAAAGAAAAGCTCAATAGAAGATGTTCTTCTTGCTGATACTAACTTGTTTAGGTTTTGTTTATTGAAGAAATCAACGACAAATAAACATTTCACAGCAGAACTCATTTTGTAGCACGATAATTTGGCAAAATTTTTCTTTTCTTAGAAAGATTTTTTAACGCTGACTATGACGACGCATTTCTTGACAAGCGGAAAAATAATTTTCCAATTGAGAGGGAAGATAAGCAACGAAAATAGAAGAACACACAAAGTTCTTTTTTTTTTATTCTTTCGCTCTAATCCACGACTCATTAATGCGCTCTTGTGATTCTCGTCGTAAAGTGTGTAGACCGTAAAAGTGAGTCTAGAGAAGAATGAAAATGGGTTTTGTAGATGATTCTTGTTAATTCTTGTTCTATATTCGTCTATTGTTCTGATCATAGATTTATAAACCTAAACTTGTTAGGATTTTCCATTTAAACTTTCAAGGTTTTGGGAGAAGAATTTTCTCGCTGTTATAACACTTCAACTTAACATTGAATTGACAACATGAACAAGAAATGTTGTTGTAGTTTTTCTTAGTGAATTATCGAAGAGAAAAGTTTTCAAGATTTTTCTTGAACACGAATCTTTCCGTCAAAAAACGAGAAACAGAGAAATTTCTTGATTGTGACTTCTTGCGGTTGTCAGAATTGTCGATTACACTCACTGACAGATGTTCGTTCATTATATATTTCTTTCGTTCCAGAGGTTTCCCTCAAATGCTTATTAAAAATAAAGTAAAATTAGACATCTACTCGAGATTTTACATTCCATGCGAAAGAGGCGAAACGAAACGAGTCATGCAATGCACAATCTTGCGGAAGGAAGCAGCAATGATAATCAAAACAATGTTGAGAATGAAATTTGTGATGTTTTCATTAAGAATAAAATTGTGCACAAAACGAGGGATCATTTTAAAATGACACCATAAATCAAACTTTCACGAGTGAATGATGTGATGCGGGAAATCGACTTCATAATTCTGATTCTGTGTATTCTTGGCTTAGGTTTTTAATGGTAATTTAATTACAAGATAAAAACAGAAAAGGGTTCAGTCGAGAATAAATATTTATATTGAGAAAGAAAGCATTTTGTTGAGACGACGTACATAAATGAGAGTTGAGCTATGTAGAGAGTCTAGTGGCTTGAATTTAGAGGTATCAAGCGAAACCAGATGTTTATGAGATATGAAGCTGCTTTTAAAGATACATTTACCATTATCACATTTCATATCTTACGCTTATGGATCTTAAGATATCTTATGGTTCAGATTTTACCAAGATATACTGAAAGAAGGGGATAAACAAATTACACTTTTTTAAACATATTTACGAGCGCATAGATTTGGTTAAAAATTAAGATTTTCCATTGGTTTAAATGATGGCGAACACACCTAGACACTAAAATATTTATTTTGATTTGTTGTAGAGTTTAAACTATGAAAACAACGAGAGATTAGCAGCATCGTGCATTTTGCAACGTAGACAGACATATAAATTAAACGACGACGAGATTGAACAATTTCTCTTAGCTATTAATTCGATTTAGAGGAAAAACAGTTGCTAAGTGCTGCAAGCAGTGTGTTGTGTCATCAAAACAGCAATTAACAAACTGACTGCCGATGGTAATTTACTTGATCAAGGATCAAAGTTCTCACACTACAAGTGATGTATTGTGGAAATTCTATGTTTGTTTATTTAGTTCAATCCACCCTTGATGTTTATTTAATTACTCCGCAACATCATGCGAGGGAATTCGATAAACATGGGATTTTACTGTCACTGAAAAAGGAAGAAATCTCAGAGATTATTTCTCCGTTGTGTTCAGTTAATAACATTCTTAGAACAGAATCGTAAATGTAACATCAACCACCCTTCAATGGAATGTTTGGGAATAAAACCAACATGTTCGTTTCTTGTTGTTAACATTCCCTGACATTTTGTGCATTTTCAGCATTGATTCACAAGATGAATAATCAATTTTTGAGGACGAGTAAATATCCTAAGTATAACTCATGATTTCAAAGGTTTCAGATTTCTTTTCCACTCATGCAAAGTTTTTCCATTTATGCGTCTTTTAAGGTTTGCCATTTAATGTTTACACTCGAATTACAAAGGAAATTTTAAACTGATCTGAGCTATGGTCAAAATTTGTCATAAACTTCTCGAATTTCACAAACTTTTCATCGCATTTATTCAACAGAATTTCTGTTTTGAATCTTTTCAGATCTTTTAAGTAGAATCATCTTCACAACAATACATTAAAAAAAATTCGGATTTGCTTTGTGTCTGATTGAATCAATAAACAAATCAAATCTATTCACCGTGAAGCATTCAACATGCGGCAAAAGATACACGAACTGATCTAAGATTTTCTCTTTGAATATAAATCCACAACTAAGATTGGAAATTTATGGCATTGGTATTTCAAGAGATGGAAAAGAAAGGAAAAGGAAAATACAAATTTTCTTCTTCTCGCTCAAGTTGAGTCCATTATCCAATTCAGAGTTTCATGTTTATTTAATAAAAACCGACATCCACCCACACAATATTTTTCTTGTTCATATTCAAAAGAAGGCAAACTGAAAGGACTTTGAAAACTAATTTTGTCAAGTTGATAGGCATAAAATTTCAAAGCTTTTTATGTTATTTTAAAGACATCTAACTTCTTGACGACGATGAAAACTTTTCCTTCATAAGAGGAAACAGTTTAGAACTAACTTCAATGGGTCAAAGGTTAAATGTTCTTCATCTACTGAGACTGGAATTCCCTTTGACTTGACAAACAAAAATAATCTGATAAAAATTAATTTTACTTAATTCAATTTATTTGAAGTTAAACGCTTCTAAACTAGCAATTAATAAGGCACGAAAATCATCTGCTAAATGAAACAGAAGCCGCAGCATAATTATCATTCAGTCAACCAGTGCTTCTGGCCTGAAGCCATTCATGGTGTAATTTAAAACATCTGACTTTTCTAAGAAGCCGTGGCAATGACGAAAAAAAAAAAACACAAGAACAGAGAAACGAACATTCGGAAATTACGATTATTTACTCCTTGAGAAAAGATTTTCAAAGGGAATGAGAGAACAAGAAAGATCTTTTAGGCATTCGGTGCGACTGATTAAAAACACATGTGACTTCTTGTTAGAACAATTAGAAATGTTTTTAAGTCGAAATTCATAAGGCGAAAAAAGAATTTTGGAACATTTAGCAGTTATGCTCCTTGTTATGAAAATATGCTCATTTTGTTGTCGAGTAATCTTTACAATCTTTAAAACTCAAACATGAAAATGAGAAGAAAAAATATTAAGGAAAGTTTTAATCGAAATTTAAAGGATTTCGCGAAAAGTTTTGCGTGTTTGAGTAGATTCGTGTTTAACATTAGACAACGGTATGCTAGCAGCGATTAAAGATAAGGGATCAAGGGTGGAAAAAACTCCCTTTTGGCAAAGTATTAAAACTTTGTTAGGATGTAATATAAGAAGTACGCATCTAAAAAAATTGTAATGTTATCCTTGCTGAGTTCTGTCGGCAGTTTTTGTAGAAAAATATTAAAACAACATTTCACAGCATGATACGCTAGGAAATCGCCTCATTTGATATCTACTGATTATCATGGTGAACTTTTCTTCTCTTTTATTTATGCATAGCAGGTCACACTGAATGCTTTTAGCTTCGAGATCTTCACGACCATTTGTATGGTTGTTGAAACATTCAAAGAGAAGATTTATGGCAGCGTATTTTCATGATGAAAAGTTGGTCTCAGAAATATTCTCATGATGAATTTATTTGTCTTTGGAATTTTTATCTTTCTTTTTCTTCTTTTGTATCTTTCTTCATTTTCGATGATGATGTAAATGCAGAACCAATCGAGAACAATTGAAAAGCACTTATAGCTCTTGAATTTATGTTCTTGAGACTCAAACTGAGATTTAAATAATTCTAAATGTGTTTCAATGTTACTATTGTCGCCATGAAAAGTTCTTGGGTCATAAGAGAAAAGAAAAAGATATTCAAAAGCAAAAGCGAGCATCGCATCGTAAAAATTAAATTAAAAAGAAAATTAAGAATTCATGAGAAAGTGAGAACAGCCATACAAATACAATAGCAGTAGTTGGAAAAAGGAAAGAAAAATAGCTATGGACAATTTTCCATTGCTTTTTATTTACCATCTTATTAATTCAACAGCAGAAAACCGCGTTGGTTGAAATAAACATTTCTTTTGAATAAAAAGAACATTTTACATTATAGAACATAAAATTAGAGTAGCATGCATAATCTTATATTCAGGATAATTTTCATTTGTATTATTAATAATTAATTAGATTCCGTTTTCTTTTTTTCGCATGACAAAGAAATTCAAGTCGATGAAACAACCAAAAGCAAATTCATTTTTAACAACATTAAGTTTGTTTGTTCGTCTTTGTTGTCTGTCGCTGTGACATGCAAAAACGTTTTTCTGCAAATTCTCGTTACGCCATAAAATTTGAATTCCGTAAACATGCAGTATGACATTGCCATGTGTTGTCACTTCTTGGTGGAGAAATTCTTTTAGCGGAGAAGGCGGAAATATTCTCCACTTTGACTTGTAACAGTGTTAGTGACACGAAGAACTTCGATGATTTTAAGGGGAAATTTTACACGAAATTTTTCAAAAATCACTATCTCCTCAACAGAAGCTATGAAACTTAGTGAACATTTCCAATGCTGTGAAGACAATTTTCCCATGAAAAACACGGCGGGGTAAGCATTCGTGTTCATCCTTCGTGCCCATCTGTGATTTTTTAGATTTTCAAAATAATTTTCGTCCGTCTGTTTTTCTAACGCGTTTAGTTCTACTATGAGATTTCTCGGTACAACAATAAAGTCTCGTGATTTTGTGTTTGCCTCGAATATAACAAAATAATTTAAAGAAACATTTGTGGCACAAAAAGCGGTCTAGCAATTCGAGTATCAGTGACAAAAAGTAGGAAATACTTTTGATACGAATGATTGAATTAATTTGTTCAGGTCAAGGACTGTCATTGAATTTAACATTCTTAATGTAAGTGAAAGTGATGGAGTGAATATTGTGAAGATTTGCCAAAAATTGTAAAGTTTTTGTTTATCATCATTGTCTTCGGGGCCTTGATACATAATCAAAAGACGAAAAGAAGAAAAGAAAATCGTTATGATTCCAATAGTGGATATTAACTCTTATTCGACATTAGAGTTCGACTTCTTATTGATAAAGTGATATATCGATGTCCTTAATGTGTCCATAGCAATGATTAAGATGTGTGGTAATAAAGGAGTTGTTTGCGAAAGTACATAAAAGTAAATATCTCGTCGCCTCTCTACAGCGTCCATCTTCTTCTTCCTTTCCTTCTTAAAGAGAAGAACATGTGAATACAATAATTTATTCAAGATTTATTTCCTCAAATTGTAATGAAAACAAGTGACAGATAATGCGTTAAAGATTTCTTAAGAATATTCTTCGTATTGTGGATTATTCTGAACTTAATTTTGCTGGAACAATTTCTTTACCATTTTGGGTAGCGATGTTCATTTTCATCTGTCATGTCGTAACGTAGGCATAATGTTATATTAATTCTCTTAAACAGGGAAGATGAAATGATAATTGAAATTATTAATAATAAACGGATTAGCAAATCGTCATATGACAATGGTAAAGACTCGAAGATAATAATTTGAATTTAAGTCTGTAACCAAAATGAATTCTCGAGAGCATTCAGAGTTTCATTATCAGTCTATGCACACGATAACGAATGAAGTGACTTTTAATTAAAGCAAAGAAAAATGATGTTGAGGCGAAAGTGTCGTAAGATTTCTATCATCTCGACTATGCGTAATAAATCTTTGCCATTAAGCCGCCCATTACACAATTGTTTAGATATTTCCCCCCATGCATTGTTCGAGCTTTTATTAGATTTTTCTTCGTCACTCTCTTTTGGAAATATTTGCGTGAGATTTGAGGCTCAGGAAAAAAAAAAAAAGAAGCCTACTCTGTTGACAAAAATAAAAAAGAAAACGCCTAACAGCTATCTACCACTTACACCCTAAGTAACCTTGACGTTTTCCATCTCAATCGAATTGTCTCTGATACACATAGTCGTTCCATCGCAATATTACCTTATGAAGTGTTTCAGCTAACAACATTCACATAAATTTAGGTCGGTGTCGTTTAATGCAGAAAATGCTTTAGATGAGAATAAATTTAGCCTCGCATCATTTGGATATAAAAAATGAAAGCAGACTAGAAACGACTTTTATGAAGGAGAAAATCCGTAGGATAATGATAGCGCGTTTACAGCATGAACATATAAGTTGATATATAAAGCAAATTACAGGTAAATTACGCCCGGCGACAGAGAATATTAAATCCATGTAATTTTGCCATTCCCTGGTGTCTAATTAGTCGTTCATTCTCCCAATGCTGAAGTACCTTTAATTATGTTCATTGAGTGTAAAAGCGTGTTGTGTACAGACATCATGCCTAGTACATGAAAATGATTTAAGGACGTTTCTTAATTTCACTTCTTGTCTCACTGCTGGTTCTTGTCTTAAACGACTTGAAACCTCCTGCTGCTACGGGGCTTTAGCTTCACATGTCACACGATTCGCATTAGGAGGGAAGTTTTCATTTTTTTTATCAAATTCACATTCCACTGTTTGGTAGTTTATCATCGTTCATAACGACAAAGAATTATACGTTTCAAGAATGATCCCAGAGCTACAAAAAAGACATTAAGCAGTAAAAATTTGATCCACAATAATCTTAAAATCGCGACAACTGACGAGAATCAAATTCATTTTCTTTCCAATCCATTAAACAACTGATGAAATCAATCTGTCTTGAGATTTCTTTTTTGTTTTTTCTCGATAAGCTTTCGTGTTAAATCTTTTGTGCCTACAACTTAGCACTTGAAGACTGATTATTTGTCATCTGGGTGCGATATTTATGCTTCACTCACCCTTGCTGACGACACGTTTAAAACGTTACGTTTACACTTTCTTCACAAGCGAAATTTTTACGAGCTGAAGAGATAGCGCACATGCCATATCATTATTCAAAAATACAATAAATTTAAAAGAGATGCTTTCATAAATTTCTTTCCTTCTCTCAATGTTATTCGCCCGCACCCGAATCTGGTGTTAGATAACAATGAGTTTAATCCTCCATTTTTCATGTATACTTTTCCTTTCTTGTTCGCGTTTTACCATGGAGACTTAATTCAAATATTTCCACTTCATTTTTCTTTTTTGCTGTATGCACTTTTTAAGCGCAATTTCCGCGAGAATGTATCTTAAATTTACTAGAGATGAGAAGGTGAATGAATAATGTCAGAAATATCGGTTGCGGTTTATAATACATAGAACGAAATCTCATGAAGCGCGAAACTTTATGATTTTACTGAACGGAAGCTGACCCTTCGGGGCGCGCTCATGAAACATTTCTCTGTTGGTAAATGCTTTCTAAATCATTTTTATGAAACTTTTTTATTGCCCGTGTGCCATTCATTTTTTCCCTATGCGATAAAAAATGTCGACTCGTCGTGGATTACGAAAAGAATTGGGGCGAAAATGGTGAATAGTGAGAGGGAGACACATTTAATGTCCAATTTATCAAAAATAATTAAGAGTCGCCGAGAGTTACGGATTTGTTTGTTAAAACAAAAGAAGAAGACAAAGTTTTTCCCTTTCCAATTTCTTTATTTTATTTTATTTTTTTTGATGCCTTTCGTTACGATCAAAAATTTCTTCTTTTGCGGAAATTATCTTTGAGTTTGCTTTTTCGTCATCTGAAATAAGGAAAAGAAGATGAGAAAGATTTTTAATGGAATTTTTTTTTCGCGCAGATCACAAATCAAGTCACTGTAAGCAATTTAACGATTCGTGGAACAATCAGTTGCCATGCTGGGAAAATTATTATAATATAATCTGAAATTTTTTGGCAAAAGGGAGAAGGAATCTGAAATCATCTCATTACTGTGCGTCACTTTGTGTAAATATTGTTTCAATTTCACCAGATAATTGTATCGGAGGTAGGGCGTGAAGAAAAATATTATTACGAGACGGATACCTGCTTTCTGCCTACGGCAAGCAATACGAAAAGTAGGAAACACTAAATTTTAGCTTATACTGTCATTACAAGGATATCCGAGAAGGAAATCAGGAAGATACTCTCCCTTAAATGAAAGAAAAGAAGCAAAATTGGTTCTCTACATTTACCATGGAATTGTTGATATAAAAAAAATTGCTAAAACTTGTTACAGGAAAAACAACAATTCTAAACGAGCTTTAACTTTATTCTCGTTTGTTATAAGAAATCCAAGCAGATTTCAACTGAATTGGAAATAGTATTAAAGACTTCATGCTGAAACGAGAATAATTTTGATAATCGATTTGGGTTCGATTTAAGCTTTTGTAATTCATGACGCGCGATTGAACGCATTGCCTTAAGCTCCGCGGAAAAACAAACAATGCGAAAAGTCTTTTGTATTTGCTTTAATATTTATTTTATTAAATAAATAATGTAGGAGATAACCACATTCAATAATGCTGTTGCTGAACTCGGTGGTGTTTGAACTTTAAACTTTGTTTTTTCACGTAATGTTTCGAATTTTGATTTTCCATCCTGCAAACTTTTTGAGCTTAATTGATTCAATGTTATGACTTGAATGAAAACGCCGCAGATTTCTTTTCCAGCTTTTACTGCAAAACTTTTTTTATTGTCGCATTTGTTATGTTTCAATGACAACATTAATTTTTTTGTCCACCGAAATAAAACGACATTTAATAATCAAACTTCATTCAATTGTAATTTAAATGGCAATAATTTTAGCCGCAGAGAGTTATTTGAGTTAAACAAGTGTTGAACATTACCATACAAAAAACATTTGAATGTTTTTCTAATAAATATCGGAAATACGAATTCAATAATGTCAATAAATAATATCTGCTGTCAAATAAAATTTTTTTATAACATTGACAATACTTCAGTCACATATTCATGTACGACGACGTTTGAATGTTTAGAAATTTTCCTAAAAGAAAAGACATTTCACATTCGAAGATCGTAATTCGACTTAAAACACGTGTACAATGTCAATGGCATTCGGTTATGGAAACTTCCGCTTGAAACTGTCTAGAAATGATCTTCAAAAGCCAACAAGTATCGTTACATGTAATCAGATTTAATTTCACTGAATGTCTGTGTTTAAAAATATGAATCCACTTTATTTTATTAATTGCGTGACTGCTTCACTATTTCAATCATCAAATGCGCATTTTGGCTCGACTTTTACGACTTCTTTCACTTTATATCTTTTTGTTTGTTTTCAATCATTCAATTGCCACTTATACATTACACTGCACTGGCGATATCTCTACATGATTAACAGAATAAAATAGTTTTATTTGTCAATTAAAACATTTAATAATTTCATTTAAAACCTTCAGAATGTTCAATTCAAACGGAAATGGAAATACGATCGAGTACGAACAAACTTCAGTTGAATGAATTTCAGAATTAATTCTTTTTTCAATATTCTTTTAAAATCCCAATTGAGCAATAATTTTTCATTGTATTCCTTTGATTTTAACTGAATTAAATAAAGTAGAAGCATAAAAAAGTAATTCATTTGCTTCACTCGACGCTACATTGCGTCAACGATACAGCTTTTAATTATTCAACTTTCCGCGAGTTTAATTAATAATTTTGTGTGATTTCATGAATATTTAAATTAATATTTTGACATGCTACACATATAAGTCGATTATTTGGTCGTGTTGGCGGCTTTTTTTGTACATATTCATTTTCATGCTGATTTTCCAACAAAACAAAAGTTATTTGATGAATGTTTCAACATGAATTCATTAAAAATAAATCAGCTAATCATATTCTTTGCTTTCGAAATTTTTATGCTATGGGACTTCTGTAATCAACCTTCTATTGTACTTTAAATGTATATAATAATGATAAAAATTACTCGAAAATATTTGTGTTCGAGACTTTGATGAAAATTTCATTAAAAATAAAAGCTTTATAAAGTCTCTAATCAGCTTTCCAGTCTCTAATGGATGAAGTCTCATAATAACTCAAACACGAACAGTGCCGAAAGCCTTTTACGTGATCAATCGAAAATTGATTCATAACAAACCTAAATCATCATCATCATCATCAACCGTCTATCGCTTGAAAACATTTAAACCAACAATCATCATAATATAACGAAGCTAATTAAAGTCAAAGCACATCACTGATGTCAGTCGCAAGGCTAAAAATCATGTCAAAATCAAAGAGAAAATTTCTTGGGAGCGTCAAGCATTTTTTGTTTCCCTTTATCTTAATAAATACTCACAACCAAACGTCTCAAAGTGTTTGTCGTTAAGCAATCAATTAACACTTCATAAAATCCGACATGGTACTCAATATTAATCGCACTTTTTTCCATGCGACATCAAAAACATAAACTTAGAAAGTGAAAAACATAAAGACAGAATCGTTAAAAAATTGCATGTGAAACGATTGTGTCCTCTGTTTTCATAAACATAGAGACGAAAGCAAACATAACATAACATTTAATGATGGTGATGAAATGTGGTGCAGTGAACATTAATTTTCTATTTTCACGCTATTAAACGAATGCAAATATTTCTGGTAAACCATGAAAAGGAAAAACACTCAAAGTTTGCATTTTTGGACATCGTCATTATTATTTCGAAACGACATCCTTTCGCTTTGTTATCTTCCCTACCAAAAAAACAACGACTAAGCTTAATGGGAATTTTTTTTACTGATGTCCGACGAGTGTCGTTGTCGTTGTCAGGGCTGGTGAGCGTACAAAGACCGAGGCCAGAGAGAATAAATAAATTCAAAATGCTAAAGTTATAAAATATAACAAAAAGTTTTTCGTTTTTTTCAACGCTCTGAGAGGTTGAGGTGAAGGTTCAAACTGTAATTAAGTTACTTCAATCTGTGTTGAGATTTTTTTCTTCTTTCTTGGTGGTGTCATGAGCTCGCAAATAAAAACCTTTAAACTTCCATCATTTGAGTTTGATGGGGAGGCGATGAAAAACTTTTTAACTCTCGCAAACACACTCATCAGACATTTTTTTCACCCTCCGTTTGAATTTAGGCTCTGCTTCGTTGAAATAAAAGTTTGAAGATTGTGAAAATAATTGTAAAGGCAGGCAATAAATAGAAGAATGTTAAAGAAAACGTGTGACCGAGTAATGGAGAAATAAGAAAGTGAAGAAAATTGAGTGTGAAAATAACTTTAGCGTACAAATTGTTGCAAGGGGATTACATCACTTTTCATTCTTGGACGAGACTTTCTAGAAACGTCCCAGAACGACCTGAAAAAAGTTGTTATCTGTTCAACTTTTCCATTGCACATCTTTTTCGTTCTGCACACTACAAAGGCCATAAAATATGGATTATAATTGCATACAGTTGCATTTACAGTGCCACTTACAGCACAAATCTCCGCACTTCAGAATATCATCGCTCGTTTTACTACTCATCGTCATACCGACGCTAGCTGTTGATGACTTCCCGCGAATAGATCCATTAGGTGAGCATATATTTACTTATGTTTATGTATTTTCCATAGTGATGATAATGTTTCTAAAAGTTTATTGAGTGCATCATAGAATCACATGAAGTGAATGGAGTTTACTAAAACTGTCAATAAAATTGATCTGATCGAGATTGAAAAAGATTTTTGAGATTGAGTTTTGCTGCTGATTTTAGATGTCGTTCATTGTTGCATTTTATTCGTTGTTTATTTTCCTCTTGCATGAAAGCTGAAGTGGCTCAAACAAGTCTCATTTAGTCTGGAGTTGAGCCAATATTTTAGCTTCTGACATTTAGGCGCTGGCACAAGTGACACATTTGGAAGAGTAGAAACAACTTTTCTAAATGGATTCGACTAGAATTGAGCACTTTAGTGTTTCTTCTTGACCCGAAATTATTTTGCTGGTTAAAGTATTGTAACTCAGTAACAGCTTGAAACTAAATGAACCTTAAATGGTGAGTTTTTGAATTGGAATTTTTTCATCCATCGACCACCATCGATAAACTCAACAAACAGGGTTCGCTTGAGTAAACTTAAAACGTCGGATCGCATTTACATTTTTATGTGAGGGAGGCGCCGGTTATCGGATTTTTATTCCTTCAGACTCTTGAGTTTCCTATAAATTATTGAATAATTGAGAAGACGTTTACGATTGAACTGCAGACAGAAATGTAGAGAAGAAAGAGAAATTTAAAGACATTAAACTTTACCGTCATAGCCCACGCGTTGCCATTTTATGTTGGTAACACAATATGCTATTGAACTCTTCCTGACACAAAGTGATCATGAAAGACGCGGTGCTTTATTGAACATAATTATCATAAATTCATACCCACGCGTGAAAATCAATCGCAATAAATTGAGCTGAAAATTGGCATAACAACAAATGTAGCGACATTCACTTTATTATTATTATATTCCTTTTTTGTGACGTGATACATTTATGATGAAATTGATATATTGAAATGTCAATAACTTGCAAGTTGTCACCTTTTATTCTTCGTTCTTTTGGTGTGACTTCAGTCTTTATTAGTACGTGGGCATAAGAAAAGTGAAAATATGTTTTCAAAAATGTCAAGAACACGAAATTGCAGATATGCGAGAATCAGATGTAAAGAATGTGGGTGGGATATCTGCTTTGAAGCAAATTAAACAAATGTATATTTGTTAACCGAATGAAATCTGCACGGAACAAAGCAAAACTAAACGACACAAAACAACACACAAACGAATTGCTTGTTTTATTTAACTCGATAATAATGGAGATAAATTATTCAGCATGAGAAATGTCTCCAGTATTTTTGGCTTCACGATTATGTAAAATTCCCCAACTGAATGTATCCCTTTTTTTCAAAAGGGATTGGAATGGGTTACTCTTAGTAATGTAGCGTCATTCGAGAATTTCTGATGACAAATTGAACCGAAATAACAAGAAGAAGTTAATAAATTTAAGGAACATTGAAGCGAAAGCTTCGGAAAGAATTTGTGAAAGTTCATGCTCGTATAATTCTTGTAATGATGCTGCAGCCAACAATTTGAAATCATTTTAAAACGAACCCAAGCACAGACAGAACCCTCATTTCGATCTAAATCTTACGTTGAAAAATTACATGAGAAAATAAAAAGCTTAAACCTCTTTCATGTTTCTCCTCATCCATCCTTCTTCCTTCAAGTAAAGAAAGACATTTCTAAAAACGCAAAGAAGGAATTTATCTTCTTAATAACAACTATAAAAGTCTCTTCTTTGTTCATGTCTCCAGAAAGCGTTAGCTTAAAAAATAACGCCAAAATGCAAGATAAGTGCATTCTAGCGTCATGCCAACAAAATTTGGTTTATTTTACATGCTGCAACACGAAACAGTTTTGAAGTTTTGCTACTTTTGGTCTTCTATGCAGAAGACATTTCTCTTGCAATTTATATGCACACAATTTGTGAAAGTTCTTAGAAAAATGTTCACAACATAAAGTAAAAATTTTATGATGCTTTTACATAGAAAAATCTGGGATGTTTAATATAAGTTAGATATGCAGATAAAGAAGACAGAGACAGAAAGGGATGAATCAAGAAAGTTCTTGAAGGTTACCTTGCGGTTTGTCATGAAACGTGATAAGTATTAGGGTTGCTTTTAGGGGATATTTAAATATAATAAAAGTTGAAGGAATTTCTCATATTAAATAAGTTTCAACTCTAATATGGTTGAAAATGTTATCATCAGTATTCTCGTATATGTAGACAATTTACATAAGCAACTTCAATCTAAATCTCGTTCAACTTGAAGCACTGCTCACATAACGAAAAGTTATTTTCATTCCAACATGGGTTTCCTTGTTACGAACTGAAGTATCATAGTCTAAATATGAGAAAATGTAATTACATGACTGTAAAAATTAACAGAATATACTCAAAGGACAGCAAGCTCGCCAAAGTTATTGTGTGACATGAGAACTGGAGGGTATAAAAAACTATGACAATTGTACATTTTTTTTGCACTTTTTCTGCATTACAAACTACCTTTGTAATAGAACTGAGCTTTTTTTCCTCCCCTTTGCAACTTCTTATGCACATTTCAAGCATACACGACAAGGACGATGACAAAAACATCGTGTTGATGAAGAGATTTTCACCCACAACCCTTTTATGTCTGTTGTTTGTTAACACCGAATGTGAATGCTAAGCTCTCTTAGATGACAAAGAGTTTAACATGTTTACTCCATTCCAAGCTCTTTATAGCACCCATCGCCAAGGGACACTTTCGAGGTTCATGTTGATGACATATCAACAAAAAATGAGTCTGTTAAACGCCTGTTCAAGCATTCTCTTTCATTTTTTTTCCTTCTTTTTTTTATTTACTTTTTCTCGGGTTGATGCAAAAAATATGTTTCATGGAATTATTGAAACAGCCTTGAATACAACGACACAAACAGTATTTTCCCGCTAACGAAACAACAAAAGAGAAAAACAAAAACAAAAGAATATTTTTTAGAACATAAATTGAAAAATTGAATTTCACATTCACAGTCAATTTGAAGATGGGCGTGTCACGATAAAGATTTAAAAGGGATCAGATGTTGTCATCATGAATAGGAGGTAATGGACATAAAACATTGGAAAGAAGGTGAAAGGTGTCACAATAAATTGACACATTAATAAACTGATGTTTTAAATGTCAGTTTAACTAAATAAAAAGCCCAGGAAATATTTTATTGAAACAGATCAAAGTTTTTTTCCTGGGTTAAGAGTCATTCGAGTGTTACGTGTCATGAATGGGTTAACTGTATTTACAACAAAGCTACACATTCTGATTTAGACTATCATGATATGCTTTTTATGTGCTTCATGCCTTGTCACATCGATTCGATTTCATGCGAAAGAACTTCTGACATTTGTTTCTTAATTTAAAAGCGCAAAGGTGATTTACATGCAATGTTAAAAATGTCAATTGTCAAGATTTCAAAGATCAACAACGACAGATAATGTTGTGAAAAGTTGAAACATTTTCTTAGCCATCAGTAGTAAGAAAAATTCATGCTTACTGTTTTTTCACACTCTTTACATTAAGAATAAAGTTTTAAACAGATTTACTTTTTCGCTCGCTGCTTTTCCATCAGCAAATACGAGCGAGAATTTGCTTTTTCCTTTCAAAGCTTTGAAAGAAAAAGATTACATTTAAAATTTCATTGGAAATGAAAATATTTCCATGTATAATGTTGATTCAATTCAAGTGGATAAAGGTAAATGAACTCATTAAATTTTATTGCACTTGCTTTAATCTTGTTGATTGTGAACATTCAACAGAACACTCAACTAACTTCATAGGGTTTATTCAGTTGGAACCGCAGCTCACTAAAATTTAACAGCTTCATTCTGAAATGAGTGCACTCGAACGTATTTATCAGCGGGCTTCTATTTTCAAACATAAACACAGAAAGAAAATTTTTGAGTGGAGGTGTAAGCAAAGAGAATTCAACGAGAAAAACGAAAAACATCACAAGGACTTTTAGTAATTATAATTCTCGGTTAGACCACAAAAAATAAAACGAAAAACATTTTGAGCTCCAGCCAAGTCATTATAAACCGTTAGAGTCGGCTTTTCTTTATCGGTCTAGAATGATAAGCAGTGGGCGAGTTTTGGAAAATTTATTATTAAAGTTTCTTCTTTTTTGTGCTGTGCACAGTCAGAGGAAAGTTAGAATATCCTCCAATGTCCTTTTAAATGGCTTTTAGAGGAAAACCGCTCTCTATGAAAAATGGAAAAGAAAAAGCATTCTAATCGAATAATGTTCACATTATGCAGATCTTAAGATCGTATTTGGTAGAAAAATTTTAATGGGAGAAAAGGTAAAGAATTTCTCTTACTTTGCTTTGAAACCTTCTGATAGTCCACTAATTTTTACTGGGTGTTGTTGATCTCAGGTGATGTCTTTATCGGAATTCATTAATTATTTGGTATAATAGTTAAAAATATTTCATAATTTCTTGAATTTTTAATGTTTGGTTTTTTTACTGATTGAAATATTTTTGATGTCGATGGAACTTTAATTCTCTTCAGCGTTGGCGATATCTTGCTGGCATAAAGGACAAATCTTGCGTCGTTGACACCATGGGTTGATACAATCCATGTGAAACAAGTGAAAACACTGGAGTCTTCGGACACGAGCATTAATGATGAATGCATTCAAGCAAATACTGCATTCTTTATCATGAACATGCTCACCCTCGTAGAGATAAGCATATGTGTGTTCGTTTATGTCGAACACATGATCATTTTCGCGATGATCTCCCTCGTCCGCATCTTCGTCGTTGTTGTCATTGATTGTCGGTGGATGATAATCAGGAGGCATTTCCACTTCCACCAATAATCCGGTATAGGCTTCGTCTTCATCGTCGTCTTCAGAGGATGATTGTATATTTATTGTGTCCATCTCTTCTTCTTCGGACGATGAATCGATAATCATTACAGAATCTTCTCCTTCAGAAGAAGATTCGATTAAAATCACTTCACTTTCAACATTTGTCATTTTTTTTGCTATTGTTATTTTTTAATTTTTTATTGTTTATTCTCACTTTCATTAATTATTTTTTTTTCCAGATTTTTTATAAACTTTGGTTTAAATCTTTTATGTAAACCTTTTCAATATGAAACTGAAAGTCAAAGATTACTTTTTTCTCTACTTTTAAAATTGCATCATGAGAGAAAAAAGGATAAAAGGTCGTAAAATTTCCATAACATAAATTATTTGATTTTAAAAAATTTTGACGCCTTACATTACTTTGTGTATGTTGCATTTATTCAACTTGACCCATAGCTGCAGTTTGCTTCGCTGTAGTGACTTCATATACACAATCGCTTGAAATCACATGTTTCACAACAATTTAAATCAAACACTCTATCAAAATATTTCCGCAATTATTGCTTTTAGTCTTCAAGATCATCTAAACGAATTCTCATATAATGCAAAATCTGAAGATCATATTTGGTTAAGAAATTTTGCAATAGGAAGAAAGGTAAAGGTTTCTCTTATTCCCCTTTAAATTCTTCGGATAATCCACTAATTGCTAGGTAGGATTTATCACGAAAAATTGCCAACATAAAAATACGATGGAAATTCCACATCATTGAAAATTTTAAAACTATTTTCAAATTACTCTCTTGTGAATGCGAACCAAAGGAAAAAAATGTAGTGAAGGAATTTTTTGTCATTCGCTTTAAGACATTAAAATTAAAAAATACCAAGCGGCTTGAATAATTGGGAAAAAGAGGAAAAGGGAAACGTTATCAGATTAAAGTTTGAAGTTAAATTCCTGCGGGCTTTCTATGTAGACGCGGCCTTGACAGACATCAAACAAGCGATTTGCCGAAATGGAGAGAGAAAGTGTGTTGGTTGGTGAAACGACACAGAAAATTGTTTGAGTCTGAAATTCCTTCATTGTCAGACGTTGAAAGCAGGGGTCGGAAGCTTAACGATTTTTCGCAAAAAGCTTCTAAGCTTCCGCTTCGGCTTCTCAAAATTCTGAAAAAGCTTCCAAGCTTCCGCTTCGGCTTCTCAAAAAGTTGAGCTTCTTTAAGCTTCCAGCTTCCGCTACCGCTTCGGCTTCCGACCCCTGGTTGAAAGTTTGTTTAAGAAAATAAATCAACAACTGCTTAAAAACGCTTCAGTCACAACGTGAACGAATGAATGAGTGAATGAAGAAATAAGAAAAAATGAAATTATTTCATGTTCAGAAATAAAGACAATTTTTTTCTGAATTAAATTCGATAGCAAAATATTCAGCCATGTAGGAGTAAATCGATGAAGATAAATTTGAAAACATTCACCATACCACCCTCGCATTATCAAAGTTTGTGTCTCAACAAACGAAAATTTTCCAGTTTTTCGGAACAAAAAGACTAAAAACAAGAATTTTCCACAGGATTTTATTTTCGCATAAATTTAATGTGTTGAAAGATGAGAAAGAAGTTTCTTGGACCAGACCAGACGATAACGCTTTTATTTGTGAGCTTTTTAAATAGTTTTCCTTGTACTATCTAGTAAAATCGAACACAATAAAAGAGAGAAAGCGACAATATGTTAAAACATTTAAAACAATTAATTATGAATAACGAGTACGCATTCCTTGAAAGTGCTTTATTGTCTCAACTGAAGTTGTCGGTAGAAAAACTTCCTTCGCAAATATTTTTATTCCTTTGTGCACATTCTCATTCCAAAAACATTAAAAACAAGCTTGAATCCAAATCCCATGTGAAGACAACGAAAAAGCATTACATCATGACATAACAAAGCATCTGGTTGCTTTATGGCCATGTTTCACATTTTCTGCTTCTCTCAACACAATAGAGTCTTTGGCAACTGCAGAATATTTAATGGGCAATTAAAACAATTTCATGAGCGGTCAAGGAGAGAAATTGCGCAAAAGTTTGAGCGAAATGGAAAAGACGGGATCAGGTGAAAGCTTACTCAGGAGGGACATAAAAAATAATTGTATAGAAAAAGCATAAATTTCACGACAAGCTTCCAAAAGGGGGCTATTAAGCCTTTTCCCTTTTTTTGTCGTCTTCAAATAAAGCAAAGTTGCGATTCGATGAAAGTTTATTGTCAATGTGTTTAGCTGTCAACTTTCTTTTTATGATCAAACGCGAATCCATTAAAATTGGGGTGAAATTATTATCAACAATAAATTTTCGCATTAAGTTACATGATTTGAAGTCTGTCCGGATACTTTCTTTATCGTACGATGAAAATGATGTGTAATGAGAAAATTTCATTGGAAAAGAGATTTCTGAATAGGAAGAGATATGACTCAGTTTGAGAGTGAAATTCAAACAATCGCTTAATTAAATTTATCAGCTTCTCATCTGAATACTAAACACTCTGAATGAAAATGAACTGAGAATACTTACTTACGTATAATTTATGTTGATACACAAAATTTCTTCAAACGAACACCCATCGAAGAAGGTTTACGATAAGATGTTTGGGTGGATAAAAACTTTTCTCTCTTCTCTGCATCTTTCCTAAGAAAGGAGCGAATTGAATTGTGAAGAAAGATCCGAACATAAATTGAATTTGTAAAATGAGTTTTCTAAAAAAAATTGAAGAGAAAAGCTTTCATCTGCTTGCTTATGATATTTAATACTGTTGTAGAAAGTGACAATGCATCCAACATTTATTTTCATGACATTCACGTTCTGTTGTTGTTTGGATTTGAATATCATCATTATTTTAATGTTTGTTTGTGAGCCAGCCCAGTTTTAAGCCAACATTCAGAATTTCAAATTAAAAATTGTTTGAATGTTGTTTAACGATTGTGAATTTGGTGAGTGGTTTTCAAATAATAATAAAATTTTTCATAAAGGAAAATTCGCCATATAAATCGAGTAAAGCGTATGACTTAATTTGTAAAACATGTCAGCAACGATTCCATCATAAATATTAAAAGCACTGACATAATTTCCTAATGTTTCCTTCTTTGAAATAAGTTTTAACCAGAAATTAATTCTTCTCCACGTTAGAAAGCAATGCCATCATACACATTTTGTGATTTATTACGAGTGCATACGCGAAAACTCATTAATTATCTCGTTTTCCAAAAAATAAAATGAAAATTATACAAAAATTCAGTGGAAAATTCTGTTCAACAACGACAGAATTTTCTTTGACCTCAGATTTGTTGATTACTTGTCTACAGCTGTATCCGGGATAAAAAATATTGCATTTTGGAGAGTGCAATGCAATGATAGGATTGTCGAATGCTGAGGGATTTCCGTCAATTTAAATTCGTTAAAATTCATACCGCCGTTATTGGAAAATCCTTTTTTTGGGAATTTCAACATGCACACAGATATGATTAATGATGGTTGAATGAGCCGTGCAAATATTTTCTATATGGATGGAATTTCTGATTATGTTTACATAACTGCACGGTTCATTTCACATAAGCTACCGGTAATCATTCTTTTATATCATATTACAGTAACTTCCATCCATTACCACTTCTAATTATTCAATTTCTGAATGATAAAACAAAAACTGCTTAAAAAGGATCAGATAAACCATTGAAATTTATTTTTCTAAGTTTAGTAATTGAGAAGCTCATCGCCCTAACCAAATAGAAACAAAAAGCATAAAACAAATCTCAAAAATTTCCGCTTTTCGTTAAGTGTGACCTTTTCCTACATCTACTGTTAAAAAAAAGATGGGAGAACAGGAAAGAAATCCGCGTAATTAACAATTCTACTCAACTTACCTTCATTATCACAGGAAATGTTGCTGAATGAATTACATTTGGCGAAATATTTTTTTTATCACCTCATTAATTTTAATTGTGATAATTTATTCGTAAGATGAATTTTCTCATCATGTTGAGAATTTGATTCGTAAAGATCATGTTTTTAAATGACGTCTTATTAGCCAATTGTTTAGTTGAACTATGATAAGCAGCAGACATCAACACCAAAACATGGAAAATCAACTAACGAGCTTCATTGTGATTGCTCGATTTAATTTAATGAATCGTTCTTGTCTGCGTATATATTTAATTAAACCCTGAAATTAATCTCATAAATTGTGTTGGTCATTGGGATGAGCTTAACGAGGAAATGAAGATGTATCGACTACAAGTGCATAACTGTTTCCTATTACCGTTTCTCCCTCTCTCAGTAAGAGTGACTTGTGCGTACTTGTAGTGTGAATGGACAGACAACCACAATCACTTCTCGTCATGAAATTAAATTGTTCAACTGCTCTCATGATGATATCAGTGCAGAATTAAATTAATATCTGAATTTTAAATGTCTAGATAATCAAAAATTAAATTTACGATGAATAAACACGTTGATGTTGATCACTGTTCAGGAGCTTGTAGATTGGCACATATTTTAATTTATACTATCATCAACGGTGTTGATAAAAATGGAAATATGGTGAACAATAAGCATGAAGTGCATTCAAATGTGAAAAAGCAGACACTGAACTCAAACCCCAAGGATTATCAGCTTTTCCCTGTTGTCGACATAGTGGATGGTAATTTAAAAAAAAGCTGAGAAAAATGATTTTCTACCAACATTTTCACCACTGACTTGTTTTTAAATATTTGATGACTTTACTTGAAGTACAATGACTGCCTGCAGCGTGAATTCTCTGACATTTTGGTTGAAGTAGTAAGAAGCTTCTTGTTTGTCTGTGTGTTCCCTTGTGCTGCCTTAAAATCCATTTGATTTTACTCATGAAAAACAACGTTTTTTTATTGTTGCTTGAGGGGATTTCGTTGGCAAAGGTATTAAAATAAATCCTGCGAAATATACACAAATTTACATTTTTTTTATCGTGGATTACTTTGAACAAATGTGTAACAGCGGGCAGCGCTGACAGGTCATAGATAATGCTCAATAGAATAGAAAAATTCTACAAGATTTTCTCTCTAGTTTAGCACAAATGAGATGGCTAGGAATAAGATTCACAAATCATCCTTAAATATGGTGAAGGTTTGACATAAAAACAGGTAAAATATCGTCAATGATTGTCACTTAACCGTTGGTTCATTTGACATTAATGAGATTGTTTCATGTGTTTGTCCGCAACAAACGCTTCTTTACTTCATTGCTGGCTTTTATTAAGGTCACAGTATGTTGTTCACCCCCCAATCAAATAAAGAGCTTTCTCAGTGTGGTTCGTCGAGACGATCTCACGCTTCTTATGCGTCGTTAAAAGAATTTGCTCTTCACTTTTTCCCCTCATCACCATCTCGAGGCATTTCGTAGCGGTTGGAAAATTTTACTACGTATTCAGCTAATGATGATGAGAGCGATAATGAAAATGATTATTAGGTTCTTATCGCCTTTCTATTTCAACGCTTAAGGATCCAAGACGTTAAAAGCGACATAAACAATTGTTTGCTTCCTTTTCGTATTTCCGGAGGCATCGCAAAAACAAAGAAATTTTTATATAAAAAAAAGATTTGTAAACAGTTTTGAGAACAAATTAATATGAATTCTTTAAAATGCGTACAAACATTTATGTAGACTAAAAATAAATCCCCAAAACAAAAGAAGAAAATTTCAAGACAACAGATGATTTTCCGACTTTCTGTTTCTTCATTTTTTCCGTCTTAATTGTTTGTCTTTTTTCTTTCTTATTTTTCTACTCATTTCTATGTATCGTCATCATCATTCCCGGTCGTTGTTTATTGTTATTCTCTTCGACATGTCTCAAGAAACGGGTTAAGCGACGTATTTTTTCATAAATATAAATAGAAAGTGCTTGCAAGGGAAAAGTGCCGTTCGTTTTGAGCATAACGAGTTGTGATGTGTGTGAAATAGAGACAAAGTCGAGCAAGACAAATTGTAAAGTTAAGAGATGTTTGAGGAAATTGCATGCTCATAATCGTTTACAAACTTAGTGAGATCATGTTGTACATCAGTATAGCAATATGTACAGAAGCGTGTCAATTTTGAAAGTCGTTAGACATTTTTATTAATGTGGGACTTTGGCAAAGAAGTTTCAACTTTAAGTGTCGCAACTGTAAAAGTGAAGAAACCCTACTTAAGTAGCAACAAGAAATCTCTTAACAGAAACATCACATGTCAGATAAGATTACCTCCATCTCACGACTTCTTCAGAGCCAACACTCTCCTAATTGTCTCCAACCTTTCCTTCCATAATGAGAATAAATCACTGTTGAGTGCTTTTCCCCACCCACCCATCTTCACGAAGTAAAGGCAAGAAAGCGAAAAAAAGAAGCATCTTGCGAAAAGTCCGTAGAATTTTAATGATTGTAATTGAAAAAGCCATAAACAATGCTATTAGGAGTTGAACACCATCTTATAACAAGGCGCAATGTCATTCCAAGCGAACGCTAACAAAGCTCAAAGTCGTAAAGTTAAAATTTATTTATTTGTTTGTTTTTCATCTTCTTTTCTTTTCCCCGTCCTACGTACATAAATAAAGGATGATAAAAAATTAAGTTTTACGAGTATTTTGAGTTGAAGTCGGTTGGTTTTCTAGATGGATGAATGAATTGTAAAATGGGCCACAAAAAAGCCGGCATGAAAACGACGTTACGCTATGCGACTTTCTTCTACACTTGATGACGATTTTTTAGTGTCACCATCAATGCTTCGTTATTATTTTTAGATTGAAACCAGAAAGGAAATTGCTCCATTGTTATGTTTTGCTTATTTTTCTTTCGCTCACGAAATTTTCGTAAAAATTAATTAAAATCATAAATTTGTCGCAGTCATCAAGACTCCGGTGCTTACTTAAGTTTTATCACAGACATTTTACGTTCGAAACATGACAAAATTGTAAACGTCGCTTGTCACTTTATGTGATGACGAGTTTAGAAATTGAGCTCTGTAAGGCAATTCAATTTGAAAACCAATTATGATGAACATTTTTGTTTGCATTCTAAACATTCTAACAGTTGTAAGGTTGCACATTGAAATGTTATTTAAATAAATATTAAATAAGACCAGGGCGGAGATATTTCATATTAATTGAATGCTAATCTTCAAACATGAAACTGCAGCTTCATTATTATGATGAGATGAAGCACATGCAAGCAGACGATGTTGAAGATATTTCCGTAGACAACAAAGATAAATGAAAATTGATGGATTTTGAGTGACTCAATGAGTAATGGGAAATGAAAATGCATCAAGAGGAAAAACTGATTTTCCTCAAATTCTTCTGCTAAGCCTACTAACAATAGATCGCTCATAGAGTTCGCAACATCCACACAAAACTCATCTTCTTCCCTACACTCACGAATTAGTAATTTTTCATTTTCTTGTTCTGTTACTGTTTACATCATATCATGGCGACAACAATGGGATGTATTGTATATGTTTTCGTCACAAAGACTGTCGGTTTATTGTGTTGTGTCTCATATCTGTTACTCTCACGCCATATTTAGTAAGAGAAGAGAATAAAAAAATGTTTTCTATCACCTTATAAATATCATGTCGGTATGTGGAAGCATTAAAAGTGTTTAACAGTTACTTCGTTCACCTCTTTCATTGCTATTGAGGGATGATAAACAGACGTGTCGCTGGTTAAAGTCGTTGCCATGTTTCCGTGAAACTTTGACAAACCATCAATCATTCCTTTACGAATGAATATGTCGCAAAAAAATTTCAGGATTCAAAGAGTCGACTCCGACTTATCACGAAATATTTCAGACACTTCAACCGACTTCTCACCCATTTGCCGAGAGGGTTAAATTAATGTGTTTACTTTCGACGAATGCCTCAAAGTTGCTTTAATATTCAACAAAAACAGAAAGCTCTTATCAATCATTTTGAGAAAATATTTTTATTGTTCATGGCGCACACAATGTCGATATTTCGTTTTCACGATCCACAATGCTTTTTACGGCTTTCAGAATCCTTCTCATGAAACGTTTTGCACGTGACGTGTCTTAATGGAACAGAACAAATGTTCCATACAAATACTTAACCCAAGCATGCGATAAATGAAAATGGACAGCAATTAAAACTCAAAGAAATTACTAAGAAGAAATTTCCCTGACGATTCTTGCTCTCGTCATTAATTTTTAAGATTCATATTTTCCGCATACTCAATGTTGTTGCTTTATTTGGCTTTCTTCTCCATTTTATTGCTCTGCTCTGTTCTGTTGTAATAAACTTAAAAGTAACTTTGTAGACTTGTCAAGCTGTCATTTTATTCCTTCAAGATTGTCATAAATCAAATGTTAATTGAACGAAAAATTTTGCGACTTTCTTCAGGTGCAAGCACCACCTTTCACCTTAATAAATTATATGATTGACACCTTAACATACCTACAAGTTTTCTTATTATACTTTCGTCGTCCCTTCACAAAAATTTACTTCCTTTAACACTTCCGGAAACATTTTCAATATTGAAAGAAACAATTCCAAAGTTTTATTTGACGAAGATTTGAAGGGTCGGGAAAAGGTTGAAGGTGAAAATGATGAGAGGATGTCTCGTTAACTTTTACACGACACACGTGGTTAAGTTATTCTTGTACTAATTTTAATTTCATTTTAAATCTGTAATTTCTGTTCCTTCAACTTTTGATAAAGTCAAAACCACAAGGTGAATGAATTTCTTTAAATGGAAAAGGAATTCCAAACTTTTATTAGTTTCTTATTATTTATTAACAAATTGTTTCTTGATTTTCAATTATTTAGATACATTGTCTAAATTCCAAGTTTCATTCGAGAAGTTTTTGAGTTTTTCTAGGAAATTGGAAGAAAATGTAGCAAAGAAATTTTTCTTCCAATTCATGGAAAGTTTATAGAAATTTAAGCACAAAATAAACTTTGGTTTGATGTGCTTGTTCTCTCTGACGTTTCTTTGTTGTATTTCACATGGCATAACCCTTGTGTTCTCCATTACTTTCTACGTATTAATAATTCCATTTGAATTCCCTTTTCAAGTCACTCCTCTAAATCTCTAGAGAAAAGACAACAAAAACTTGAAAATCTAGTGATGTTTAAGTATGATTTAGATGATATGTATAAGGCAAATATATCCTAATACATTTTTGACATCATACTTCGTTTTGAAAAGGGTCAGATGTAAGAGAAGGAAATGAGAGAAAAATCTTGAAAGCGGGAAAAAAAATACCGCACGCATTTCCTAAAGAAAACTTTCTCCTTAATCCACTAGAGGCAAACATAAATCAATAAATTTTCTTTTATTTTTGTTTGTCTTTGCAGCTTTGCTTTCGGGAACTCTAAGAACATATCAAAGAGCGGGCTGTGATCACGAGTATGTACAATTAAACTGTCCTCGAGGCACAACAATCTCCATCGAGTTCGCACAATACGGAAAATATGGAGGCGACTCTAACGATGGCCTTTGCCCAGATACGACAGAAAATACACAAAAAGATGGAAACGTTATTAACTCTGGAACTGAAATAGAAATTAAAACCCCAGAAAGATGTATGTGGCCGTCAGCATTGCAAGTAAGTTATTGAACATTAAATAAAATAAATTGTTGTTGAGTGAGTTCAATCAAAAAAAAATCGAATGACAAAATTTAAAAGTTTATTCCAAAAGTTTTTATGCGCAGATGTTTGCACACATTTTTATGAAGGATTTCAAGTTTTATTATCTTTAAGTTTATTCAACAAACATTTTAGGAAAATTATTTGTTGAAAAAGTTAAAGATTACGAGAGAAATCTCAACATAAATTCATCCAAGCACTGCATCATCATTTAAATGTGAAAGAACGAGAATATTTACCAAGTATTGTCAACGAAATTATTGTTGAATAAGAGAATACTTTATTTGAATTTGCCAGTAACGAAAACAAATTGCATTCAACTTTACTGCTTCTGTCATATTTCACTTTGTAATTTATGTTTGTCTTGTCATACTATTTATTTTCCTTGAAATGTTTAATAGAATTTTCATCTGTTTCATGTCAAAAAACAAAAGAAGAAAATTTATTTTATGAAACTTTTATTTGTTGTGAGATATTTTAATATGTTGTTGGTCTCGTAATTGAGTGATTGTTTACCTACATGACCATCATTTTGTTACAATTTCATGACATGAGAGAAAATTGTCATAGCAGAGAATGCATCCACATTGTCTTTGTCAATTATTTACCTACTATAATGGAAGTTAATGCAATGATCTCATCTCACATCAGACGTCTTTCTTTTTGTCTCAAATAGATCGAAATAAATGTCTTTGAAACATTTTTCATCATAAAAACGTGCTGCTTCTATCCAAATTCGAGACAACAACATCGTAGAGCTGTGTCAACTGAAAATTTCATCCTTAAATTCAATTTCTCAACATGAAAGCACTCTTGATTCTTTCTGAAGCAGACATGAAGTTTGCAATAAACTGAAAACGATTTTCAAAGTACACGTTAGAAACTTTTCCGTAGTGATGACGCTTCAAAATCATATGAAAATCGTGTAACAATTTTATTGGAACGTTCTGTTGAATATTATTAAATTTCATTTCGGATTCTCTTTAAAAGATGATGAAAAATTTCGCTGACAAATGAGTGAATTAAAAACCATAAATTCCCATTAAAGTGATTAACAACAGAAGAAAAGGACAACAGCGACATTATTTTAATCATTAATCGATCACTTCTTCTGTGGTTTTTATAAACAATAAACATTGGAACCGCTGCCAACCATCAACCGATTGTAATCAAATGAATCATTTATCAATTTTCCCTGACACTTGATATGCCTGATTGTCAATGTTTCTATAAAAGCTTTCATTTTAAATATTGCCGATATCAAACTACATAAGAATTAAGATTCATTCGTTGTTCTCGTTTCATTGCAATGTCACAGACTCAAGGGATAAATTCCGATTTATGATTTCACCACAAAAATAACGACGGAAAAATTTGGTCTTATCTCAATCACTATCGAGTCCAATTTGGAAGCAATGAATGATTGTGTTGAATTCTAATAAATTGGCTTTGTGTATGTGAGAATGCTTTTGAATAATTGGGGCGTATATTAGTCAAAGACGAGAAACATGAATTTTTATGCTATAAAATATGCGACGAGCTGCAAATGTCCTCCCCACATTTAAATAAATGACACATTGTCACTTCCGATTTTCTTCTCCATAGATAATTGTTTATCACATCAGGGATTGAAAAAGAGAAGTAACAAAGTTAATGGCAACAAAAAAAGATTGTAGAAGTCTGAATTAATGCCAGATGTGTCGTTTTCTTTTTCGTCTAGTTTTCCACTAACGTATCGTGTTTTGTTTAAAAGAATGAAAGCTTTAGTTAAGGGAGTAAAGTCATCAGCATCTAATAGAATGGAAGCAATTTTGCTGACGTTTCTTTCTCATTTCTATCTGTTTTCTCATTCCTAAATATTTTGATAGATCTGTTATTGATTGAAGACTATCGTCATGTATAACATTACAATGTTTGTTGGAGAAATGAATAAATTTCTATCATTTTGTTGTCTTTCATCCCCTCAGCTTGACATCCACCTTTGCTGTGATGCGTCCAAGCTACGACGAATGAGAAATGAATAAAAATTACATGCATGACATGACATGATGACATAGAAAGAAATGAGAGAACACAATAGACATCAAATGACAATTGACATTGATTACTGATTGCTGAAACTTCGATATCGTTTGTAACGAAATGAAAAGATTTTATTCGTATCATATACGATCGTACTTGAATGAACCTTTCATAATTGTGATTCTTCGAATGCTTTTTGAAATCATATTTGAGAGGCTTCTGAAATGATTGATATGAATAAAGATATCGTTCATAGTCTTGGTCGAATGACTTCGATCAATCGTCTCGAAAGTACTTCAATCATAATTTCATGTTTTATGAAGCCTTCCAAAATAATTTTCCATGCCAATTACTTCAAATTGTTGCTTATAAAACCAAGTCAAATTTATTTACTTACGTTCAAACGTAATGTAATTTCAGGGAATCAGTAAAATTAATAAAATTTCGCTTCAAGCATAATGAAATTTCCCTTTTTCATCGAATCAAATAGGAACGAAAATAAAAAAAACAACGAAAATGATTAATCATCAGAAAAAATGAAGCAAATTGAGAGAAACAAGCGAAATAATTTGTGAATCTCATTGACGATACACTTCTTATTTCGCTGTAAATTGTTTTCTCAAGCATTTTGCTGTTCCTTTCGACGTCGAATTTATGAGCGCTTCAGAGATTGATGTTGAATTTGCGAGATCAAATTTTCTATGCGTTTAAGGAAGGATGAAAAACCTCCGTTGTGTTATCAATTTCGTGCTGTTCATAAAATCGATAAAAATGAAGAAGACACGGAAATTGTCGGATAACAGAGTCTTACAATTCAAACGATGAGCTCTTGAGAACTATTAAGAAGTGTATCATGAAGAAAAAGAAAGACATTCTTATAAATCATAATATAAAATGGCTTTCAGCATAATCAGCAAAAATAATTGAATGTTCACAATTTTATATTTTTTTTCTCGAACTTCAGCTTACAATGTTATGACAAATTCTTCTTTTTTTCTGCCTTTCGAACCGAATAGCTTTTAAAATCGCTTCAGAGGCGCCTCATCTGAATAATGCCAAGAACTTCTGTTGCTAAATCAACTTGAGCTAGTCACTGTGAGCTGTCACATGTGGCACACATAACTTAAACATACATCCATTTAAAGGCTCAACAAGAGATGAAATTAATTCAACATTTTTTTTTCTTCTTTCCTTGGAAACTGAAAAAAAAAATGCGAATAATGCGAGCATAGATAAATGGGTATGGAACCGAGACAAAAAAATGAGAAGATGCAATAAAAGCTCCACGAAAGAAGCAACTGCGAACGTTCAGTTATTTCATGAGCTTCGCTATGTGTATGCGATTGCGTACGCGAAATAATAGAAACATTATAAAAGCATATACAATGTTGATTATATCATCGTAATGTATCATTTAGCGACGATACGACGAATGTGGAAAATTGAAACACATGTATCATGGTATACACTTAATTTGTTTTTTTTAAGGCTTATGAATCCTTTCTCGTTTTTTTTCTTTTACTCACGGTGACGACAAAGACGACGACAGCCTGAGAGAGTGACATCTTCTGCCTTTGGGAAGTTCTTTTTCTTCCCATTCCGATAAGGTTTTATCTCTCGTCTCTTGTAAGATTTTATAAAAACACAAGGCATGGCAAAGTGAAGAAAGAGAAATGGAAATCTCATTTGTTATTCTTAAATAAAAGTGGCATGAATGTGAAATTACATTAGACGAGATTTGTGAATAATTTTTTCCTGCTTGTTTCGAAATTTGTTTTTCGAAGACTCTGACAACGTAAGATATTGAAATAAGATTTTCCTTTTTATTCCACTCAGTATGACTCTTAAAATAATATTTTTTGAAAAAATGAATTTATCTGCGCTTCATAGCTGACATCGCATGTTGATATGTAAAAAGTGTGCGTGGGTTGTCTAACCTGCAGGCGTTCATATGAATCAAATTTTATAAACAATTCGTTTCCCCTGAAAGGTATGCAAATTGCATAACGACTTTTAATAAAGCTTCGATTTTGTTGCATGAATAATTATTAAAATTATGCTTATTAAGCGAATATTTTTCTATTAAATTTAAAATGATTTCCAAACAATTTTCTCTGTTTCTCTCAGTCTATGATCTCATATATCTCCACAATTACATCATGAAGATGAGTTGTGTCACTTTAATGTTGTGAAAATTTCCGCTCTTTTTGCATAATAAGTCTCAAGTTAGCGAGAAAAAAAACGGAATATAATTTACCACGCTTGCTAAAGACGAGACAACAAAAATTTGGTGATTTAACGCTAATCCACCCCTCAAATTTACATCCTTTATTACCACGACATTGCCTCGTCGTAGATGTGATGATAAACTTCAAGTCTTGCCTCAACTTTTGTTTATAAGGAGTTTTACTCGTTGTTGTTGTGGATATATCAAAATGAATGTGATTTAAGTTTATGTTGTTTTCCTCTTGATTATTTGTTTGAGTAAAACTTTAAGTCTATGTCGAGAGAAAAAAAATGTCACATCATTCATAGCGGGCTTACATAATGTAGATCAACATATTACTTTGATCATTCATTACTTCTTTATCGCGATTTCTTTCCAAATTTAAATTTCCTGTTCCTACCACTAAAACAAAAGCAAAGCTCAACTCAAGTTAATTAAAACATGAGCTGAAACTGTAACATTGTGGAGTGGAGCTAATGTTTCGGAATGTGTAATGGCAACTGTGATGGGAATTTAATTTCTTTCTTACACCCTGAAGCATTTACATGACTTACAGTTTCCTCGCTGATTTTCTCTTCTTTCTTCTCTTTTCGTTATTTTCCCTCGGCATTTTCATTCATTTCATCTTTCCCTTTCGTTCTGGTTCTCTGTTGTGATGTTGATGTTGTCGTCATTAGTCATTGTGAGGTTAATTGAAGACAAAAGCTTTGCTCAGTGTTTCTCCTACTGGTGAATGAGATATGTGAAGCGTTAAAAGCACGTTGAAGCAATAAATTTCTGCAAAGAGTTTGTAGAATAATGACTTTATTTATTTCGAGTGAAGCTTTAACTGTTCTGATTACACTTTGCCTCAAGTTTCGTGGAATAATTACTGCCAATGAAATATTGTTGAAAGAATTCTATAACAAGGTTTTCCATTGCAAATGAATGGTCTAACGAGCAGCTGTTAACATTTTTATACTTAACATATTTGCTTTTCCAATTACTGAACTGAAAATGTACAAATCAAAGAGCCTTTTTATGAAACTGACATACCTACGCAATCCCTGTATGAACATAAAGTGACCAATCATTAATTCTATGACACGATACTTTGATCTTCAATTTTATCCAATCGACTACCCCAAGGCCTCGTAAAATTTCAATTTTCATAGGAGTTGAAAAAAACAAAAAATCAACGAACGATGAGTCTCTGAACATGAAACTTTTTAATGAGAATTTCTTTTTTGTCTTTTTTTGTTTCCTCCTCGAGACACGCGCTTTGTTCAACATGAAACTTTTCTGCTTTTGTAGCTGAACTGAAATAAAGTTGTTTCAGAGTCCCCAACGTTGTAGAATGTTACAAAAGAATTATGAATGGAGCTATTCTGTGAAAGAAGGAAAAAAAAGGTTTAAAACTGACGTAGCTTGAACATAACGCCTCCACAGACTGGAAAAGTATGCCAACCGACATCTCATCTCACATTAAAAACTTTCTAATCATATTTTCATGATCATTTCAGTCCTCTCGTTCATTTTCGTCTCATGTTTTATTTATTCTTTCTATTCGGGATTCATCTTTGAAAGTTTATCTTTCCTCTTTTATTCACTCTCTTTTTTCCGCTATAAGATGTTGGTATTTGATCATGAATCATGAATGTTGAATTGTGCGAATGCTGATGCGGAGACTTTCCATAATTCTTTTTACATATTTTTTTTTTCTTCATAATTTTCACGGAATTCTCTCCGACTGACAAGTGGAAGAATGTTGAATAGATTTTTCTCATTTCTATGGAAAAAATTTTGGTGGTAGTAGGAGAAACATTTTCACAATAAACAACCATGAAGACTTCATGCAAAGATGCTTTAAACTTATAAATTTTGGGTCCTATGAATATTTAAATATTCGAATCACATAGAAAAAGAAGTTCTTGTTTAAAGATTAAAATTTTCGTGACTTTATTCTGACTGTTGAATATTATAAAAGATGCTTAAAATATCACGGATAAAGCGTTAGATAAAAGAAGAAAATAATCTGTGGAAAGTCTTGGGCTACGTTGAAAGAGAATTCAATTATCTTAATGTTGAAGTTGATTTACAATTCTGGGGAATTATCAACTGATTTTAATTATTAAATGTTCCATCCTTAAGTTGTTGCCATCAGAAATGTTTGCAACAGTAAATAGAAATGTGTTTGAATGTCAGCACAAGAAAAGTAACTAAACGTCTCTTAATTGGTCTTTCAAGTGCTTCAATTGTGTTCATTCGTTGACGTCCTTAATTATTTACAATTTCTATTTCTAATTAAAATGAGAATGAAGTTTGAAAGTTTTCTGAAATAAATCTCATCGAATAATAAATTGAAGGAAAAGTTGTAAAAGAAATAATTAAGTAACATGGAGAAGAATCATTAAGTTTTAGATGGCAATTACTGGTTTCTTTGTTATACATTTTTGATCTTTGTACACGTGTGGCATTGAAGACAATGAATTGAAAAGTTTTATTCTACTCGTGTCGTTACTGTAATAAAATTAACGAGATTATTAAATTGGAATATTTGATTGAGATTCAGCAGACACGTTCGACTCCCTTCTTTTACTTTCCCTTCCTATATCATTCAGTAAAAGCTTCTTCAAAGTTTTTCCTTTATATTTTATTCGTTGTCAAGGATTGTAACTAAGCGATATTGGGTCATAGATGTTTTATTGGAACGAAAGATTCATGGAGGAATGTAAGATAGACGAAGAAAGTTGTAAATGTCGCCCTCGTTCAGGTAATCACGTCGAATGACGATGTGATGGCTTCTTATTGGAAATTCATGTTCTTTGTATGTGGCTTGTCTTTTGATGTTCGGATAACGATAAAAATTTATCACACAAATAATTCAAATAAAAAGGAAAAACTTCTATTGAAAGTTTAAATCAATTGGTAATCAAAATTACTGATTTCTCTCTGAGGTTTTCCAATCAAATTTAATTTTTACAATTCTTTTATGTTTTTTATGCAGGGCCCTGACTTGACTTGACTTGACTCATTTTGGAAATGTTCATGACTTGACATATTTTCTTGACTTGACTTGAAATTTCTCTTTCACTTGACTTACTCAGGTTAATCGACTTGAAGCAAAACCCAAACGAGTCAAGTCCCTGGTTTTATGTGATGAGCTAAGAGTGGCGTGTTGTCAAAAAGTTGTCGAAGAAATTGAAGAGATTTTATTTTTATGTGGATCTGCACCAGATGCATTTTACATTGAACATTGTTTGTAATTCTACGACGAAATTGAAAACCAAATGAAATCTTTAATGAATATTCTTGACTTTAGATGAAATTTTCTTAATTTGATAAAATTAAAGAAAATTTATTGCTGACAACTTTTGCAATTAAATGAAAGAGTAAAATTGAAACGATGTTTCAGCTGATAAATTAATGCATAAAATTTTTAATGAAATCTTTCTACAAAGTTTCAATTATCATGAAATTAAATTATTCATAAGTCTTTCCACACCACAAGGTTTCCTTTAAAATTGGAAAACCATGCAGAAAAAAAGCTCAAAATTTTATGTTTCTTTCGATGAGCTTAACACAACAAGCAGAAGCCTCAACTTATTAACATCATAATCTCATATATGCTTAAAAAAATTCATATCCTTAAAATTATTTTCCAACAGAACCGCAATCATACTTATTAATAAAAAAAAATCTACAAAAGCATCAGCGTAAAGAATCTCATGCGAGAAACGAAATCCTTTCAAGGAGCTCAAACATAATTTGGGGGACTAGATGAACACTCTTCAGTATGTAAATAAATGCTGCAGTAGATAGGAAATAAAAACAAACTTCTTGTATTTGTATTCAGCCTTAACCAAAGTATTCATTCGGGAAAGACTCTGCAAAGAAGGAAAAGGATTATTTCTTCTTTTTCTTCTTTTAAAGCCTTTCACGTCTCAAAAGAGCATTGATGTAGTGAGTATAAAGATGCGAGCGCACTCCAGAATTCCACCTTCACGTATGTGTTTTCTTCTTATCTTATCTGAATTCAAAAGATTAAAAGATTTGATAAAAGCTTCTGAAATTGGATGGCAACGTAATTAAAATATATTTTTCTTCAAGATGACTAATTAAATTTTCTTCTTCCATCTGCTAAAATTTATTTCTTTCTTCCTTTCTTTTTTTCTTGTAACACAAAACGTCATTAAAATTTGCATAAGAAATTGACAAAATCTTATTCAATTATAAAGTAAAATTAAAGGATGAACATGTCGCGAAGAAAGAAATTTGTTGGAGTTTAAGTTTCTTCCCTGAAAGGTGAATTATTTAGAAGCTCTATGAAAGAATAAAAAAGAAAAGTTTATACTTTAAAGTTTCCACAGCATAAACTGCTTCAACAACAACCAACAGATGAGCATAAAGAAATCGTTTTTACTAATGGCGAGAGGTTGGGGTTAGTCGACAATTTACTCGTTTCAAAGCCATGCAATAAAGCTTTGTTTACTTATAGCAATTTGAGGAGAGATTTTCTTGTAATTATTGTTGTCCTCTCCGCCTCCGCATTTCCATGTGAAAGGATGCCTATTCTCTAAAAAAGGCCATAGTGCTTAAACACAATGTGAATAGGGGAAAAAATATAAATATAAAAGAGATCTCTCGCTTTATAATCATAATTGAAAATCTCCTACATACACGATAGAGGCAAACAGAGCAAACATAATGTCAAACACAAGAGTAAACTGTTGACAATGTTGAAACTGAGAAAGGACGAAGGCTTGAAAAAGGATTTTTCATTCATTCATCAATCGATTATCACAATAAATGGATTGAAAAGATGTCTTCTGCCTGCTTTTCAGATGGGTGTGTGTTTGTGGTCTTTTATGATATGATTATGATGATGATGATGATGTACAACACTCAAGAATAGAAAAATGGTTTATGTAGAGAATTTTGAAAGCTCCCATATGCCTCAAGCTTTCTCTTCTCTATCATAGCTGCTACTGTAAGTTTATTGTGAATATGTGAAGATTTTACAAAAGCCAGTCACTTACTGTGTTAAACAATTGAGAGAAGGATTATGTAAGTCTCTTGAGAAACTTGAACATTAAAGCAACATCGAATACTTGCTTTGTCTATTCACAACAAGACTCTTCTTGAGTCCAGCTTTTCATAATAAACGTTATGATGAAAGTAACTGTTGTTGCTCTGGTAACTTCCGTAAAAGCGACGTAGATCCTTGAAGAAGGGAAAAGGGAAGAAAAACTAATTAAATTTGGAAATATTTGAGAAAGTCTTGAATGTTATATGCGCTTTGGCTTCATTTTGTTCCTCGTCAGATCTCTTCTTACTTTTTTCAGTAAAATATTACATAAACAGTGGAAAGCTTTGTAAAACCATCATTATACCGTTGTACACCGAATCAGATTTTGCGGCACTTTTTTTAATGAAAAGCGAGAGAAAAAAATCTAATTAATGCTTTTAATTAGATCCTTTTTACTCAGTCAGTCGAGGAAAATGCTTCGAGTCTAGGAAATGGACAAGGAACAAAAAAAAACATTGACATGGAGTACCCAAAATACATAGTAACACTCCTCGAGAATCATCGCTAGAAGCAAACCGAGTAAAGCGATGGACAGAAAAAAAGAGAGAAGAAAAAAAATCAAAGCAAGAATGCAAATTTAATTCTAACTAATTTGGGTTAAACTGATTTTATGTCACTCACAATTAAAAGTTATTGAAGCAAAAACTCTCCTATGTCGATTTACATTTAGCAGGTTTCGCATTGACTTTGTCGTGATGTTATTAAGTCCCAATGACCTCATTTGACTTTGGCATCAATTTCGAATTTTAATTTGCGTAAAGAAAATATTTTGTTGTAATGAATGAGGAGAATATTCTAATGGGTGAGGCAATAGAAAGCTATTAAGTCGTGAAAAACCAACCGCAACAATTTTAAGTTGAATAATTGAAGGATTGTTTTGGGGCGCTGACATGCGGAAGAGAAATTGTCGCTGATGTGATTCAGGGTGGGAATAATGGTGTCGTGTCATAAACTTCAATAAATTTATGCTTGAATAAAAGAACTTTATGACCCTTTTTGAAGAAATTCAATGCGACATTGTTCGGAGGGGACAATGAATACTTTCAACGTCACTAACTGTCAATGACGAAGCAGCAAATTTCCTGATAATATATTCAAAGCATTTTTGAATGAACGAGCAATTTTGATACGACAACATAAATTTATACTAAGCTTTGCCTTCTTTCATTGTTATCTTTCCAGTATTCACTGCTGCAGACAGTCGTCGAAGCATGTCAGAAGAAGAGACGATGCAGATTTCTGTCTTCACCGAAAACATTTGGAGGTGATCCATGTCCAGGTCATCGGAAGTTTATTGAAGTAGCATACAAATGCAGACCTGGTAAGTATACATTTTAAATTCATCTTCTTTATCTTGAGTGTCGCCTTTGCAACAGATACAAATAAATTAATTTGCGAAGAAAAATTCCAAACAATTGATTTATGTTTGTTGAGAGATGTTCAAATATCAAATACAATTCCAATCGATTTATAAAATTTAAATAGTTAACAACATAGATACAAATCATTTCCTATTCATTCGAATGTTTAAAACATAAAATTTGAATCGGCCTTAAAAGGTTACAATCCATTGAACATAAATTACACTTAAAAAGTGATAGACGAGAAAAGTTTCCATGAGAAATGTTAACAAAAACACAAATCTGGAAAAATCGAGAAAAGGAAAAACTTTTAATGGAGTTCATAGTTTATTGAAAAGATGTTTAATGAACTGTTATTTAATTAACCAAATCGATACAAATGGATTCCATACAATATCCTAAAATCGTCAATAAATAAATTGTTGTATGAATCGTGATCGTGAAACTTCGTTAAATCGATAGATCGCGCAGACACAACAAAGAATTGCTTGTTTAATGGACGATATGGTAGTCCATGGTTTCTCAAATCGTGATGAGAAATAGAGCAATAAAATTAGAGTGTTCCAATAATGGACTCGAATATCTTCTTATTCTAATAAAAGAAGCTTAAGCAGATAGTAACATATGTAGCAAAATCGCATAAAAATCCATTTGTTTCAACATCATTAATGCTCAAATACATAAATATGCTACATACATACATTACATAAGTCTGTAAAGTTATAATTGCTTATCAATAATACTCCCATGTTCCTAGAATGATCAAGCACGGCTATAAGCCATAAAAAATGGAAGAAAACTTTCGTGGCATGTTCTTTATGTCGTCATGTTAACATCAATATGTGGGCGTTTTAATTCGAAAGTTGAAAATTGGGTGACCTTTGATGGAAATTCTACGTGATATGATGTACGTGAATCTTTTTCTCAATGTCCACAAACATATTTTAGTGTTTCATTCTTTGTCTTACTCTCACATTTCTTCCGATCCGACGAACCCTGAAGATAAATAAAAGGGAACGAAAAAAACATAAACAAGGAGCGTCGTTGGGTGAAAGTTTAGTTGACAAAAACTGTTCGTTTTAACAATTGTGTCCCATCTCTATATTTACACCCGCAAAAGAAAATAAACTTTCTATTGATAAGATATGTTAATGTAATCCAATTTGAAGAAATTTTTTTTCTTCCTTTTTCTCTTTTACTATCCTTTGAAAATGGAAAAAGCGAGCGTGAAGGAAATCAATAAACGAATTCATTTTTTATCAATAAATCTCGACAGAACTCCTAGGGGGAAGATGGCGATGACGACGAATACAAACTGGGTTCGGTCCATCGCCTTTTATTTCTAACATTTTCAAACCCAATTTTAAGTCTCACTCGGATGGATTCCAAGTGTAAAGAGGCTTAAAAAATTTGCCTTTTTTCAATGTTTTTATTTTCGTTTTTTGTTTGAGAAAAGAAACTTTACGATTTTGTCATCCGAATCGATTGATTAAATGTTTAAATATTCTTTTCTTTTCAATCGAGATTTCGATAAGGAAATATTTGTAAATAATGACACTCGTTTGATTATCTCTTCGAATGAACTTTGTTATCGTCAGTTTTATTAGCAATTTAACATGGAAAAAGGTCTTCATTGCTAAATATTCATAACTTCTCAGAGAACCTCTTGAGATTAGATTATGTTTCCGACATCATTGCCACAATTTCCCTTATCAAAGTATTCAGCTTTTATTTTCTGCAATCCAAGACTTGTCTCGAAGGAAACAAATGCTTATTCGGATATCCATATATTGTTGAATGTTCGCAGCTTAATCGTCCCTTAAAAATATTCAATTCTCAATTGAGTAGTTGAGTGGAGGTAAAAGATTTTCATTTTTCTTCGACATGGTTCGTCGAGTCGAAAGTAAAGGCATCAAAATGGAAAATCAAATCACGCTTCAACACTTTTCTTACTTACTCTGTTGATATGAAGTTTTATTGAACATTGTGTGATGATATTACGCTTACAATCTCAGTTGAAGTATAAAAAGAATACGATGATTTGACATAAACTTAAAAATTCATCCGAATGCTTGCGAAGTTCATGATTCTTGAACTTATGAGCAGAGAAAAGTATCAAATCATCAGCTTTTCATATATAAACATTTTTTTTCATGAACATCTAAAGCTCATTAAATCTCTAAAGCTTAATCTGTGACAGTAAAAAGCTCCATTATGACATTTTCGTGACTTACACATTTCTCTCGTACTTACAGGTGAATTTCGTAGTAAAGTAGCTTGTGAAAACGATTTGATGACATTCGAGTGCAATCCTTACTCAAGGATTGCTATTAATGCAGCCAGCTTCGGTCGAACAGAATTTCAAAGTCTCCAATGCCCACAACAACCCGGAATTAAAGAAGAAAGTAAGTTAAAAAGGATGAAATTTCATGCTTCAAAGGTTCGAATTAATTTTGAATAATTTTGATATAAAAAGTCTGTTTATGGAATGGAAAACCCTTTTCTATTGATTTCCTTTCATTCAGATATGTTAAAACCTTGACAGTTAAATCTTCCTCTTGAACTTGTTTTAAATTGTGTTCTGCAGAAGTTTTTAAAGTCCGGAAGCATCAAAAAATATACAAACACAAAGAACAGATTAAGATAAATGTTGTTTGTCCGTATGAACCGAAAGTTCTGTTTGAAGCTTTTATTTTCTCTAGAGAGCAAATAAAATTCATTCCTCCTTTTTAACATCTGCTTCCAGATTGCCTAGCAAGCTACGCTACTGAAACTGTCATGCAATATTGTCATGGACGAAGACGATGCAGTCTCACAGCAGACCAAAAAACATTCGGAAAGCCATGCCAACCAGAATCCAGGATGTATTTGAAAGTTGTTTACACTTGTGGTATGTTCAAAGCTTGAAAAAAGATGTTTTGATAACAAATATTTCACTTTTCCAAGGAATTTATTTACTTTTTATGTTGCTTCAAACTTTTTTTACGCTGAAACAAACTAAACTGGAAACTTAAAGACTTAAGCTTTTATGTCCATTTCTGAACATTAAAGAAGCTTAAAATGCATCATGCATAAGCTCCTACAATGTAAATTCGTCAAATAAAACAGGCTATGCGTAAAGGCTTTAAGGGCTCTTAAAATCAAATTCCATTTCATTAGTTGTGCAATGTTCGAGTGAAGAGACGAATGAAGATGAATAGAAAAAAGGAAAAGCTTCTAATAGCATCAAACAGTTTTTTCACTTGCAAAAGCTTCTCTATTTGATTGATTTATAGCTTCCAATTAAAGAAAAGCTCTCCCTCTTGAATAAAATAAAAAGAAGGAGAGAAATAAAATAAAATTCTTCCACTTGAGCTCTTGGTGATGACCCATAAGACTCAAATGGAAGAAAAACTCCGCAATCATTTTTCAGTTCATTAAAAAGTGTTTTTCTGCTTTTGATTTTCTTTTTCATTTCAATTTGTAATTGTGATCAGCCACTTTTTCCGTTTTTCTTCTATCATCTTGTTAGTTTAGATTGATTCATGTTCAAGCTTTCTTCTTCTTTTTTTCTTTTTGCTGTAATTGCAGAAGCGTGAGGTTGTTGAAGTTATAAGAAGCTGTAAAATGCATTTTCCTTCCCATTCTCAATGAAATCAAATCATTTGATTTCCCATTATACTTTTCACTCTTGGAAGACATTAAAATGCTATGAAAAGAAGGAAAATCTTGCATTAAAATGGAAAAAGATTTAAAATTGAAAGATTTGTGCGGATCGTATATCTACATTGTAGATTTGTGTTATTCATGCAACATAAATATTTATTTTGTTGTTCAACACATACCGTTCTCTAACTCTTGTTGTAAATCATTCAAAATGTAACGTGAAAGTACAATTTACAAATAAAAAAGAAGAGATAGAGAAGAAGGACGTAAATATGTAATAGAAAAGTATCTTATCTTGTTCAACTCACGACTTCAAATCATTTTCGGTACACAACTTTATCTGATGTTGTTTCTTCAAACATTTACATGTACATAAACAAGACTAACTTTTCTTCTTCTTTTGTCATACTTTTTCCCTACCAACAGTACCACGTAAAGTGTTGATTGATCGATTTGAATCGACCCCTGAGCCCGATGAGCCTCTACAAATAGACGATGTTGAGCCGGAACAAGAAGAACTTTACGACGAAGACCAATTTTATAAAGAATCAGATATATCACCGGGACCAGCACCGAAACTTCAAGGTGACATTGTCAAAAAGCCTCAAAGGTTTGATGATTCGTCATTAGCTGTAACATCGAGTATTAGTCCACCACAGCACACAAGAGACGAATCTTTTCTTGAAGGTTTGTTTTACTTAAGGATAAAATTAATTAATCAATATTTACACAATGCTCTCGTCTGTTGAAAAGTTGCTAAGCTACTATTCACCAAAAGCACATTATGAAAAGATAATTATAAATTTGTTTAGTTTACATATTTCATCCCATTCATATTTTCCATCCACTCCTCCCCTTCATAGCTTCACAAAGAGTTTTACCGCTGAAAGCACAAATCGAGCACAACTAAAAATTATTTTAATAGAAAACATAACACAAACAAGCTCAACCCAACAACTGTTATTATGTCAAGGCACTGTACTCGATATTTTATCAAACCACCCCACGAACCTTGTTAGACAAGCTAAATAGAAGCGTTGCTGTTCGCTGTTTACATTGCATTTAGATTCAAATGGATTATTTACATTATAAAGATTGCAATTAAAACAGTTGCGCGATTTTTCTTCTTCTTCCTTTTCGTTGTCTCGCATAAATTTTGCGATCAATAATCGTTCATGCATAAATTTCCTGATATTTATGCTTTATTAATGACGTTTTCCGACTGCTCAAATTATTATAATCTGGGTAGTAAAGAAGGTCTGTTTAAAATGAAACCACAAAGTTTTCTTTCTTAATATCGTCCACTACACAGCTGCAAAGGCAAAATAGGGTGAAGCAAAATTCGTTCATGATGATGTTAAATGGACGGTGAATAATGTTTAAGTTAGATAGGAAGGATTCTTATTCTTTAGACCTTCTAAATGTCTTTTAAATTCCAATAAATGATCGGATGCATTTACTCAAACTTCACTAAATCAAAAGACTTAAATATCAGTTTTGTTATTTGAAAAGTTACTAATAGTTGAAAGAATTGAGAGCAAACAAACATCTGATGCTGATATTAAACTTGTCCCTTTTTACTTTCTTTCCTTTTTATTGTTTTCAACTTTACTTTACAAAGAGAGAAATTGAAATGAAATTGGTGATTTGAAAAGAAAGTTTTGTGCATTTTAACTTTGTTGCATGGAATAAATTTAAACTTCGATGGAATCAATGAATTGTCGTGTCATTCATATGTGAAGTAATGTAAGAAAGCAAGAATTACTTGCTTTTATTGCTGACTGCGGGGGTGAAATTTCCCTTTTATGTCGTTGTCAAGGAGAATTATTTGTAGGTAGAAATGTGGCAAGATCCATAAAATTGAGATTTTTGTGATGAGGTTGAAAACTTCGTCGTAATGTGATTTTAGGGAAGCAAAGTTTACTTTTACATCTTTCCAAAAATATTCACATTCGAGATCCTCAAATGGTTTCGAGGGAGAAATTTCATCTTAGGTCTCGAATATTTGCTCGTCGTTACCACGAAACACGTGAAAGGATCACGTAAAATGTTGTTTTATTAATAAAATTATTGTGTGAAAAGGGAAACGACATTTAATTTATTCTAAGGAATAGTTGTACACTTTTATGCTATGATTCTGAAAGCATCTCCACCACCGCATGCATGAAGTGCTTTGTAGATAAGTTTTTATTTTAAAGGATCATCTAATATTGTGTTGTGACACGAACCGACATCTCCAAATTAGCAACATGGGAAAAGCGTGTATGGCAAAATCAACCGCTATGTCTTACATGTATTCCTGTTCACCTGAAGTAACAAAAACTTTTTCCCCTTTTAAAATTGGAAAATGTAATAAGAAAGGAAATTGAATTTAAAATAAAAGAAACGTGTCAAAGTTTTTCTTTTATTTCTCCTTCTACTTTTCACATTTGTTTTTGGCTTTAAATGCTTGAAGGAATCACGATCTTGAGCTTCCAAATAATTTCTTGTCTCCCATCTACACTTATTTGATGCAAATTCTCTTTCACTTTTATTACATCCAACGCTGGTTAAGCATAAAATTTTAAGTTGTATCTGATTTCTGTTTTCAAACGTAAAATTCTTAATTTCCTTAACACATATCCAACATGAATTTAACTTAAACTCCATTTAACATAATTTAAACTTAATGCGAAGTCGTAATAAATTTTAAGTAAAGCTGCAGCTGTATAAATTGTACATAAATTATTTGCAGTGGCACATTCACATAACTAGTATTTAAAATCCTAATTAGGTTTTTAGCAATCGTATAAAGTTTACTAACTCATTAACTAAGTTAAATAAGCAGTAAAACATTCAAAGATCATCAATCGAATTCCAATTTCTAGTATCGCGTCATTATGCAGGCAATCGCAATAAAAAAATTGCTGGACCTGGAAAAGCAATAAGTTCCAAGTGTGCAAATAACAAAATTAATCAGCATCCAAAGTCACGTCATAAAGTTGTAACTCACAACAATTCTTCGAGCAGAAATGATAATTTGATGATTGATGATTGTGGTGATGTCGACGACCACATTGAAGCTCGTATTGGTTTTATTCAAGAATGGATTAACACTTATGCTTTCTTATCACGTGAGTTTTCTTTAGTTTTTCTTTTTATTTCCGTTATTAGTTTTCTCCCTTTTCACACTTCATACATTTTCATTCGAACTTTTCATATGTGAGCTTTTTTGTTTCTTTTATTTTAACTTTTTTTTCTCTTTTTTTTCTGTGTTGTCGTTCGATGGCAATAACTGAAAATGTGCAAAAACTGGATAGCCATGAAAGTTTAATCAACTTCAACTCAATATTCGAGTTGTTGCTGTGTATAAGAAATCCTCCATCTCAAAAATGTTAGGATTGAAATTTTTGTCAAGTGTTTCCATTAAACTTCCTACTTACTAGGATTCGACAAACATTAAAGCTGAGGTTGATGCTAGGGTGAAATTGAACACGAGGACGTTCATGACCCTAACAAAAGACAAATATAAAGATTTCAAATAATCTCGAGCTTATTTTCACCATCAAGAAGACTAATCTCCGAAAACTTTTTCAATTAAGATTTAATTTTAAGTCGAAATTTGAGATGAATTCCTTATGGATTTTATTTTCTTTTTTTGAAAATTTACTTTCATCAGAAAACCAGGAGCGAGTTTATTTAGTGCTGATCATTTCGGTAACGTCAGGCGTCGTACTTTGTTTGTTGATTGTCGTTGTGAGGTTCATTTTTACAAGACGGAAATCAAATGATGGGAATACAGAACAAGGAAAGTCCGGAGGGCAATTCAAGACGTCGAATACAGGAGAAACGACTATCACAAATGGCTTTTCTGCCGATGACATCTCTGAAATTGATGCCGATATTGATCTAACGACACCACTGCCAATGTCAAATAACGCCAATATAACAAGAAACGATGTAAGTTGATCTTTCTTTATTAAAAGGAACATCGCTAAAGGCTTTCTTTATCTTATTTTCTTTTCAGACTTTTAATTCATATACGCCGTCTCCAAGTCCGTATGGCAACCTCGGTCCATCAAACATCTCACATACATCCTCAACCCTTCTCATGCCACAATCATCATTAAGCAGCTCAGGCACCGGTCCGCCATCATTAATGAGTGGCTCGATAAATCCGACAATGATAATGCCATCATCAATTGCGGCGACAGGATTTGGTAAGTTTCTAAACGAAGTCTGTAGTTTTTCTGTTTTTGCAAAAGTATAAATATTTAATCAAGACTCGTTTGAAATCTCAAGCGGCGATGGCGGCACAAACTGTGCTCTTACTCCAAAATAAATTAATGCAACAACGCTCTAACCTACATTTCTTCCTTCACAAATAGTCAATGTTTACAAAGAACGAAAAAGTATTTCTCGATTATCTGAATTGCCTAAGTTCTTCAACAAATGAGCTTTAATATTGATCTTTATTTCTCTTTAGGGGTTTTTGTTTTCTTTGATAGAAAATGATGAATTTCCTTCATATTCGTAATGTACAAGTTTTCAAATTTATTGCTAAGCTACGATTTATGGAATGATGTTAAAATTTATTTCATTACATTACCAATTGACCTCAAATTTTATTTCACGTCCTTAGTAAAAAAATTAGCATAAGCTATAAGAAGAAAATTTATTAACTCTTTTCTGTTGATTTTTAATTTGCTAATATCATTATCGATTCCCTTTTATTATCGTAATTCAAATAAATGAAAACATTTTCAAACGTTCCTAATATGAATAAAACAATAAAATTTAGATATGCAAAATTTAAGGCTTACGGCAATAAACAAACAAGTTTCAAAAGGAAATTATCAAGAAATAATAGTATTTCAATCATCCGATTTCACAAGAGAAAACATTGATTGTCTGCCCGAAAGCTTTTTTAATTGGAGAGGAAAGCTCTTAAATAAAAATTTACGAGTTTAAATTTCCATCTCATTCAACAAAACAAATTCTCATCTTTCCAATTTTAGCTAAGCATTTTTCTTTTATTTCAACTAACCATTATTAATAAACCAGTAATTTATTTATAGCTTAATTCATATAAAAGCTTCCATCCAGACAGACGTAAATTAAGTTATTGTTCAAGGCGCTTTACAATTCCGTCTTTAAAATCTCATCACAAAAAAATAAGAAAAAGTTTTTCGTTTCTATCTCGACTTTTCTTCGTTAAAAGCATTATCAGGGGTGCGGTTTAAATTACAGTTTATGATTATTTACTGTGTGGAAATTGTTTTGTGTAATTGGATCTCTTTGTATGTTTTGACTTTGTTTTTTTCTTTATTACGTCGTTCTTTTCTCTCACTCACTTTCGGGTGTGAACCGGAGAAATAAACAAATAAACAGACAAAGCTTAGAGAACACAATTAGAGCGCTTGTTGCCAGGATTATTTTACGAACGATTCTTGTCGCTTTTTGAAAAAACAACAGATATTAAAGTTTATTGCTTTGTGAACTGCTACAAAAGCTTGTTTTTATTAAGAAAATTATTTTATAAATGTCTCAACTTGACACTTTAAATTTATTATCACTTCATTACAGTTAATATGTCGAGTCTTGGTGGAACGATGCCGCGTCATCATCCTGTAGTTAGCATGAGTGGTTTGAGTTTAATTCCTCAGCCATCTTTCATAGGTGGACCATCGATGATGGGACATCCAACACTTCGAAGACAATCTTCTCACGACATGGATCAAAACATGCCAAGAATTTTAAGCCGAAATGCTGGAAATGTTCAATATTTTTATGGATGACAAACACCCCCAACACTTCTCTCACCAGCTACATCACAGCCTCCAATTTTTACTCCCATTTCTTGTTCATCCACCAACAACATGAGACCAATAAGTATCACTTCATCCGCAACTCAACCACTGACAATAACAACGACAACAACATCATCAGCAAACAGTGAAAATCAAGTGGCAGCCAACATCACAAATACAAGTGGCGAAAGTGGTTTGGGAATAAATCGAACGTATTGTTTCTAGAACTCAGTAAATAATGTAATTATAGTATATAATGATAAGAGAATTAAGAAGGATGATGACGACTTAGTTTATTTGTAAATACTTGATAAAGAAATGATAGAAAAATATCGTAAGAGAATGTTCCGTCACAGGGTAGCAGCTTCAATTAATTTGAGGTCGGATAAAGGAAATGTCCTTGGGACTGGAATTTCCATGTAAATTCTTCTTTTTCTTAAAAACAAAAGCTTTCTTGTTCAACACTGAAATTGAATTTATTTTTCATTCTATTTAAATAGCAAGTTGTTAAATATAATCTTAAGTAACATTGTAGCTTTACAAAGCTAGAGGATATATTATATAAAAGCAATGTTTAAAGAACATTTAGAACGAATTTCAGCTATCTACAATGTTGATCATGACCTTGTTTGAATATCGAGTTTTTTGTTCTAAATATTTTCTTACCATTCAGTTAAATATCGACGCCACTGTAATTTGATTCTCCACACATGTTGAATAACTTTCTGGCTTAGGTATTACATTAAATATATTTTTTAATGTTTTTAAATAATTTATGAAGTGAATGGAAGCTTTTCTTTTGTAAACATTTTAAATTTTTAACAGAAAATCTTTGTAAAGAAGAAGGAATATCGTGTGGGTTGTTGTTCAAGTCATTAGCATTAAGCTCACAAATCTTTTCCGTTTTAGGGCAAAAAAGCTCGTCTTATAAAAAATTGAATTCCATTCTTTTAATCTTTTGTCTTATGATATTATGTCGTCTTTCTTTTCCGTTGTATTAGAAAGCATATCCGCTTATGTATCAGTAGACGAAAGAAAGTATTTTTTGAGCCAGAAAATTAAATTGAAAAATAAATAAAACTGGAAAATAAATCAAGAGAATTATCTACTGAGAAAAATAAATATATAAAAACGAAGAGTAGCAATATGAGCGTCGAATGTCGCAAAATAAAAATACTTTGCGAAATGAAATGTTGTACACACTCAAAATATATATCTAAAAATTGCCAAGACATAAAAGACTACTCGCTGAAGACAAGCATTCTCGTATCTAATAATCACGTTTATGATTTTCACAGACGACTTGAAAAATGTTTTTATTCCCTTTGAAATCATGTCTCAAGTGAGCTAAGTGTGAAGGAATAGGCACACATCATCCTTTCCACTTGGAATGCATTTATCTAGAAAAGAGCATTAAACTTCAGCTTATTTCACTTTTTTTTCTCTTTTACTTTTATTGAAATCATTAAAGCGCAAACAGCATATTTTATACATTTATTTACTGTTTCTCCTTTTTTCTTTCAAGATATTTTTTATCTGCTTCTTATTCTCCCTTCTCAGACTGCTGTCAGAGGTTTCAATGCAAAAAGAAGCATAAATTTCTCAAAATGAGGTAGTTTTCTTTTTTCTTTCCAACCACACTATAAAATTTTCCTCTTTCTCCTGCTGCTTTTTTATTTGAAAGGAAAAGTGAGAAGAACTGAAGAAGTCGAGGAAAATTTAAAAAGGATCGTTTTTTGTTAATATCGAAAGTTTTTATAAAATCACAAAGAAAATATTTTCATAAATGAACTTCAGACTCTCCTACTAAAATAAACATCCGTCAAATATTTATTACAAAGTAAATTAGCATAAAGAAAATTTAATTCACCTTCCAAAGGATTTCGTTTTTGTTTAAACTTTGCTAACATTTACAGACGCAGTGAAAATTTTTGTCTACCGTTTCGAATTTTGTTAAATTTAAATGCTGATAATGTCATCCATCTTCATGGTTGTAGAAAATGTTAACTTTGAAATTATTGGAGAATGAAAAAAAGATAATTTGGAAAACGAGGAAAAATTAAATGGACGTTTAAATTTCCTAAACCAATAAATCACAGAATACTTTGCTTTCATTCTTAATGTTACAGACAAAGCGATGGGAGACAGCAAAGAATTGGAAAAAATATTCTTCCGTTTTGTTGAAACACAGAAAAAGTTTGTTCATGTTTTTTTAGGTAGAAGTCATAATAATTTATTTTGCTATTTAGCATTATGCCTTCTTTTGGATTGCTTCAATGTTCTTTCGCCTGCTTTGTTTTCACCTCGCCTCGACTTTTCCTATATTTTGTCGTCTCCTGATAACAGTCAAATTTCTTCCCGAACACAATTTTCACTTTGTTATCTTTGCCTTTTTATTCTTTAGGCAACACACCTTCACAGCAAGCAATAAAATTATTCCAAGTCATTAAGTACAGCAATTATTTATTCAAAAATTGTTTTAAATCGATTTCAGTGATTTAGAGCGTAGATGTTTTACTGATCAAAATTGGTTGCAAGTTTAAACTCTCAACTGGGAGGGATTTGTAAGAAAAATTACATTTTTTTTAATCTAAATGGATTCTAATAAATTAGCATAATTATTGTTACGTCGGATAACGAATGTAGAGAAAGATAAAAGAATTATTTATGTGAACATCGACGAATATACATTTAGTGGGGTTTGTGTCTACCTTGTAATGTGGATCAAAATTATGATAAAACTGAAGTTTAAATCAACACTTTAAAAATTTAAAATCATAAAGGAAAAGTTTTTCTTTTATCGTCACGACATAAATCTACAAAAATGATGTTTACATAAAACTTTGTTACGACATTAAAATTATAAGAATAATGATGATCAAACATTTTCCAAATGAGAGATTAAGAGTTGTTTTAAATGAAAACTTTAATTTTATGAGATGTTTTATTCCATTTTCACCCTACGAAAACTCAAAATCTCAAAATATAATCTTTGGGTGTAGTCACCATCTGCGAGAAATTAAAATTGTCTCAAAAACCAAAGAGATTAGTTACTAATTGATATTGGACTAACTATTTTATTTCTTAAACAATTGCTGCCTTGATAATATTAAGATGTAGTTAATTAAATTAACATAAGTGATGATGGATAATTTAAAAATGTTTCTAACACTTCAAAGATTGAATGAATTTTAAGTTTGTACATGAATCATAATAATAATTAAAGAAAAACCAAACAAATAATAATTTAATAAAGGATAAAAAAAATTTCTAAAAAACTTAATTATCGAAAGTGTTTTTCATTTGATAACGAACAAACAAGCTGTTGATTCAATTATCAAACAATGTTTTAAATCTCGCATAAAATAAAATCACATTTACATCGATTCATTGGTGTTTTCAATAAACTTTGCGTTCGTCCAATTTGATAAAAGAACAAAAAAAAATCAAAATAATTAAAAGCAATGGATGCAATTATATAATAAATAAATCGATTTGATTCACCCGAATTAATTGACAATCATGGGGCTTGATTAAATAAATTAATTGCTTGATTATCGGGCTGAATCAAATCAATTTCTATAAAAATAAAAAGCCAACGATACGTCATCTTCAATGGAGCATAGAAAGAGATTCAATTCAATTAGTTAAAAACACTCTTCTCAGTCTTTATGGAAGTTATGACGCATCCGCCTTTGTTATAATTTACTTTTCCACCTCGAGCGCGACTACAATTCTCCCAGGATCCTTTCTTAAAATTAAATTAAAGTCAATTATTATGAGAGCTGCTGTTTTAAGGCAGTCTCTTGGAAACAAAGCAAACAGAAAGAAGAAAAAATCATATTAGGGAGAGAAGAGGGTCGTGCACCATCGAGGCTTCAATTATTTTTTTACGTCGCTTTAATTAGAAGTGGGAAGAAATTTTCGCGCAACAAAAATCATTAATATTCTTAATTAGCGAGAAAAGAACGAAAAAGTGAAAAAGAAAAGAATTATCAACGAAGAAAAAAGTTCCGTGCGAACTTTTTTTTTGATAAAGTTAGATAATAAAAGTCAATAGGCAAGAACACTGAGAATGTGTACAGAAAGAGTTTTTGAAGTTTGCGAGACTAATTCTTGTTGAAAAAACTCTTTTTACTAGGTAAAGCAAAAGGTGAAAAATCAAAAAGTGCCGAAGGTATAGAAGAAGAAGCGGAACAACCTTGAATTAGGCATCACGAGATGGAAGCAACCGGCAGTTCTCGTAAAGTTGAAGCAAGAAATTTTTACTAAGAATAATGGAAAAGAAAAGAAAAGGGTTAAGAATTAAATTTTCAGGATTCAATTTTCTTGTTAAAATCACTTTTTGCATAATGTAGACTGACAAGGGATTTTCGCTTTTAAGTAAACTTTTCATCTTGGTCCACCAACCGATGAACGGGGGTCTCTTGACAAATGGTGTCTGGCATATTAATGTGACATGTCCGAAGAAGTTCTTTTAATATTCAAGACATTGGATGTAAGAACTGAACATTGTCGTCAGGTCATTATTATAAGTAAGTAGATGAAAAGGTTTGATGTGACAAATGTGAAGGAAAACCTTCGACGAAAATTCCAATATAGACATTCAAGCTTAACATAATTTTCCCTGATTAAAAAAGGTGTAAAAAGGATGTCAATTTAAAAAATTAATCTTGTAGTATGCAAGTTGAAAAACCTTCAATTATCTTGATACTCTTTATTAACTTATTTAAGTAGCAAATGCATTAGAAAAAGGTCATCGAAGTTGCTTTTACTTGCAATGTTAATTCTTAATTTAATGGCGTTGCTAATCCATTTAATGACATAGCATTTTGCAAAATCTTTTCGATCTCTGTTATGCTGTGAGTAGCAGCAAAACGACGATTGTTCATGTCATCAATTGTTTCTTGCAGGAATTCTTTGAAACGAAGTGAAATGACATCAGCAATCGGTCCACGGAACAAGAGCGTCACTGTATTCACAATTAAGTTAGACAACCAATCGATTAATGGATTTCCTCGCATGACAATTGTAACCAAGCCAATACTTTGAACTCTAAAATCATGTAATGTTATCATGAAGGTATCTAAATTGATGACAAAATCGCAGTTCATTGTGAATTGGTCGGTGCTGCCTTCAAGCCATCCTGTTGGTCCAATGCCCATGATCTCAGCCGAGTAATCATATCTGAACTAAGAATGAAACATATTTCGTTATTAAACTGTCTACAAAACCACTCAATTTCATAGTCATCTGTCATTTAAAGCAAAGAAATGCTTCGACAATGTAAACATTTGACGTTAAGTGATGCTTTGTCGCAAAATCTTGTTTGTTATTCAGCTTTAATAAAAATCAATAAATTTAAATGCATAAAAGCAACAGACTGAGAATGTAGAGCATGAAACTATTTATAACATGTTTAATTTATGTTCAACAAGCATGTTAATGTTTAGTTTCTCAACACAAATAAGATTTTATACGGAATTAGATTTATGATAAAAAGCTTTAGTTTATTCATTTTGGGGGAGGCTGAAAATGAAGCATTGATGATGTATGATATGATTGTATAGAAAGAAAACTGTGAAACTTTAAATAAATTAAATTAAGTGTTACTCCTTGCAATTTAAACTTTTCTTCACTGTGAATGCAATTTAAAAGCGCTTGAGAACGAGTAATCTATTTATAATGTGCAACACAAAAGCTTTTCATCAAATTCCTTAAGCCAGAGATTGGAATAAATTTAAATTTAAATGTTTCACTCTTCAATTTAACTTTCAGTTCTTGAAGAAGTTGGAATTAAATTGAGTTAAGCAAGGAAAATTATGAGGAAATGCTGAACTTAAGTTTCAGTCCCTGAATGAAATTTTAACTGAATTTTCCCTTTTGTTAAATGTGACATGTTTTTGTGAAATTTAATTTATCGATAAATGAGCTCGACACAAAGTGCTTCGAATAGAATTTTGCTTTGAATATCTGACGCTATTTATAGATGAAATCAATAAAGCGAATATCAATAACAAGTGATAACATTTTATCGAAGAGGCAGATATTGAAATTGCTGATGATAACAAACAAAGTCTTTAAGAAAAAGTTTGTTAACTCGAAAATTTAAACTTACGCCAATTTGTCTAATGCTAGCTGACTGCTGAATTCGCATCAAGTTGCGATCATAAGTCATGAAAGTATTTCCACCTCGAGCAACAGATACGAGACGAGTCATGGCTCCATTTGTCAACCACAACCAACCAGTATAAGTCACAAAAATTGGACGATACTCAATGAACTCTTCAAAGTCAGGTAAGGGCATGGGTATCAAACCACTTCGAAGAATCCATGGACCGACCTGAATCATTATCAAATCAGTGTAAGCGTTCATACTTGCTGTCATCGCAGCGGTTGGAACTTCAAAACCTTCACTTGATGGAGAAGAAGAAACATTTTATGAAATCGCTTTCAGAATATAAAAATAAAATATTAAAGATTTTCTTTTACGTTTTCTTATTTTCCAAAATATCCAATTTTGTTTCAACATCGCCATCGGATGTAACTGCTAAGAAGAAAAGTACGAGAATCGCCAAAACCTTCATTTTAAAATATTCCTTTTTTATTATTATTCTTGCAAAACCACTCGCCCTCACTTAAAATCATTGACTGCGAGTCAAGTATTTTCGAGAAGATTTTGATAATAAATTGAACGCGTATTGCTTCAAATCGACATCGGCGTCGACCCGGGCACAGTAGCGATATCATTACGGTTGCCTTTACTCCAAGATTAGATTGTTGCTTGCTTTAAGATTGTGAATTCCGATTCTTTCTCTTTGTATAATCAAATGGGCATTTAGAAAAGCACATCTCATGAATCGACTTTATCAGCTTTAACGATTTCCTTGGTTGTGTTTGCGTGCGTGTTAAGAAAGGAAGAAAAAAACAATTTGGAATGAGAACAAAAAAAAAGTAAGAAAGAAGACTTGTTTGGCAGATGAGATACAAATCTAACATTATTCTCTGTTCGATTTTCGACACCCCACAACCGCTCCTTCTACCTTTCAAATGAACAATATAACAGAAGAAGAGGAATCGTTTTAATGGAAAATCAATCTCAAGCTTCGATGTGGCGTAAGAGGACTGGAAATGAAACTGTCGACAATGCGGTCTCCCAATATCTTCCGTTTCGTAGAAAAGGGAAAGCTCTTTAAATATTTTTCCTATCATTTTGAGCTCACAAAATACTATTGTCATTTGGATTAATATCTTTAAGTGGAATAAGCTCATTGAATTATATTTTTTTCTTCTTTGACTCTGTTTGGTAATCGATTTTGATACACAAGGTCTAAGCATGAAGCGAATAAAAAATGAAGCAAATTCGAGTAAGGAAATTCAATTTTCTTCGCATTTTCTATCTTCAACTTTTTTTTCAGCGAATGATGTTGGATAACATCGTTCATTGCGGAAAAGAGAAAGAAATGACGGTTGGTTGCCGTCTTTTCAATGGGGACACATTTCAATTTATTTTAATATCCCGAGAAATCTGATTAAAACGATTTCAATAAATACATGACGAAGATAATAAAAAATTACATTCTAAGATTACAATTTCTTTCTTTTTTTCTCTCTCTTCATTTTTGCTAGCTTAGAAGTCTTTTATCTAACATTTATTGAAATGAAATTCTTGAAAGTCAAAAACACATCCCCATTATATAAATACCAAAATTTCCTTGACTTTTCTGTGTCATCAACTTTCTCTCGTTCTTATTTTTCTTTCCTTTAAGAAAAGTCAATGAAAATCTCCGTGGATTAACGAAATTTAGCTGAAAGTTTGAAGCAAAAACATAAGCATGAAAAATTAATCAAAATAACTTTATGCTTCATGCCATGCCGTAGAGAAATTTATAGGCTAATTATTATAAACTTTCTCTTCCTCTTTTCCCCATTTGCTAGGAAAGCATGAGAAGTGAATGAGAAAAAAGCTATAATAAATCTTATGTCTATTCAAATGGGTGACAAAACGTTGTGTTAGTCGATGCCGAAAGCCTCCAACTACGCTTAGCTATATTTATATTTAACCATTGGAATTGGTTAATGTTAAAGCATGAAGAAAACTTTCCTCCGTTACGCATGGCGGCAAATATCGCTTCAAGCGCCAAGTAAAATCTAAGAGAAATTGTTAATCAGGTCACCAAAATAAATCTTATCACTAATTCCCTCGAAGCTGACAAGCGCTGGTTTATTTCCGTCCAAAATTGATAAATTTATTAATTACTTTTCTAATTTTCCACATGAAGGCAATCCAGATTTGTTTCTTCACTAAACGATATAAAGTGAAAACATAACTTTCCATTAAGTGTTTGTACATGGATATGTTTGGAGAATGAAGAGGGTAAAGGAAAGATAAACGCCCATGAAGATAACAAAACACCTGTTTTCCCTCCCCGCAAGTAATGCTTACGCATACTTATCTATGATGACCTTTCTTAACTTTAGAACTTTGTATTTGCCTCAAATGAGATGACCAATTATTTCCTTACAACAATGTAAGCTTACTGAGCCATTTCGACTGCCTTCTTTTAAAATTATTTATTTTGTGAACCCACACCAATGGCGTTGCCAAGCAGTAATCATCTCGTATATCTTAAAAATGGAGAATTTTATAGCCAAATATTTTGGCTTTAAGACTAACAAGAAGCAATAAAACTTATCAGCTTAAAGATTTAGAAATTATTTCTTAGCTATTCACTTTCACTTGTGTATGGAATAAAATGTTTCATTTAATGACTTGTGAGTGGCAATAAAAGCACCTGTTTACTTGATTACCAGATTATTCTCCTTAAAGAACCTTTCGACGGCCAAAAGTCGAGAAATAAATGAGTCGTAAAATGTTTCTTATTCGCTTTTCCAAACATGTCTCTAAGCAATATCCTGAGTTGTTGGATGTTTTACGAAGTCAAATACCATTTAACAAGAAGAAGAAAGTTGTACATCAAATAAGAACATTAATCTAAGAGCTGCTTTAACTTATCTAAACATGTTTATGCAAACTTCGTTCACAGGACTTAAAAATATGTTAACACATGTCGTCAAAATGTTTCATAAAAAGAAAATGCAAACTGCAGAATTTTCATTTAATTTTCCGCTTCATTTTGAACAATTTTCTTTTTATCAATTTTGACTCGTCGTCGCAGTCATGGTAAATGTTGGATAAGATGGGAAAATATAAAATATACGCAATGACTACTAGTAATGAATAATATTATGAATCTGAATATTTCTTCTTTTTTATCTTTACTAAAGACGCGAAGCATCTTCACATTGTGTGCATCTGGCATCAAGCTTTTTATTGATTCTGAATATATTTTCAAAAAATTTTCTCCCTTTCGAAGAAATCAGTGAGATCTGACATACTTTTTCATAATTCTCATAGCAGGTATTCACGAATGAATGCTGAGTAAGTGGGGACTACGATAGATATGAAGGGTAAATGTCTGAAGCCCTGAACTACACGATGTACCATGCTTCATACCAAGCTTAAATAATATGCACATAAGTTTCATATAAATTGGAAATTCTTGCTATCGTAAGGTGTTTTCGTTTTCTCTTTTCCGCATAGAGGCACAAAATGTAAGTTTTCGTTACAATCTGCCTTAGTCTGATGTAAACGAACATAAGCAGAATTAGAAACAAAAGGAAAGTTAGTTTAACTCCTTTCTTCCTATTCATTCTCACTTTCAACATCACGACTAATATGATATGAAGTTCAGTTTATGACACAACCGACTGCAGATTAAATTTCTCGTTTCTTCTTGCGTTTAAGTTTTTGAAATATTTATGACATGAATGCAGAGCAGAGATTCGTTTTTATTTCTGTGAAATCAAATTAAAGTTTTAAGCTTTGTTTGCTTTGAGTATGAGACTAAAGGTTGTACCAACAGGTCCCGGAAAGTTTTTGCATCATTAATGGGAGCCGTTAGGGTATAGAATTAATTTATTTAAGCACATGAAGCACAACTGTGAAGTGTTGAAAGTTTAATGAATTCAAGGGAGCTGGAAAAGGGGTTTTCAATGAATTCATTAAAAGTAGAAGGATTCACTTTATTAGTAGCCTATTATTCATCTTTCCTTTTTTTTCCTAGAAACCAAAAGAGAATTTTTTACAGCAAATAGATCTCTTTAAGCCCACTCAACCACTCAACTAAAAATCCATTTAATATTGAAAATTTTAAAGCTAACAGAGTATCGTTTTTCTTAAACTCGCCAGCTTAAAGCTGGTCATCGACATGACAACACAAAAGAAATTCACCTGGAGCGTCTAACATTTTTTCAAACAATTTTTCCTAGAAAAATCCACCATCGAACATTGTTAGAATAACGTTAGAGAGAGTAATGAACGAAATTGAAGCTTGTTAGACTTAAAGACGACTTTATTCAGCACTAAACTCTCAACTTTCATGCAATAACCCAATAAACTTTCAAACACAAATATTTGTTATTGATTTACATATTTTTGTGACTTCATAACAAAAAACTTCAAATCTTTGAAGCTCAATCTTCTAATGAAGCTTTTGCGTACTTTGTTCTTTTTGTTGTTATCAGAATTGACAGCATAACCACGCGAGATTGCAACTTTTCATGTCATTGGCTAAAAGCGAGCTGACATAACATTAAACAATAAATATTTTTCAATTCAAAAAGAAATTTTATCATGCTTTTGAAGTTTTCTTTTTTTTTATTTATCGACATGATTGCCTCCTATTCATTCTTCTCGTTTGTGCTTTCAAATCTTCTTTCTATTTTTGTTATTCTCATTTTACTTATTATTACGGAGATGAACGTTAAATATCTATTTAAATAGACGAAGAAGGGAAAAGAAATCTCGCGAATCGGAAGCTTACAATGTTAAGCTGTAATAAAACTTTTCATTATTCTTTTTCTCTTTGCCAACCGCATCGTCATGATGAATAATAACGAATTAGAAACAGGGCTTCGTCAAATTTAAGCGTCAACTTTGACGCTTACAAAATATTAAGGTTTTCCTGAAAAGTCAGATCTGGATTTGAAATGAATAATCCCTTGGGTAAGCTAAGCAAGGAATGGAATTAATTTTTTTACTGTAGATAAAATATTTCTCGTTCTTTTTTTAATTTATCAACATTCTCGCGTCCAATTCATTTTTTTTCTCCATTTCAGCGGTTGGATATCATCATCAAGATTTATACAAGTCTACATGCGGAACTTAGGCCGCAATAATCCCTTTATGCTTGTGCAACGACAATGAAAGGGATAATACAAACTCCCTGACATCAACGAGAGAATTAATTGAAAAATTACGACTTGGTGACTTTATGAGTTGATTTTTTATCCGTTGGTTGTTTCTCGTCATTCTCATTGAAGAGGTCAGTGAAATTTTTATATTTATGTCTGACAAGAGTAGAGGAGACTTGATGATGAAAGTTCTGAGTAATTACGTTTTCTTACAAGATCGTTTTAATTTATTTAACGACTCTTTTCCCTTGACTTTTCTCACGTCACATCTAATATCACGGTAGCTTGAGTGCAAAGGTTTATCTGCTGGCACTGGTTATAAAGCGTGAAAATGTAATTGAATGAAACGAGACATCATCAGATCTGATGGCCTTGTTGATAGCTGTAATTTTTAAACCTTAAAAAAGGCAAAACTTTTGTGAAAAGCATGAAAAATGTCAGAATCCTTCAGATTTTCACTTATCCGCATAAATAAAAATCTATGAAGTGGGAAAAAAATTCCATTCTACAGCCAATACCTTCAATATCATTATTCTCTCATAAACAGTCATGAACTTCCCATTTCATTTTATATTTCAAAGTCAATTTCTCAATGTAGAAATTCATTCCCTCGTTACTATACTCGTATGAATGTGTACATACTCCACCAGCATGGGAAAAGTTGTTTCACTCTTTCCGAATTTTGTTCATGCTGGATTTAGGTTCACATCGATGAATGCAGAGGGAGAAGAAAAAAAAAACTTTTCATCACATCACTTTATTGAATGATCATTCTCCCTCAATGCTGAGTCTTCACTTTTGCTTCTTTTCGAATTTGAATATCTACCACATATTTCTGATATTTCTTTCATGATTTTATGAAGGCTTTAAAAAATCTGCTCAATGGTTGTTAAGCTACCCTAAATGCATTGGGTAATGGACGTTGAAGTCATAAGGGTCAAGAAAAAGGAAAGATTCCGGAAAAAAGGTACTACATCTCCTTTTCAGCAAACTTTGAATTATCTTTAATGTTGCATCTAAACCATAACACAGGAAGCAACATTTGCTTCTCTTTATATTCTTTGCTTAAATCTTCATCTCTCCTCTGAAAGGAAGAGTTCACTTAATAAAAGTCAATTGACTTCCTAGAAGGATGAAAAATCTAAACAGATAAGTAACCGACTGCTTGTGTTGCGAAAGTCAAAGGGGAAGTGTAAAATAATTTAAGGATGTTTACGGAAGTTAAAATGTCAATTACATTAAATAAAAAAGATTAGAAATGTTTATAAAATAAGAAAAGGTTAATCGCACTTTCTATTTAAATAAAAACTTCTGAAAGTCTTCATGTGCAATGGAATTCAATTTTTATTTATGCATCAAAAAGTCTCTTTGAACATATTTGATAAATGAAATAAAATTGAAATTTGATGATGAAAGCATCTATTTACCTTCATAAAATCTTTTGCAATGCTGGTATTGAGGGGATGTTTTAATGATAATCTTGCCTTTTAAACCCTCTGCCATAACTTTTCTCTTTACCGTGCAACATTTCATGGAAGCGAGTAAAAATAATTTAAACTTTTTTATTTATCTACATGTAGCCATACATTTTCGGGCAGATAAATTAATTATACATGCATCACGTGAAAGCATATGGCTTTAAGTTTAAAAACCTTTTTTATTTTATTTTCAAGCACGCGTTGACCCTTCGGTGCAAGGTCGTCACATTTAGTTAAAAATATTGAAAAAGGCCTGAACCTGAAGGGTGATTTTATTGGATTTATAACAAGGGATCATGAAGCGTAAATAGTGTTGATCGATGGGATTGACAAATAAATGTTTGCGATGAAAAATCTACACGAACGAATGATGATATTAAAGTCTCCACATTTCCGTGTCTCAGCTTTATAAATTAAGTTAATTTGTTTTACAATTTGCCACAATGCTAAATAAATAAGAAGTTTAAAGAAGAAAAAAAAAACATTTTCATATCTTTCGTGTCTTTTTTTATTTTTCATGTTTTTTTCCTCCATTAACCATTCGGGGGAAATATAATTTGCACATTCAACATTCAAACATTAACCTACATACCGGCACATGACGATTCAAACAAAAACAATAAAGAGGAAGTCATGAAATGGTGAAGAATGGAAGTTGGCTTGGGAATGGTTAATGATACGTAACGATGCATTTCAGCATCTAAAACATAAAATAACATAAAACAAGCACAAGGGGTAGAAGGTCAGATATGATGTTATGTATTGTTCGACTTTATTTGTATAAATCCCTAAATGCGTGTGCCCCGAAAAAACATCAGAACACAATGGGCTTGAAATGATAACTAAAGGGGTCGATTTATTTTTGAAAAGTTAATTACAAGTTCATCATCATCAGAGTAGGGAGTGCACGACTGTACACTAAAGCGATTAAGAATACAGGAATATAAATTCCAACTTGTTTCGCTCCCTTTGTCTCATCACTTGAATGATGAAGGTTCCACTTTCAGTAGCGTTCCACAGGATTGTATATTCCTGAATACTCTTCATTGTTTATATTTGACAAATTTATATTTTTATCAAATTTGATACAAAGAGACATTTCAGTTAATTACAAGTTAATTGTGTAACAGTTAAATGCTTTGTTAAATGTAAAACCTTGGTGAATTATCCATCATTCCCATGGTTGTTTGATCAGGTGTAATAAATTTGTTATTTGAAGAATTCTCGGAATTTTTGTTCGTTAAATAAATTATTCCTGACTTTTCCTAAAATAAGTGGTTGTTGTCATAGAAAATAATAGTGAGGAAGAAAATCAATGTTAAAATGATTATTTTATAAGTATTTTGTCAATTTAAATTATAAAATGTAAGAAAAAAGTGAAGAAAAAAAATTGCATCACAATCAAATTATTTCAAATTCAAAATGAAAATTGTTTTTAGTCGAACTCAGCAAGATTTTTTTAATGCAATATTTGAGAGGAAATCATGACAAAAGTACTTGAATTTGAAATAATGAATGCAGCACATTGAATATAATGACTAACGCTTATCGGTACTTAGTTTTTTCCATCGGGAATTTTCCACCGTTTTCATTTCTATCAAAACTGTATCTTAGTTTTCAGCTGGATTCACTAGCGCTTCAAAACCATTCTGGTTATATGCTGCAATGTACAATGTTGCTCGAAATCATTTTGAAAACTCATTCACAATTATTTTCAGGATTGTAAGAAATTTCAACTTATCCCAGATGCTTGAAGTGCTTCTACGAGTGATCTCAAAATTCACTCCTTCAAGCTTTCAGATTATAAGAAGTGAAGAAAGTTAAAAATTAAGCCCTTCGAGTATTCAACATGAATTCGTGTCTTGTTGTTTTTTTGCTCCAAGTGGGATTTTTCATTATTTTTGCTTCTTCAACATCATACTAAGTAGATATGTACTCTCTCAATGTTCTCTTCTCTTCATCATCAAACAACTGTACATACATATATCGTATATAATGGGATCCCATTAAACAATTAAGCCAATTGAAATCAATTAAAGAATATGATACAAATACCTACAGAGTGTTGTGTTATTTTTATGGAACCCGGTTTGCTCTTTACTTCGGCAAGACCCTCAAAGTCTCGTTTGTTGTATTCTTTTGTGAAACTTTTTCAGATAATTTTCAGAAAATTTCAATAACAAAAGTTTTAACAATAACGCGATTATTTTATTGATATAAAGTATAGAGCCGAAGTTTATAAACTGATTTATGTTTCCATCGCTTTATTTTTCATCTTCCTTCTTTTTCATTCTCCAGTTTCGTTATCACTCACTGCTCTGAATATGTCTTTTGAAGTATTGTCATACAGCATAATAATGGCGATGGGATTTTCCCTCCCTACTAACAGTTTACCAGCTATTTGACCATCATATAAAATTTAGATTCTAAATGGAGTTGCGTTTCAGGGTAAACAGCGTTGTGATAAAAATAAATCACTTTTACAATTTTTTTGGACATTATGATGGTCGAATGGAAGATTTGAAGGAAACTGAACAACGGCGACAGTTGTAAATCTGGTGGCGAAAACGAAAAAGGATTTTTATCTCTGCTCTCCACAGTATCTCTAATTAAGTAATAAATATCAATTTAAACTTTTGTAATGCATTTTTTAGTTGTATCTACTTGGAACAGAAGCAATTTTGTTTCTTGTTACCGATACATGATAGGGGAAAGGGAAAGGGAAGAGAATGCAACTGGGAACAGTTCAAAGAACTCTTAAACATGAAAAAGGTCGTTGTGCTGATGCACTTCATCATGTTTTAAATTTCTGCTTCCTATGAGAACTGCAAGTGGTTATAAAATTTTCAATTTCTTGTACAGGATTCAGAGAACTCAAATCTATCATGTCAATGAGTTCGAAGTCATGAAAAATTCAAATTTCTGTGACGGTCTGTCAGCATCGAAATCATTTCAAACTTTCAAATGAAATTTGTTTCGCAAAAGGGTCAGAGTTCGTAACAAGATTGAGTGCTTGCTAAATTTATTTCTATCTCAGTTCATCAGAAGAAAATTATGTTTGTATTACAAACATGAGATGAAACTTTACATGAAGCTTGAGTTGGAAAGAAATTCGTTCATTTAGAAAAGTTTCCAGATGAAATTTGAGAATATCAAGAAATGTTTTATTTTCTAGTTGAAAAAATAATAAATATAGTCTTTCATATGAAATATTTCGATAGTAAATGATCAACAAATAAGTTTCTGTTTACATTATAAATATAATCAATTTCTATTCAAACTATCAGTGTTTCAATATTTTATTAGCATAAGTGGAAAATAAATGTCTGGTCTCTTGTGAGAAGCTCTTCTTGAAAGTTTCAACAAAACTTTAAATATCTTGAGGACATTTTACCTGATGACAATTTCATGCATAGCAAGTAAGCAATAAACTTGAGAATTCTAAAAGACTTACAAAGTTATTTGATCTATGTACATACCTACTTATGAAGATACTTCAGCCGAAACTTCAGAGAATTATCTACGCAAAATTAAATGTCAACGAGTGAGATATATTTCAAGAGTCATTAAGTTTCTTTAGTGCTTTGATTCAAATCACAATGGATGAAAGTTTTCAAATCTATTTGAAAGCATGAAAGAAGAAAATTCTGCAATAAACGAGATGACATTTGCGAGTGGTTTTTATGTGATCATTTCATCGCTTCATTCATGTCCTTAGCAACTGAAAGAAGCATCGTCTTAAATACTTTAAAAAACGTTTTCTGCCCACTTACATAAATGAAATCATCTCGACATTTGCGACCTTTTACGTTTTCTCTCTTTTGAGTTTCTATTTTTGCGTACCGTACAAAGACGACTGGCTTGAATGAATAATTTTCCGATAAGATTTATGCTTGTCACAAAAAGCGAAGCATTTACCCCAAGAAAGGCATAAAAATATTTGAAAATATATCTAAGATGTCATGATATGCTTGGAAAGATTTCATTGAGCTATTCCACAATCAAATGAAAATATATTGCGGCAAATAATAAAAAGAAGAAAAATAAAACACTCAAACAATGTTTCGATAACAAAAGCATAAAACTGAATGGAAATATTATGAATAATAGTTCGTCCAGTCGAGAAAGAATTTCAAAATTTGTGTACATGCCATGCGGGACTTTAATTGATTTTAACAAGCTTAATTGATTGTCATTGTATTGGTATTGAAGTTTTGTCTTGATGTCGTTTGTGAACAATGCTTGAGTAAATATTTTTCACTCGAAAAGATTGTTACGGAGGAATCACACTTATTTTCGCCGAATTTTATGAATATACTCATATCACAAAAGATGACGCACATCTCGACTTTAGAGTTGTTTTTCAGAATCAAATTGTAGCTAGGAAAGTGTTTATTCAAATCGTTCTGCACTGAAATATTAAGAAACGACGCAAAAGAAAAGAACAAACAATGAAATGAAATGTTATGGAAGAGCTTCTCATATGTGTCTAAAATTATGAAGACTTATCGGGGATATTTATGAACTTTGTTTCAATATTTTCTTTCAGGGTCTGACAAAACTTTCATTTCTTTCAAAATATTTGAAAACTTAAAATCAGCTTTCACATCTCATTCTTTTCCGTTCGTTTTTGTGAAACTTTTTCAATCATAATATCAAATGAAAGCCTTGCAAATCTTCAAAATAATTCCCTGCTGTGAGAAATGTAAAGAGAAGGAAGAAATTATTTATTTATGCACCTTGAGGTGATTTTCTGGCTTTAAAAGAAAGCTTTTTTATATAATTAACTTCTTAAAATTTGTTATTTCTTTCAGTCGTTATTTTTCAATAGAAATTTTAAAGCGAGTTAAACTTTTTGGATTAATAATAATGTGGAAAAGAGCGAGAAAAGGATTTGTAAGATTTCTCAAAGTTAAATATGAAGATCTCTCATGTTTCACTTTATGATTCATACTCAAATAACAGTTTTAGTTGTTCAATTTTCTTTCTTTAAATTATCTTTTTCTTTTCCTTTCCACAACCACAAAACTTTTAATTTAATACTCGAAAGTACTTCTGTTATGAAGGCAAAGAAAAAAAAACTTTGATAAACTATCGTGAATAGTTTTAAAGTTTTTTTTTCTTTTCTCTTCTTGTGTTTAATTAAGCAAAAGTTTATCTGGGGAATGTGAGGAGTTGCTTAATTTAATTTCCCTCCTATAAAACTCTGTAAAGAAATCTAATTAACCACTATCTACCTAGATGAATATCTTTAAGATGTCTCACCTTACGCTTGTAAGTTGGATTAGAATTTATATGAATATTTGATAAGTAAACATATAAAAATAATTTCATTATCACTGTATACAAATATTTGAGTGAAAGTAACAAAAGATGAAAATATGACATTACTTAATAATGTAATAAGTAATAAGAATGAAGAGAACATCAAACAGAAAACACATTTCAATCTCTTTTTGAAGAGATTCTGTTTATCGTGAGATAAAGAAAAGTTAGAGTCATGACAAGACTTGTTTTCTCATCATCGAAAAAATAAAAGCTCCAACTGATGTTAAACACGACAATCTTTTTGACTAAAAAATTTATACAGAGTGCATTTCATTGTGCTCTTTATTCTGACATAAAAAGGAGCGAACGTTGCATTGCATCGGAATGGTTGAAAAAAACATGACGATAAAATGTGAACGTTAAAGAAAAGACATCCAATTCAATGGAGTTTGACGCAGAGAAAAGTAAAATCAAAAAAGAAAAAGTTTAGTTTCAGCATGGAAAGTAAAGTCAGAAGGGGAAGAAATGTTAAGCACTCGTTCAATTTTCTCTTTTGCGAATTCAACTCGTCAGACATTCGTTGTCATTGTCATTATTTCATACACGTTTCTCGTTTACAGCAGACACAAGGAAAAAAACGAGTGAAGAAAGAAAGCTTTCGATGTAAACGTTTTATTTTACTAAACGACGAGAACAAAAAAAGAAAGTATGAAAGATAAACATGAAAAACGATACAGCTGAAGAGTTTGTTTACAAAAGAGTAATATGATGATTTTCACTTATTAAAGAGGTTTTCTAGCAGTCTTTTTATGCTCCAATGTGAGTAAATAATGGGATGAGAGGAATCCAATAACATTGCTTTCGTCAACATTATTTTACCCTTGCATGCCATAACAAGGCCAAAATGCTCAAGTTTAATGAAAAAGAAACAGAAGAAAAACTGAAAAGAAAGCAAGATGAAGGTTTATGAATCGAGCAAGGTCGCCATTAAAGCCCTTTGCATAAAATTAATTGGAAATCTTGATCCATGATCTGGGACGAGAGTTTGAAGACTGCTTGACAAATTTAACCCAAACTTTTGTAGATGATAAAAGGGAATAATGCGACATCATCCAAGGCATTGGCTTTTACCGTCCCACCCAAGACAACTCACAATGCAAACATTTAAAAATTAATCAATTTTATGACGCAATCTTTACTCATGTCAACTCATTTTCATTAAAGCTTTTATTCCTTGGAGCGATTGGCTTTCATGGAGAGTAGTAAAATGAATAACTTGAGTTGGTTTGAGGGGGAAAAATGATGAAAACGCAATTTTCCTGGACCCTTCGACAACAATATTTCATAAGCTTTTTTTCATTCTTTTCATCGCTTATAAAATGAACAGTTTCAATTAAAAGCTCTTCACCTTCGTCATTAATTTTGTCACATTTTCCTTTACGCTACTGCTTTGAATCGCCGGACATTGTCAAAGATATTCTGTAATAAAATTAATCGCCATGTCATCAATTTTTCCTTCATGATTTATTACGAAACATCCTTCGGAAAAAACAGAAATTAAATAAAAGCACTTTTTTCTTCTCGTCTGAAATCTTCTTTTGTTCCAAAATATGAAAAATAGAAAGAGGGGAAATTGCGCAAATATTATAAAGAAAAAAGAATGAAAGCAAAATTATAGAAGGAAAAGTTGTACAGATAAATTGAAATGTTGGTAGAATTCACCATAATGGAATGATAATGATAGCTGAGAGGAAGAAAAATGAAATTTCCAATGACTTTATGAAAGCTAAAAGCCAATAAAATTTTCCATTTAACGCTCGCTCTCTCTTTCTCAAAAGTAAAATATTTACAAATGAAAGTGAAGATCCTGGCAATGGCAATTTCGACAGGGCTGACAGTTCACTAAAGATATTAAAATTGAATTCATTAAATTCATATTGAGGCTGACAACAAAAACAAATTGCATAACTCTACCATTAGAAGTGTGTCTATAGAGTTATTCATGCCCCATTAGCAAATCCCTGTCACAGAAAAAGCGAAACAAGCTTTAGAATGATTGATGATGTTTGAATTTTTAATAATGCTCAGACAGTTTTTATATTGCTTCATATCAGGAGCAATCCGCGGTTGAAGTTGAGAGAATTTGAACGAGACTCAAACACATTTTTTTAGGTGCGTAATTTCGTAGCATCATGACGAGTTTCTCGCAATTAGATAATGTTTAAGTTATTCTCATGGCTTCACTGTACACGTGTAGACTCTAAAGAATTGAAAACGATTTATCAATTTTTCTATTTTTAAAATGATTCTCTTTTTTGTGAAGGGTTCAGTTGCTTGGTAGCAATCTATCTAATGCGTATAAGATGTTCTTCATCCAAATATATTTGAAGTTCAATAAGAGGAGAAATCATCTTAATTCGTATAAGTATTTATGCTTCAAACATTCAACTTTTGCAAAGTTTACTTTTGAGATTTACTTTCAATATTAAGAAGAACTTTCAACAAACAACAACTCGTTTACATTTCTTTCAAATCTTACCTTGAAGAAAAAAGCTGAACTATCATTCGGAACACGTTGCAATGATAATCAGAAAAGTTATGTATCTCGACTACGTTTGAAAGTTTATCAGAAGAATTATTTTCGTATTAAACTTTATGTTTTCTTTTGAAGAAAATTTTATATTAACATTTTTATGTTAGAGAATGGATTTCATCTGTTTAGCAACCATTTCCTTAGGCTTTGAAACTCGTTTATTCAAATATTCTTTCTCCTGAGACTTTCTTTTCTTTGAACAGTTTTATTTCGATTTCAATTATTCAGAATGCAGGGAGAATGTTATGTAAACATTCATGAAATTGAATATCGCAATTATGATAATAAGCAACAGCCAAAAGAATAAAACAGTAGAAGAAAACTTCCCCTTTAGATTGATCTGAATAAAAGTCTGCTTAGCTGGCATAAATTCGATTGAATATCTTTCATTTATTAATGAGAAATCATATGTAACATGTAAGGAAATTGCACAATAAAAGGAAGAAATAACAAATATGAGATTCCATTTATGAATATCTTGAAGGGAGTATAAATAAGATGCATGAATATCTAATTCTCTAAATATTTTATGTCATCTATAAAGTTTCGCTAACAATGGCATTTGTTTTCAATCTTCTCTGTTTGTTAAACTGCGAAAAATCATACAATCAAACTGCAGTTGAAGTTGATGTTGGATACTCATGTGAAGGAAAATTTCTTTTTCGAATAAAAGCGAAAACTTTTCACATTTTTACGGTCAATTTTCATGTTGAACTTCTCCGACGTTAATAACTCGAGTGTGGTGGAGCAAATGAAACGAGTAAAATTGAGCATGGAAAGAGAAAAGATGTTAAGTAGTTGAATATTTTATGGCTCGTCGTAAAATACAACAAAAAAAAATTCTCTCATAACGAAGCTCCTTTCAAGAATTTAATATTAAGTAGAACCGAAGAAAATTGGAGAAAATTTTCCCGTTCTTTTTGGAAAAACAAAAACCTAAGCTCATCATTAATCGTTGAGTGTCGGAGAAGGAAAATTTAATGGAAAATTTCTAGCAATTAAAATTTAATGTAACGCCATAATATGTTATCACCGAACATGCTTTTGTCAAGGGTTCTCATTAATTTTTACGAGATTATCATTAAATATTTCAGAGATGATGCTATTGACAAATTGAAAGCAGTAAATAACGATTAATCTCGAAAATCTTGTTAATTCCACTTCAGTAAATCTCTTTCACTTTATCAATTTGATTTAATTTGCTTACTTTTGACTCTATGTCTGCATTTTCATCGCATATATCTCTACCAGTTTAGAAGAAAATGTGACAAAATTTGAAATTAAATGAATTTGTGTTGATGTGTTTCATGAACTTTAATTCACTAAATTACAACAATTCACAAATTCTGTTTAATTTGATTAAGGCCGATTTTTAGCGCCATTTAATAATGATTAAATTGTTTTATTGAAACTTTCCCACACTCTATTGATAGTTTTCACAAGGTTTCCTATTTCGTAGCTCTGATGACCCACATGATTCCTTTTGAAAGCCGCAAATTCTCTCTCATTCATCCCTCTCGATGCGGATACCGACACCAGCATCTGAAATTTTAGCTCATTTAGGGGTTGAAGTGATTGTGTGAAAATTGAAAAACCTTTGGAAAACACAATTACAGGAATTAAATTAAATTGAAACAATTTTTCTACAGATTTAAACTCTTAATTGGCTAATTCAATAGAGTTTAATTCCACAAGATTCTCATTGCATTACAAATCTCATTGCCAATGGCGATATTGAAAAACATTTTCAACTAATCAAACCCACAAAACAATAGAAAATGAAAAAGAATTTTAAATTAATCGGATTTAAGTTTTCCAATCAGATTTATCGTCGATTGAATCGAATTTATTGTTTCGCTAAAATTATTCTTTCAGCGCGTACATTGATGGAGTTTTCGAGATTTTGCTATTGTCATCAGAATTATCGCAAATAGAAATGACTTTGTGTTCATTTGAGAAGCAATGAAAATACGATGGAGGAGGTTTTAAGCGAATCTGCTTTTATTTTGTCATTCACAATTGATATAAATTTTCCGCATTTGTTTTATCCTGAAACGCTAAAATATCGACACATTTATAAACGAACTGAAAATGGAAAAGAAGTGTTTAACCAGGGACATTTTTCCTGTTTTCATTCTAGCCATCAATCTGCTTTCAAAAACTTTTAAGTGCCACGTCAATTTTTGCGTAGATTTCAATCAAAATGTATTTTGTGTGTTTTGAAATGATCGATTTTATGAAAATGGAGAGATTTGAAATGGTAAAGTTTTCGCACCATTAAAACTGTTCTGCTCAACTTTTGAGACGTGAAAGCGCAAAGTTCCTTTATTAGAATTTTTCCTGAAAACTTTTTAAACTTTGCCGTAACACGCTTTTCATCTTTCAAATTTTGTTTAACACGTGTGATCAATTATCATCATTTAAAATTTAAGTTCAGAACAACTGTAATACTTTAAGAATTAATCAATAACAAAAGAAGTCTATTCGCATTTTAATCCAGCTTTTCAAGACTTTTAAATGTAAACCATTGGATTAAGCAAGTAAAATGGACAAAATGGGATTCCAGAAGTATGTTAAAAGCTTCCCAAATATTTTCCTTTTCCCTTTTAATCGAAAAGGTTTTCAATGTCAAACGAAGATATTTATTGAAGGTTTCGAATCTTCGTATTCAATTTAATAGAAAAAGAATTCTCACGAAATATAAATTAGTCCACTTAGAAACGTTACAAGAAAGTAAATGAAAGAATTTTAAAATAATTTCCGAAAATTAATTAAAAGTAATTGAATTAATTACAAAGTTTTAAAGGCTTGGCTTGCTTGTAAATTTTCATTAGAACATGTCGATAAAGGTAAAGGTTGATAAAATATTATTGATTTTTGTTTGAAACATTAGAAATTCCTACCAGAGAAACGTATTCATGGAAGTCTCTTCCGAAAGCTATTTTTCATGATGCCTAAAGAAATTAAATTTAATTTGAGGAAGTGCTTTAGTGAAAATGTTCTTTCAATTAAACGTTTATGGTAGACAAAGGAAAATGTGTAAGTTTCATCAGCAATTTATCTGAATATTTATTGTGAGGTATTAAAATATGTTCTATGTTCACTTGCCAATGTATTTATAATTCAAACACGTAGGCTACATAGTTCAAGTTGTAAAAGCCCATTTAATCAATTCAATGAAACTTGAAGAAATTTCCAATGTTGGTTGAAATGCTTTCGTTGGGCTTTTCTTACTTAAAAGTTGGTTTCAATACCTTCAACTTTGACAGATTTCATTGCTTATGCTAATCATTTAAAATCAAGAATTGCTTCTCTAATGAATTTAATGTAATGGCAAAGAAGTTTTCAATCTTTGGAATATTTTCATCAATGTTTAATGCAAATAATTTATAAAGCCACATTTATGGAAGGCAAACAAGCAAATAGTCGGTTTGTCAAGACGTTTCACAAATATTTCATGTGATAAAGCTTTTAATTAACTCCGTTTCACATTTAACCCCGAGAGTTTCCTTTCATGATTTCAAATTCTGGAAATTGGATTCTAGAAAAGTGAGTCACACTTTTGTGACTTGCAATTACATTCGCCCGTATCTCACCAGAATCTTGCGAACGTAGGTTGTTATCCGAGCGGAACCTTTTTTGTCGATTCAGAATCAACATTTGAATTCTTATAGAAAGTCTGAATGAACAACTCGTCGCTGATCGCTTCGTTCCACGTGACCCCTATTTGATTTTTTTCTCATCTTTTAAGACCGCATGCTACTCTTTGTGTCTCAACTCAGCCATGTCGACCATCATAACTTCGAAAACAACTCCTCCCTCATTGCTAAATATGTTTTTTCACACACACTGTGTGATTAACTTTCCATGAGTAAATGTTTACTTGGAATATGAGAAGATAGATGAGAAAATATTTTATAAATTGTGAAGGTCTTCGAAATGTTTACTCAATGAATGGAAAGTCACAGTCGCATGATCTCTACAAAGTAAATGATAAAGCATGAGTGTGAAAGAGAGAGAAGATTTAAGTGATCGCAGCATGGAGTCTCACTTGATGTCATGAAGAGATGTGAAACAAAAAATTTCACACACAATGATCAGTTAAATGTGATTGGTCGAATTGAAATGATTTTTCTTAATTAAACTAAATTGGGTATAAAAAGACAATAAAATTTTCAATTTCATCTCATTTGCTTGAAGCATTTTGAATCGCGCAGATTTCCTGTTCTGAATATAAAATAAAAAAAGTTAAGTGTTGATTAAAAAAGAGAATGAAAATTGCTTTGGTCCGACGGAATGGACAAAAAGTTGTCACACATTAAATTAATTGAATGAAACTAGATATTTGTTGTACCGGTGATAAAAACAAAGTTAATTAATAAACGAGTTAAAAAATTATTGCAAAGCGAGAAAAAAATCTGTGAATCTTCATTTGAATGTTTCGTTGTTGCCGGTCGTGCAATTATTGATTGATAAACTTTCCATGATCAAACAGTGCAAAATGTGATATTTGCAAAATGCACAAAAGTATGGAAATTTTTGCATTAAATTGTCATAAAGTGGATGATAAATTTTAAAGTTACCTACATCGGACAAAGGAGAGACATTTTTAAATCTAATAAACTTGACGTGTCAAAAATATTTGCATAATATCAATTTTTATATATAAAAACTTTCCTTGACGTATCAAAAGAACGAACGAGTTTAAATATTTAATTAATTACAAGTGAACATTTACCAAATCGAGACACCATAAATCTTTTATCAGAGAACGTTAACTAAAAGCTTCATGTGATTTTTGTCAGAGATTGGTTTGTTCTACCTTCCATTTCTCATTAAACTTTTGACAAGGAAACACAATTTTGAATTTTGAAACTTCTATACGATGGAAACTTCTGGTTTTGACGATCAAATGTTTAATGAATTTTCTTCTGAGGCGGTCGGTGTTTTGAGTCCTTTAGGGCCGAAAGCTATTCAACATCATCCCCAGCATCATCATTATGTTCAACACCACACACAAACAATCATGATCGGAAATTCAAATGGTGACATTAATCAACATCAAAGACTCCCCGATGTTCATCAAATTTTACCAGGAAATTCTCCGAAAATGGATCATTATAAAATGTATGATGTAAAAATTGAATCGACACCTTACTCACCAAATGGAAAAATGGATTATATCAATGGATCTTCATCTAACTCTGGTCAAAAGTTAGAGTACACAACAAATGGCCAATATTCCCCAAATACTAAGATAATTGAATACGGATCAACTCACGTCATGGAACACAATATGATGTTTCAACAGCCCCAAGCCGTCGATGGTAATCAACAAAACATCATTAATGGCACGAACAGTAATTTCAAGCGAAAATCAGATGAGAATTTGAATAATTTATCGGGTTCACCGCCATCAACAATCAATAACATTTCACCTTCCGACAGTACATCGACACAAGCAAACAAAAAGCCCGTCGACAAGAAGAAAAACGATCCAAACGGTGTTAAGAAAAAAAAGACGAGGTAATTCTATTTATTCTTACTCTTGCATAAATTCATCGCACGAAAACCTCCAGCGAGTTCGGGTCATGTTTTGTGATAAGATTTTCTTCATTTTTCGCTCCTTTATATATTTTTTGTTGTGCTCGACGACCTACGAAGAATCATCAGGTCGATAAAAGAAATTTGAAACGAGACAACCTCTATCAACATGATCAAATCAGATTTAAATTAATTTCATTGACGGTGATGAGAGAAAAACTTGGTTGCCTTCACGATTGGTTGTTGAAGAAAAAATTATAAAATGATTTCTTGCTTTTGTCTGCCACTTCACGAGATAAATAAATTCTCGACTAAAAAAGGAGATAAAAAATTTGTGTCCTCAACTGTGAAAGCAGTAAAAAGCGAAGAAATATTTAATCAAGAATTTTTTTTATAATTTGTTTGCTTTTTTATTTTCTCCTTTTTTTTCGTGCGGAAAACAAACAGACGACGGTTTCAAGCTGCGACAAATCTTGAAAAGAAAATAGAAATAACAACAATGTAGTTATATAAAGAAATGTTAAAAAAATTAAATTACTTTGGGGAAAGGAATCTCTCATATTGTGGTGAAAAAGAACTTCAAATTCTCATCTCCGCTTCATTAAATTTTAAAGAGATAAACTTTAACCCGTTTTATGGCAATTTTCAGAATAATTGTTTCAAAATAAAACTTTCATTAACACAAGCTTAAGTATTGTTATCCTGCTTAATTTACATCGATACAGCCATCAACTGTAGTCATATAAAGAACATGTTTTATTGTATTTTCATTAAATTTAATTTAATTCATTTGAAGAAAAAAATCGAATTTTGTTTACTGAATTCTTCTCGTTACCATCTGAAAGTTTCAATTTAAAATTTCCAATTTCATATTATAAAATGTTCAAAAACATTTGTTGCACTTATTTTCAATTCAACAAGTTTTCAATTTCATTCGAGTGTCAGAGAATTTACGTGAAATTATTTTTCTCCGATAAAGATTATTTTTCTAAGATTATTTCATTTATCCAACCTTTCGTTACATTTCACCTTTGAAATAAATTTCACAAACCTCAGGAGAAAATAAATTGCGTGAAAGTGAAGCTTAAATATTTATTTACCATGCAATTAGTGAGTTTAGGAAGTTTTTATTTAATATTTGAAAAAGTTTCCTTCATCCTCGCAAAATTTTCAATGTGAAATTGTAATTAAAAGCTCCAAAATATCACAATAGATTTAATTTAGAACACAAAATAAAGTAAACTAAATTTCTAGATGAAATCAATAAAGTTACTTCGAAGCTTTTATTATAAAACACCGTCACGAATTCTAATTATAACTTTAAATGTAATCAAAATCAATGTTTACAGAACAACTTTTACCGCCTATCAGTTGGAGGAATTAGAACGGGCGTTTGAACGTGCACCATATCCTGATGTTTTTGCACGCGAAGAGTTAGCGCTCAAACTTAATCTGAGTGAATCGAGAGTTCAGGTGTGGTTCCAGGTAAATCCAATTAACATCATTTCACTCATGATAGTCAATTAACCATTTGAACAATTGCCACACAGAATCGAAGGGCAAAATGGCGAAAGCGTGAACCACCACGCAAAACAGGCTACATAAATACTAACAACAGTCCATCAACTCAAATCACGGGACAAACAATTCATCCGGCACCCACATTCACGACCTTCCAACAACCCACGACAGTCACGCCACCAGGCGGAAGCGTTGATAGTTGGAACAGTTATCAATCGTATGATTTGAATCCGCATTATAACATTATATCACCGGCATCGAGTCCTTATGGCACATTTACACATCAATATGCAACAACGCCTTATGATAATCAACTCTTTTCCGTGCCAGTACGACATTATGAGTATGACAGTCCATCGCGTGTAACGAATGGAATTCTTGTTGATACAACTGATGGCCATCATAAAAACGATTATTCAACATCTATTGACGAGAGTGGAAATGATGGGTAAGCAATATACTCAGATAAAATTTTGATATATTATTTTATTCAATAATATTCAACTCACAGTGTGAATGGATCAACAAAGTACATGGACGATTTACACATGACTAATTTAGAGGAAAATAAGTTCACATCACCAATCAATTGTCATATCGCACATGTAGTTGATGATCCTTCAAGTCATGTTTTAAAGTCTTCACCAAATCCCACTTTATCACAACTGACAACAGCAAATTGTCATATGGAACTTGAAGATTCTTCTGTAATTAAGAATGAAGATGCTTCGTCAACATTTGCAATGCCATTTATGCATTGAAAAAAAAAATTAATTATTAATAAATTTGTACATTTTTATTGCAAACAGAGCAACAAAATCAGAAAAAGTCTTTCATAAAATTAAATTTTATTATTATTTTGAGAACAAACGGGATGAAATATGATAAATAAATGGAACATCCCATTAGCATTATGAAATTTTATTTCTTATTAATTTTGTAATTATTCTTCTTGAGAATTAAATTTTGCGTTCCATTGTGCCTTAAAAAATGTAAGTAGAATTTAGTTATGTTATTTTAGTTATTATTTTTTAAGTTTTCATATAAAAATCTGTAAATTTTCTAAACTGAAAACGATTTGGTGCAATTGAAGTATGTAAATTTTCTTTTCATTCCCCTCTAGGTGAATAGAATTGTCTTGAGAAAAACAATAAACAATTTAATTAAATGAAAAAAAAAATTAATCAGCAAATTTACTTCGACAGAAGTCAACAAGATACGAAGTGACTCTCGTGTTGTTTTGTAAAGTTTCAAAAGGCGTCTTCCTCACTTCATCTTTAAAGCTTTCGTCGAGATTTGTGTTCCTCAATTTGTTTTTCGCATTAGATTTGACTTGCAATTTAGATTTCGATGTTCCGGCTACAGCATATTCGTACATTGACTTTTGAAGTAACTTCGAAGTTCTGCATGGTTTTTCCTTCTTATTTTCCAGATCATTTTTAAATTTATTATTCATCGTATCTAATCCGTTTAAGGCTAATGTAGAAAATGTGGCCTTTGATATTGACGAAGGCTGTTCAGCAGAAACTTTCAATTCATTTCTAAGGGAAATATTTTTTCTTTGCTGAGCTTCCATAACGGAATCAAGTGGAATATTTTCCTTGTCAAACAATTTTTGGAAGATACTCGAGTAATCTTTCTTTGTAGTTGGTTCTTGAAAAGACTGTTTAGATAGCAAAATTTGAGAAAGAATTTTATTGTACTCTGGTAGACCAACATCTTGTTGCTTCTGTATTTTCTTCGACGACCCACTTAAAGAAGAAACTTTGATATCATGATATTTTTGATGAAATTTTCTGCTGTTTTCATCATCTTCATAAATATCTTCATCGCTTAAAGGACGGAATATTTCTTCTAATGAGAATTCGCGATTTTTATTTTCTTCATTTGGCGTTAAATGTTTCAGTTGTGGAACATCAGCAACAGTTTGTTGAGACATTTGTTGGGAGATAAAATCTTCATCATTATGATTTGTTACGACTTGATATGAAGTGACAGAGTTTACGTGTCTTTCAAATATTTCGTCTAAAAGTGTTTTTGTATTCAAATTTACTGAACTTATCAACAATTCACGATTCAAAACTTTTTTTTCTGATTTTTTTTCTTTCTCCACAAATTTTGTTGATTCATCCTGGAAATCTTCCTGAGATTTGTGTTTTACTTCACATTCAAAATTTGCTTTTGTGGTATTGTTCACAAAAATATTTTCGCTTCGCACAAGAGGAACGTTTTCATTAGCTTTCACTACAGAATTGAATCGAATTTTAGCAGAATGTAAATCACAAACAGAAGAGTTTGGTTGCATTGAAAATAATACTTTCGATCCGCTCCAAATTTTCATTGCATTCTCTTCATCAATTTTATGTTCTTCAATAACTTTAAGTTTCTCTTTTAATTTCATTTCTTCTTCATCTTCTTTTACAGAACTTTCAGAGTCAATCTCTAAAATAGAAACTTGAGTTTTTTCATTTTTTTCCAACTCTTCACCTGGAAAAATATTCTTTTGATGTCGTTCATTTAACTGCAATGGAACTTACTTACTGTCAATAAATTGATCATCCTTCTTTTCACCCAAAATTCTTGAATTTTGTGAAATATTCTGCATTGGGTTATTTTTATCTTCCTTGGAATCTTGATTTTTGAATGAGTTTTCTTGTGAAGGAATTTCTTCTGAAGGAGATAGAGGAGTGTACAATTTTCTTCGTTTTGGCTTAAAAATATGTGAATACATATTTTAAGAAAAGAACTTTTTTGATGTAAAAAAAGGGATTAAAAACAAACATTCCCGATTTACAACTACTGGTAGATCTATGGTAGAATTTTCAGTAGATTAAATTTTAGAACTAGATACGTCATCCGTACAAAGAATCCGTTCGAACAGTTTAGCCGATAAATCTGTCTCACATGTTGCTACCGCAATTAGACCTACTTTGTATATTTATTATAATATGAATTAAGAAATATTTTAAATATTTAGCTTAAGGATGAAAAGACGAAGCGTATTCATGGAAAACTTAACTGAAAAAATTCCGCCTGTAAAAGTTTCAAGAAAGTCCTTCAATGAAAATGTTTCGGTGAGTTATTTTTAGCACATTTTTTGCCTTTTTATAAACAAAAATACGGAAGGCAAATTATAATGAAAGTATTTTTTAAGATTATTAAACAAAGAGATTCTTCCACAACAAATACAAAAGTAAATGAAGGGTCAATCCATAATCTGAACGGTGAAGAAATGGAAAGTGATTTAGAAGAAAAATTAAAAGCAACCATAGACCTTTACAACAAAAAGAAGTTTAAAAAGGAAGATGTTTGGACGAATGATACAATAGATTTATTCCACAAATTGACAAAACATAATTCAATTTCTTTTAACTTCGCTGGGCAATGCTTAGAAGTTGCAACTCAACTTTACATATTTAAACTTGACTCTTTATATCAAAGCATCTGTCATTTAAATGTATTGATCAATAAAACAGGTAAATTTTTATTGCTGGAACATTACAAATTAATGAATTATTTTAAATGTGTAGATTTAAGTCGTAATGAAGACAATCGTGGAAAAAGATTCAATAACAAATCAAAAACGAAAAAGTCGAAAGTTGTTCAATTTCCCGAAACGTTGAATGCAAAATTACAAATGCAAGAACTGTCCGAACCATTCTTTGCTAAATTAAATACATTTATTGGAGAAAATGTAAAAGCCAATCAAATGCTTCTTAATTTTCTTCCTCATAAATATCGAAAATTAGGATCATTAACTGATGCCCCCTTTTGGGATTGTGCTGATGAAAAGAACGCAAATACAAAGCGTCAAAATGTGATTAAAGTAAAGCAGATTCCTTCAATCGTTTCAAGCGTCATTCGATTCACTAATTCTCATTATCGAATCACCAATCAACCCATTAAAATTGATTATTTTCAACAGTAATTTTCATACATATTTATGTATTAAAATTTCTTTTATTATTTTTTTTGCTTTTAGAGTCGTCGATCTTTGCTCATCCAGTGAGGAAGAAGTCAACAATAGCAGTGAAGACCATCATGAAGGAGACAATCATAATGATAAAACAAATGAATCCATAGCAGATTACACTGAACATGACTCCGCATACATTACACAATTTAACTCAACCAATGATCAAACTATGGATGTCGATGATTCTTTTGAGGAAATGTCCATTGCCACAAATGATCACACTGACAGTTATGCAATGCCTTGTAATCAAAGCAATTCAGTAATAATCGAGGAAATTTCAGGCAATCAGAAAGAAAGTGTTAATGAAAATCAATTTCATGGTCTTCGTAAACGAAAATATCGTAAACAAGCCTCGGTTGACGTTCTTATGGAAGATTTCGAAAAGTTTCAAAGCTCTGACTATCTGGTTGATCATGCGACTTTTTCTAAAAAATACATTTGTCGAAATTCAAAACACCTACGACTTTCACATAATTATCAGTTGAAAAATGATATCTTTGATAATTTCACTCATGCAAATATTCAACTAAACTACCCGAAATATGATCTTATGGAATCAGCAATACATTCTAATGATGGAAATTCTCAGATTAATGATGTGGACATCCCATCTGAGAATTTATTAACTAATTCAAGTTTTTTTGAATCTCCTTTTATATGTGAAATGCCTTCGACACGACAAAATAATTTTAAAATGAAAGAATTGAAAAGATCAATCATAACTTTAATAGAAGAAGAGACAATTAATAAAAATGATGTGAAATTTAGTGTAATCAACAAAAAAGTAGGCAAAATGTTTGAGTCCAAGTATTCATGTGCTTTAACATTTTTTAGTATTCTACAAATAGCTTCCGAAACAAAAGTGGAATTAAAAGAACTCGAAGATTTAAAAGATCTCGACATAAACTTAATGTAAACAAGTATCGAAAATTTCCCAAAAATAAATAATTAGGAAATAAATGTTTGTTGCTTCGAAAGTGTCCATAATTTTTCGATTACCTATTTTGACATTTCTTCATTGTTGAATTTTTTGTTATCTTTATGCAAAATCTTAAAATTGAAACCTGAAGATTTCTTATGAAATTCATGGAATTTTAATATTTAACGGTAAAAAATTATTTGAAAATATTTTGACATACTTTTAAAGGGCTTCTGTGTTTTTTTAAAGCAAATTCATTCCGCGCAATGATAAAGTGTTTTTATTAATATTTCGTGCTTACTCTTTGTAAATGAAGCATTACATATATTTTAAAACGTTCCTAAAAGTCTAATCAATATAGAATTGATGGAAGTAATCTAGGGATTTTCGTTAATTGCAATAAAAATAAAATAATTGAAATATTACTTTTATCGCGAAATTTGCTTAAAAATCTTGATTTATTTGTAAAACAATGTCTAGAAATAATTGTCCTCATCTTCAAACTATTGTTCAGATCAATCCAGTAGAATTAAGCATCCAAAAGAAGGTGAGTTTTGACGTCAAAATTGTTAAATTCATGGAATTCCAAAGAATGATTGCATCATAGCAGATACACACGATTGCAACAACAACTTATGAAGAAGAAGATAAAAAAGTTTATCCAATTTTCACTTATGAACGTTAAAATAAGAGCTCAACTCAATTGAATGCACAATCTTCGTCATCACTTCACACATTACATTTTTCATGCATTTTATACTTCACTCAAAGCAAAGTCTAATTGGATAATGATTTTTCTTTCTTTATATCTATTATAATTCAGGGAAAATTGTGCTCAAATTGCCCTGAAGCAGGACCGAACCTTTGGATTTGCTTACGATGCATGTACATCGGATGTTCTGATAAACACAATGATCATAGTACTTTACATTTTGAGGTGAGTTGGAAATATCTTTCATTGTCTTTGTTTTATATTTTTCAATTTTTTATTATTCATTTTTATAGACCACACGTCATTCCGTTCAAATGAACCTGTCATCACAACGTGTATGGTGTTATTTGTGCGAGTGTGAAGTATTTATTCACAATCAAACCAATCGTTTCCATCAAAGAACCAATTCCATCGATTCAACTGAAGGTCGTCGAATTTTCCAATATCATCAAGACTTCACTGATCGTGGAGTCACAGGCGAAGCAACAGGATCGTTCAGCAGTAGTGATTATGACGATGAAGACTGTGAACAAACTCAATTGAATGGATTGGTTGGATTGAAAAATATTGCCAATACTTGTTACATGAATTCAGCACTTCAAGCTCTCAGCAACTCTCGCCCTTTAACAGGATTCTTTCTTGAATGTGGTTCGCTGGTGCAACATAGCGTTCCACGTACAAAAATCGGTTTGGCAAAGAGTTATCATCGATTAATAAAAGATATGTGGCTTCATAAGAGACGAGGGTACATCGTCCCCGTTGAAATAATTCGTGGCATCAGCACGATCCATCCAATGTTCCGAGGATATCAGCAACATGACACACAAGAATTTTTAAGATGCTTTATGGATCAGTTACATGAAGAATTGAAAGAAGTCACACCACCTCCGCCAGAGTTTACTGATCAAAAGTCTCCTGTTGATGAATTAAATCAAGAAAAAGAAGACTCGCTTTGTCCATCGCCATCGTCACAATCAGAAGCTGAATATGAAACTTGTGACAGTGGCGTGTCTGAACAATCAAGTTTATCTGACGAAGTAACAAACACCAAACGAACTCGTAAATTTTCTCGCTCTCCAAGTCCACCAGCACATCAAAGACTTAACAATAATGCGACTAATTCGTCTTCCTCAATACCGACAATAGGGAGTAGCATTTTAAGTAATCGTACTGGTTCCAACACAAGTTTAACATCACAGCCATCGTCTGGAAATCAACAACAAATAAAAGAAAACATAAACAACAATCAACAGCAACAACAACAAGCGTCAAAGGTTATTCATCGGTCAATTATAAGTGATGTGTTTGATGGAAAATTATTGTCATCTGTTCAATGTTTAACATGTGATCGCGTTTCAACACGTGAAGAAACATTTCAAGACTTGTCACTACCCATTCCTGGTCGAGATCATTTAGCTGTACTTCATTTATCACAAAATCCGCCACCATTAAATAATATTAATTCAAGTTTGACAATGAACGGTGTAACATCGTGTACTGATGTAGTTTATCAAGTTCAAGACAGTTGGATTTGGTGGCTATGGAGTTGGTTTCGTTCATTCTTCTGGGGGCCAGCAGTTAATCTTCATGACTGCATGGGCGCATTCTTCAGTGCTGATGAGTTGAAAGGTGACAACATGTATAGTTGTGAAAAGTGCAATAAACTACGAAATGGAATCAAATTTTCACGTGTGTTGGCTTTACCGGAAATGTTATGTGTTCATTTAAAACGATTCCGTCATGATTTATCGTACAGTTCAAAGATTTCAAGTCCTGTTATTTTCCCTTTAACTGGCTTAGATATGCGTCAATATCTTCATAAAGATTGCAAATCGCAAGTCTCAACATATGATCTTAGTGCAGTGATTTGTCATCATGGAACTGTTGGAAGTGGTCATTACATTTGTTATGCAAAGCATGCGCCAACGGACAAATGGTTTGAGTTTGATGATCAAACAGTTTCACAAGTGTCAGCTGAAACTGTTCAGAATTGTGAAGCTTACGTGCTTTTCTATCAAAAAAGTAATCCACAGATGTCACATATTCGGGCACAAGCTCAAGAGATTATCAATTCACATCCACAAGCTTATCTTTCATCACCAACAGATATCAAATTTTTTGTGTCGAAGCAATGGATCAATCGATTTCATACGTTTGCAGAGCCAGGACCGATTGACAATTCATCAATTCTATGTCAGCATGGAAGTTTATTGCCGAATAAATCTGGAAATGTTCGTGATTTGCTTGTTCCAATTAATCAAACACTTTGGGACTTTATGTATGAGAAATTTGGTGGTGGGCCTGTGTGTAATCACCCCATAGAATGTGACACGTGCAAGACACGAGCAGAAGATCTCGAACGACGTCAAAAGAATGAAATGAGAATTTTCTCTGAATTACGAGACGAGTTCCAATATCCAGACAGCTCATCAATGTTGTTTGCAATTTCAATGAATTGGTTTAGAAAGTGGCAAGCATTTGCCCATTGTGAAACAAATGAAGAGCCAGGGCCAATAACTAACATTACCATTGCACAACAATCCGATACATTACCAATTAGAAATGTTCGACCTGGCTCTGACTATGCCCAAATCAATTTAAAATTGTGGAAATTTTTCTTTAATATTTACGGTGGTGGACCTGAAATTATTTTGCGTGGTGCAAGTGAATTTAGTAAATCAGAGCGTGAAGCAGATCTTGTCGATACAGCGGAAAATCTCACATTAGAAGATATTGATGATGATAATGATGATGATGATGACGAAAATAACAATGTCAATGATAATGATGATCAGGTAAGATTTTAATTCTTTTAATAGTTAATTAGACGAGAACTGAAATAATTTTAAACTTTAAAATTCCCACAATAGACACCATTTAATATGAACATGGAACAAACTGTCATTGCTGCTAAAGATATTGAGAATGATCGTCCAATTGAAAAAGAAAAGACATCAATTTTAAAGCCAACAAAGACTGTTTCATTTGAAGACACCAGCGATATTCATAACGACGAAAGTGAAGCAGATGAACACAATGACGATGTCGCTAAAGAAGTAACAAAAACAAATCAGAAAGAACGACAAGTTGAGACGATCAATGGAAGTGCAAGTGGAAGAAAGACGACAAGAAAGTTTGTTATCAAACCAATTGAAATTAATTTACGAGACAAGCGACATCATCGCTCATCGGAGCAAAGCAATTTGTTTGGAGCTCAAGGTTAGTTGAAATGGAGAATAAATTTATTTCAAAACTAATTTAACTTTTTCTCCACAGGAACGATTCGTCACATTCCAGATGAAGAGATTTGCAATGGATCATCAACAACACAACAAGTAAAAGCCAATCAAAATCAGAAGCCCAAAAGAAATGGCAATGATTCAGATAGCGATGAAGAAAATCAAAGTTTAACAACTGAAATTCGTGTAAATGGACACGGTCATCATCGTTCAGGAAGGAAAAAATCGAAATCAGTGCGGATGAAATAATTAGGAAATTTCTCTAAAAACATTTAAGGGCATTTATCTTCTACTTGGACGACTTTGTTATATTTTATTTAATTAAATTTTGCATTTGGGTTGAGCTTATAAAATTAAAATATTCTTTTGCGATTAACACAATAAGAAATTGTCAAACGTTTATTATTGATCGTTGATCTTGAGGCTGGGGAGTCATACAAGTTTAAGCATGTTTTCCTTTACCGGGTTTTATGTATTGTTATGAGAATTTATCTACAAATGTGCAATTTAAATAAAGTTTTCCCTATGCATACAATTAAAAGTAATGAAACTTATCAATTTTATGATGAAAATATCAGTTATGTATGTGAAAAGATGTCAAGATTAAAGTCACGTAGTCATAATTTTTATCCATCTCAATTTACTTTTTTAACGGTCATGAATTTTTTAAATTTCTGAGGAGACATGAAATTGTGTTTAAGAACTGACAAGAAAATAAGATCCCCTCAGGAAGAGAAGACTTCGCAGACGAGGATTCAGTTGAGTTCTTCTCTTCCCAAAGACTAGAAGCAAAATCATAAAGTGCAAAAAAAGTCAATGGATAATTTTCAGACAAATTAAAAGTTAAAAATTCCTGTGGAATATGGTTCATTTGTGACATTAAAAAGTATTGTTAAGTTTATCAATTCAGAATTGTAGATCAAAAGAAACTTTTTCGTTTAAAACACTTTTTACAAAGGTGAGTAAGGACGAAACCTATTTTTCTTCTTATTTTTTTTACACTTTTCAAGAGACAAATTCACAACCAAGGAAAATGAAATATGGAAGCAAATTTTGAGTATTTTTAGTTAATATAATTTTCAAACAATTATCACATTTGTTTTGTCACGACTTTTTCAAAAACTTACGAAATCTTTCAGACATTTGTCGTATACCTTGAATTTATGTTCATTCATAATATTTTCATTCTATTTTTAAATTTAAAACCGCATGGTTAAAAACAATGCTTCCGTGTAAATTTTTCCATTGTATGTTGTCGAATGAGGAAAAATGATGCCAAAAATAGGAAAATGACTAGCATTCTAAAGTCAATGATCTAATTTTTTTCTACCTATCTAGGTAGACAGGAAAATGATTTTAACTTATAACTTGACTTGATTACATGAAATTGTTTTCTTATTTATTCAAAAAAGCATTAAGTAATATTGAACGACATTAACACAAGCCTTTAAAATACTGAAATGAAAAAAGAAGAGTTTTCGTAATCGTTCTGTATAAATACGTAATATCTTGAAACAATGAAGAAAAGACATCTTAAAAATTTCTTTTCATTCCTCATGAAACAGACTCTGCTAAAATCGTATCGTCTTTAATGGAAAAATCCCCAAATTAAATAATAAAAATGTAGGTACCTGAGTATGGAAAAAGAATCTTGTTTTCTTAACATCAACATACTGTATGATAATAAAGTTTCATGTTATCGACATAATAATAACTTTTTGGATTTTTCTCTTTTATGCATAAAAATTATTGTCAATAAAAACGAGTCGTGTCTTTTTTCGAGGCCTTTCTTTCACATTTCTGATGTCACTGACCCACTACATCCACAATACGTTGTTAGTCATGAGCCTACCTGCCAATAACTCGCTAAAAAATGATGAACTGGTTGAAACCGGTTTTGTACGGAAAATCTCCAAAAACATGAAACTGTAGAATGTTTTATCTAAAATTGTTTCTTTGTTGGCATTTTAAAAGTAAATATAAAAGTTTGAAACACATTTGGCTGATGATAACATACGATAACGATTTATTTATTTGCTTGAAGTGGAAATGTGGGTGTGATAAAGATGATTATTAGCACAGACGAGAACCTCGTGATTCGCAATCTTTTCCTCGTCTATTTGCGATAAAGTTATCACATTGCAATTATATTTCCCAATGCAAAGTGTTTTGAAGAGGCTTCTTTATAAGAAGAGAATATTTCAAATTATGAGAACACGTGTATAGTTTCGTAAGACACGCTAAGACTTCGCCTTTATATTTGGCCACATTGAATTATTGAAAAGAACTCCATGACAACAGCAGGTTCTATTTTGGCTTATGAAATATTCATGTCTCGACCTTGAACGTTTATTAATCATTAAAATCAATCGTTTCATGCTTATGTATCTGCGTGAATATCTAAAAATGTTCGTGAATTGTTATTTCTTAACAAACGCTTGAATAAATTGTCTCTCAATAGCTTTCACGCAGTTTAATAATTCAAAATTGTTTGCAAAAGTTTGTTTTCTTTGGTTTTCTTATACTTGTTAGAAGGCAAACATTTGAAATATAGACGAGGTCGATAACTTTCACCTTAGCTGAACTTTTTAAATGTGACCTTAATCACTTAGAAATCTAAGTCACCGAATTTCATCAAATATTTATTCATTTGAGCAGCGAAATTAAAATTATTATAAAAACAATCCTATTTGACGGGTTTATGAATAACTTATTTGAAAAATCCAACAATGGATTGATTTGTCATTCAATTAAGAAAGTCATGTGATACTTAGCCGGCTTTTGCTTTTGTTTCAAGAATTCATATCGTAAAGAGAATGCTTGAATTACAAACTTCTGAATAGTCATGACCTTCGTGTCATTCCACTAACTTGAACCATCAATATTTGATGAATTCTCTTTTCCAACGAATAAATTCAATCTTTGAGATTGTCACAACTGAATTTATCGAGTTTCGTTTTCTTTTGGTTGTTGTGTCTAAGAAACTCAACTTTGAAGCTCTTATTACGTCGTAAATAATTTTATTTCTCTTTGCATTCAGCAGATACTTCTACTGTCAAATATTAAACGAAAAATGTTCATTTCAAGTGAAGTAGAAAAATTATTGCGGTACTTATTATGATATTTATCCATCACAAATCTCTTCTTTAATGACATCAGGAAAATAAGTTTCCATGGAGATGTTTAACATTTCTAGCAGATACTTATGCGATGTTTAATATTGTTTGTTATTCCATGAATTTTACGCCATGCCTACCAAACCACCATTTTTGCTAGATATGAAAAGACTTCATTAGATATTTATTTATTTATTGTGCAAAGTTTATTTTCTCTTTAAACATTAATCTCCACGTGCCGATAATCTCTGTTTTTCAATATTTATACACAAATCCCTTTTGACAAAACAGATCGGGTGGCAAAAAACTGAAAACAATCATCTGCAAGTTTGAGGCGTAGCATGGAAAGTTTGATAAGATTTTAGTAAATATTTACTAGAACTATAAAATTGTCATTATTGCTCAATCAAATTTACATGTTGAGTAAGTAATTGATGCGGAAAATATTTAGTTCAATATCAAACAACTTATAACAGCTGACAATGCTGATAAATTTTATATATTGATAGGAAGACTGGTGACGACATGATGACTTAGTTATAACTAAAAATTGCTACTTTTTATTTAATTAAACACAAAAATTGGTTATTCACGTAGAAAGCAAATCCACGTGATATTCAATATTAAAATGATATAAACTGTTGTCAGCACAGCAGTCAATAATCCAATTTTGCACATAAATTGCTATTTTTATTGCAATCCATCGAGTTACACGATCTTCTTACGTATCTACTTATAATAATTTGCTGTTGACACGTGTTTTAAACAAATGCCCGTAGAAAGAAACCAGCAAAAGAATCTTTTGCGACATCGCTTTAGTTCGATGAATTGAATGTCCGTTTCATGTTGACATAAATTCATTATCAATACAAGTTGGTCAAACATGTTGTTTGTACTTGTTTTGTTGTTTTTACTGATTGAAGTTCAATGGATGACGTTCATAGTGTCAAGTAAACATATTAATAAAAATCTTGCAATGATCAATGGAACGGTCACGTGATGTTCTTCACTTGTAAAACGTTTCCAACATCTGTGTAACTTAATTACGAAGTCAATCAGTGTTTGGCAAAGTTAAAAATCGTTTAATTACTCTCTATTGACTTTTATTATGCTGAATAAATAATCTAATTAAATTCCTTTCTAAAAATATTTTTTACATCGCTTGAAAGGAATTTTCATTTCGCTTCTTCTGATCAATTGTTTATGCAATGTTTCTGTTTATATATTATCAAATGTGAGAAACAGAAAGGCCACAATAAAGTTGTTCTATTTTGAAAACGAAACTATTATGAAAGGTTCAAAATTTAAAAATAAATAAAAAACAAATCGGAAAATTGGGTCGTTCAGATAGAAAGAAACTTTTAGTGATTTAATGTTTGGAACGTTGACAGAATGAAGCAATTAAGAGAGCGATGAATGACGAAATTGCGGATCTTATAACCAGGGTGACACTTTCAATCTTTATTAGTGATCCTTAAATCTTTTGGAACGCCCGAATAATCGTTTCTGACGTCTTAGCGTCGGTCATGCGATAATCAAAATTACTGATTAGTTAATCTGCTTCAATGTCAAGCGCGAGCGAAAAAAAAAAAATTTTGAAATGCTCCCCTCTAGACTGATAATGAATAATGGTTTCATTGACTTTCTTATCAACAATAAGCGCAACTTAAATGGGTGAGCTTAAGATCAGAAGAATTATAAAAAAACCCAAACTTCTTGTCATTGATTAACTAAGTTGAGCTTTCAAGAATATTCCATAAATCTTCATTTTATTGAAAAGCTTTTTTATGACGGTCGTGAAGTTAACGACAAGGACGATCAGTCCCTTAACAACCTTCATTTATCTGCTACGCATTATTCCTTCCTGTTTTCGAGAATTTTCGAAAATGCTTCTGAGAAGGTTTCGTTTATGAGTTCCAAAATATGCTTGCGCCGTAACTAATATTAAGGGACAAAAAAAATTATTACGAGAATATTCGTGAACCTTCCAAATTGAAACTTTTCTATCTTTTTTTTTTCTTCTCTTCGCATCTGCGCAATATCTCAATTTCAATTACGTGACATTCTCTTAATAATTCCCTTTGTTGAATGAAAAAGAAGAAACTCGAACATTCATTCACAATGTTGGGCAACAAGTGTTGATTAGTCACCAAATATTTTTTGTTTTTTCTCTCTCTTGATTGACGTAAATTTCATTTTTATGTGTGAATTGCAAAATTCTTGTGATTAATTATAATTGATAGGAAACTCACGAAAGAAATGAGAAGAAAAAACAATATTGAAAGATGTTTGTTTCCTTTAATGGGTCAACATCGATTTGTTTTGTTGAATCGTCATCTTTAATTGTTTGTTTTTCGAGATCGCGTGAGTTCAACATTTATTTGTTGACTGTAATTACTGCTTTTAGTTGCTTTTTCTTTTTGATAAGCAAATACTGAATTACTTATTGAATTAAATATCATGACAAAAGGATACAAATTATTAATTCAATTCTTTCCTTTTTTCCTTCCATTTCTTTAGACATGATGCCGTGGATGATGCCCTACTTACGTTATGTTGATGATTCATTAAAATCATCTTTCCAAGAGTCACTTAGTTTAATGCGAAAAAATCGTTTGTTTTGTGATGTTATTTTACATGTAAGTTTAATTTTTATACGCTTAAATGTAGGGTAAGTAGCCAATTGCGTTACACTATTAACAAACTTAATTTTCTGTTTAATCTTGAAACTTTTCTCATGCACTTTGATGAAAAAGAGTAGAAAATTAAGTTCGATAATGCAGCACCGCGATTGGCTACGATTTTAAAGTGTGTCGTATTTGACTATTCATCCTAATTTAATTAACATTTATTTGTTTAACTCAGGTTGAAAATACAGAAATTCATGCTCATCGTAATGTGTTGGCTTGCGTTTCTCCTTATTTAATGGAGCTTTTCAGTGCTGAACAGGTGAATTGATTTTATGATTTAATGAGAAGAATTTGAATTTAAATAATAAAAAATTATTAAAGAACACATGCAATGATGGAAACATTCCCAGCTTTCGACTAAATGGCTACATTACAAAAGAAGGTCTCAACATTCTCGTCGATTATGCATACACAGCAAAATTGGAAGTTCCAGACGACATGGTAATATAAAATTCATCTTCTGTTAAATAATTAAGCATCAATTTACTTCATTTAGATCAAGCCCGTTTATCTTGCTGCATGGCAACTACGAATGGAGCGTGTCGTTAATGAATGTGCAGCTCATCTTGTCTCGGACTTATCAAATGACACATGCATTGAAACACGATCACTTCCTGGTATTAATCGTAATAAAACTTTTGTTTCAAAAGTCGATAAGTTCATCGCCGATCATGTAAGAATTTATGTTTAAATATTTTGATTGACTTCAGAAATGACAAATTCACATTCTTAGTTCCCAGAGCTTTCACAAACCACCAGCTTCCTTCAGCTACCATCCATCCAGATTGAAGTCCTCCATCAGACGAAGCAAGAGATGGCAATGGTTGCTGAGGATTCGCTGAGTCGATTAGTTCTGGACTGGATACGAAGGGAGATGAACGAACATTTTGGATCGGTAACTTGAAAATGCTTTGCAACATTTGCAAATGCATAAAAAATGGGTGAACATGTAGGGAACACGACAAATGTTCTTCTTCTTTTGTAGATCGCTTCATTATCTGAGCGTTCGCACATGTTGTTCCTCGGTTTAGACAATTCATTGCAAGATGCCGCCGATTTGGTGGGTGACAAAGCGAATTCAGACATGGTGAAAGACTACAAGAAGCTTGCATCGAAGAATCCAAGTGGAAATCCCAAATCAAGACGCAAACATATTCCAAATCTTCCCGAACGTCCACGCATTCTCATCTATTCACGTGACATCACTGATCGAAGTAAAGATGAAGAAAATCGTGCTGATGCTGATTGGAATTTAATTGGAACAACGAAAGTTTTCGATCATATGTTCATATCATTGGTGACATTAAATGGCGCTTTATGTCGTGTGTCAATTCAATTGCGACTTAATGAGTTCGTTCCATCATCAGAAACATCTTCAGGGATGACGACACCATCGCCAGTCGCATTATCAGTTGAGAGTGACGGAAAGCAGCAACAATCACATCAACAACAACCACCTTTTGATCTTTTATCAATTGATCAACAAATCACTCAACTTCTTCAACCGGAATTATTCTGTGAAGTCGCCACCATGTCTGAGAGTAAATGTGGATTGGGAGTCGCAGAGCTTGAAGGAAAATTGATTGTTGTTGGTGGCTATGGACGTGCTGAATGTTTGAGATCAGTTGAATCTTACGATCCGGCAATTAACGAATGGACACAACAATTGTCATTGAGTGAAGCTCGCGGACGAGTTCAAATTGCTGTCATTAATGGAACAATTTATGCTGTTGGTGGTTGTAATGGAACAACTGAACTTGACACTGTTGAATGTCTTGCATTGGGTGAACGAGTTGGAAGTGGCGATGAGAAGCCGAAGAAATGGAGGAAGTGCTCAAAGTTGCCATTCTCACGATCCAATGCTGGTGTTTGTGCACTTAATGGAAAGATTTATTGCATTGGTGGATGGAATGGCCAGTCAGGAATAAAACAATGCGACGTTTATTGTCCTGAAACTGACCAATGGACATCAATTGCGCCATTAAATACTGGACGTTGCCAGGCAGGCGTTTTTGCGTTTAACAAGAAGATTTGGGTTGTTGGTGGCTCAGATGCTTGGAATTGTCTTGGAACGGTTGAAACATACGATCCTGAGACTAATCAGTGGACATTCTCTGCTCCACTTTTGACACCTCGCCGTGGTTGTGGTCTGGCTGAACTCAAAGGACGTTTGTATTGCGTTGGTGGGTCTGATGGCAATCAGTCGTTAAAATCATCCGAATATTTCGATGAAGCAACTCAATCTTGGATTTTGGGACCATCACTTACCACAGCACGATCTATTGTCTCTGTTGTGGTCGTTCAAAATCGACTTTACGCCATTGGCGGATTTTCTGGAAAGAAATTCTTAAACACCATCGAATATTACGATGAAGATGCAAACGAATGGACGAAATTTGCAAAGCTTCAGCAAACGAATTCGTCAATTGACTCGAATGGAAGTGTTGATGATAATTTATCTGCTGTTGATTCAAATGGCGACATGATGAGAGATCTTGAACTTGATGATGATATAAATACGAATCATCGTCGTGAAGATAAAATAAGTGAAGATGAATCAAATACAATCATCATGCCGAAGTCAATATGTTGAAGTTTCAACACAAAACCAGCTAAAAATCGTCGTCATGTCACGATTTAATTAATTATTCTATTAATTTTTGATCATAAAAAGAAGGAATTTTTTTTCTCGAGTTCATTAACTCGATTTTGTAACGTTTAAGGATTTTTATTATTATTTTATATATACACAAAAAAAGTAACCTGTGTGTGGGAGGAAACTTAGACAATTTGTCCATTTGCTAACTAATTAACTTTAATCATTAAATCTTGAAATACATAAATGTTAGAAGATTTTAAATGAAAGGAGAGTAAATTGTCATTTTTGTGATTGTTTACTCTAATCAAGAGTGAAAGTTCTTTTTTATTGATAATTATCGAGTGAAGTAAGTAAAGACACTCACTGACCATACACACACACAGGAAGTTAAGAGATTTTTCATAATTAAACTTACCGTGGATTTTCCTTGCATATTGAAGCTGTTAAGATGTAAAATGCAAGACAAGGTAACAATTATTAGCACACTTTTCCAAGTCCGTAGATTTTTAAGCAAGAAATGATGTTATTTATTAATTGTGAGTGTATGAAATCATGACAATTGTCACGTTTGATGTTTCTCGCAACAAATTTTCATTTTCTTTGCTCTTAAATTTTCCCCTTTTTGGCAACAAACGATTATTGATTGCTTCTTAATGTAATCAAGTAAAGAAAATTCTATTTAAATGTTAAGCTTTAACAAGTGATGTATGAGAGATATTTTAATTAAGATCATGATGATGATTAAGAGACACATTTTCAATTTGTTGCTGCTTGAACCTTTCCATATTTCAATCCAAGAATTGAACTTGAAGCATTTTAACGAAGTTGCAGTTGAAGTAATTTTTCATTTTTAAATAAGTTTATCAAACTTAATTGACAGAAAGTTTCAATCTGATCATCATCTGCAAAATTTAAACGAAATATTTCCATATTGTTTAAAAAAGTAACAAAAATTTTATTATAACAAAAAAAAAGGAAAAAACATTTTAATTAATTAAAATTAAGGAGATCATTAAAGACATTAATTGTAATAAAGATTGGTGACATGAACCGAGTAAAACACGAATTTGAGTCCATCATCAAAACAAAAAGAAAAAAAGAAATAAACACAGGAAATATCTGAGAAAAACTCAACAAACGTTCTTTCATTGTTCTCTCTTTTTCTTTTATTCAAAAAACTGATCCTTGAAGTAAGGAAAGCCTTCGTCGTCTTTAACAATCTCTTCAAAAGTCTGCTGATTCAGTGTTGAAATTGACTTTCGATCTTCACTAATTGATGTTATGGAAGTTCCAGTTAATGATCGTCGGTTATGTTGATTACTGTTTGTGTATGTTATCTCGTCAATATCATCGTCATCCATGAAACTTAAATCACCTTCGTAATCTGAAAGATTCGTCACTAACAATATAAAAAATGTAAGAACAGAATGAATGACGTAGAACTTCAATAAATGTTTTAAGGACAGGAAATCATGCAGTGTGGGTGGATGTTAAGAACAACAACAACAAATAATGAACATAATTCTTGTAATTCTAGTTTTATTGCTATTAAAAAACTAAAGAAAACAAATTTCTTTTTAAAAAAATAGTTAAATTCATGAAGTTTGCCTCAAGATTAAAGTTAAAAAAATATCAGCTTGATTAGTGTGCAAAGATTAAATTTGTGGAATGAGAAATAATTCTTCAGGTTGATTGAATGTTTTTTTAATATCCTTTCAGTCTCGATTAATCGTTGTTGTTATTATCATAATCTGGTTGTCTCTACGATCACAAAATCATCGTCGTCAAGATCATTTTGGTTGAATTCAGATGGAATTGAATTGATTGATGTCGCTATTGATGTTGTCGTGTTGAGACTATTCATGCTCTTAAATCTTCTTATCAGCATTGAATTTTCAACTAAATAAAAACATAAACGTTGTAAATATTTAAAATTGCATGCAATAATTGTGAGAATGAATAAAATAAATATACAGAGAACTTTTCAAATAAGAAATTGAATTGAAAGTTCTCTCTAAAGACTATCAAACAAGCATATCAAGAAGGGGGAAAAGTTTGATCAATAACATGAAATGTGCGTCTAAAACGATGAGTCATTGGAAAAATTTCCGCATCGTTTTAAATTTTACCTGTGTTGTTGTAATTGCTTATTGCGTCGTCTTCGTGATCTTCATCTTCATCACCATCAATTCCATTTTCTTCGTTACGATGAATTACAAATTCAGTTACGTTTCTTTCAGAGTCAGTGAAGCATTCTGCACGCAGTCCAAGCTTCTTTTCTATTGTCGGCTCAATAAATTGTCCCATTTCACATTTTGGAAATTCGACATCATTTGCTGGTGGTGGTAAATCCATTCGCTTTCCTCTTAATTCTATTATTGACGTTTCTAAACTCTTAATGACGTAATTGTCGGAATATCCAAAGTTTTTATTGAGTTTGTACTGTTTATGTTTGTTGTGTGTGTATGATGAATAAAAATAGAAATAAAAGAAAAAAATGAAAAAAGCTTTCACTTATCTACTTACCTGAAGATAATCGGTAATCGCATCCATATCTTTTAACTTTAGCAACTTCGTAGCATGAAGTTTCAAAATTGTAAACGCCATCGCGGTCACAGCTCGTTCGCCTTCCAATAAATAAACATCCCAGACACGTAGACAAAGACTGAATGGAATCTTAAATTAAAAACGACAAATCATATTATTTTAAAAAGAAAAACTGATCTAAGAACTCACTCGCTCAACAAAAATAACAAAAAACCATTTTAATGAATACAGGACGGCGTCGAGATTTTGTTTATCGAAATGCTTTTTTAACTTTGGCAAGAATTTCATAAGAATTTTATCATGATGTGTGAGAAGGCGCATCAGTTTTGGAAATCCCACAATGTACAAACCATGCATGGCAAATTTCTTCTCAATCATGAGGGCGTGTAATGCCCAGAAAGCCTCTTCTTCATTTAAATAAAACAAAAGCACGCCAACAATCGATGACATGCCTTGACAATAACCAACTTCCATATTGTACATACTGTAAGCTGATAACACATTGAATAGTTGTTGTTGTTTGGTGCTATATCGTTCACGAAAATATTCATGATCACGAAAACATCTGAAATTGCAGAATATGAAAATATTTTGTTATTAGTAATTGGAAATTTTTCTGACCTGTTGATGTCGTTGTCAATTTGACGGATGTCTGTCGAATGATTATAAGCTAAATTGAGCATTTTATTGTAAACACCTGGATTGTCTTTCATTTGCTTCTCTACCTGGAGTAATTTCAACCAGATAGCACCACGAAGTTTATCAGGAATTCCTTTAAATATTCTACGTTGAAGTTTTTCTCTGTTGTAGTTTCTAAACTTTTCGAAACTTTTATGCATTTTAAGCCATTTTTGAGCACGCTGAATTTCAACTTCCTTCTCTTTTTTCTCGTTCTCATCAAATTCTCTAGATAGTGCTTCAGTATGAATAAAACCATATCTGAAAATAAAAAAAATTAAAATTATTCACGTTTGGATGAAATTTATTTTTGTTGTCACCTGTCAATTTTGTAGTATAAACCAAAGTCTGGATCTTCCTAGAATTGCACATCACAATAATTAAATATGAATGTATGAACAAAATTCTTCAACCTACCCATTTGTTGATGTTATTTCCTTCCAATTTGTCCAGTTGTTTTCTTCCTAAAACATATTTCTTAACAATATCTTGCCGCTCTTGATTAGCTCTTTTGAGTTCATCTTCTAAACTCTCATCCATTTTGTTTCTTTTTTAATCTATCTTATCTTAATTGTGATGACATATTTTACGTATCAAAATCTACAGGAACTGGGAATCAAATTAAAAATAATTGCAGAAAAACTTTCTCGATTGAGAGTGAGAGAGATAGAGATCTTGTATTTAATTAAAATAGGTCTCCTCGGAATTAAGTCATCTAGGTAGTTGCACACTCCAAAGCAAGGCGCGAATTTTAAGTTAAATTTCAGAAAGTTTTTAAAATGGATAAATGTGTTTTGTGTCGCTCTGAAGAAACTGTTGAATATATACACGGAGAGTTATATGAAACAGAAAATGTTAAAGCTCATTCATTTTGTTTGGTAAATAGACATTAACTTTTTCAAGTGACGCATTTTTTGATGCAATTTATTTGTTTTATGTATCCAGTTATTTGCTCCAAATCTTCCGCAAAAAGGTAAAGATGACGAGGGAATGGAAGGTTTTCTATTGAGAGACATTCAGAAAGAAGAAGTCCGAGTAAGACGCTTAAAATGCTGTTATTGTAAGAAAATGCATGCCAACCTGGGCTGTTCTGTAAGTATAGGTTATGTTTTAAGTTTAGTTATTAAAATTGCTAACGCTGATCTAAATGTCATTTGAAACAGATACGCGAATGCAAAAAAGCATTTCACACAGAATGCGGCTACAAAAATAAAGTCAGCTTCGAGTTTACTTCTCAATTTCCTTGCTTTTGCGTTGATCACAGCACAAACAACCAAACTTCCAGCCCGTCAAATGATGACGTTTGTTCGATCTGTTCACAAAACTTTAATGAAAATGACCGAAATATTTTGATGCCATGCTGTAAGCATACATGGTTTCATCATTCATGTATTCAAACCTTTGCTCAAACTGCTGGTTTATATTTTAAATGTCCAAACTGTAATGATCAAGAAAAATGTTTTCAACTTTTACCAAAATTTGGAGTTCACGTTTATGAAAAAGATGCTGACTGGGAAATTGAATATGATAATTTGGAAGATTTTGAAACAATTCCAGAACAACCATGTGAATCTGATAATTGTAATGGTACACCGGAAACATCCTATAGCGTAGCTCCCTGGCTGTGGGATGTTTGCGAATATTGTGGAAGTTGCGCTGTTCATAAAGAGTGCAGAAATGCAACGAATGAACCATCTTTCACATGCACATGTTGTACAGAATCTCTAGTATTGCTCAATAGATGTGAAGCTGAAAGTTTCGTTGAAGATTATTTAAATGAAGAAGCTTCAACATCATCTGAAAGTTCAACACCAAAAGCAGACAAAAGCACTTATGATAGTTCAATTGAAAAATTAATTAAACGATTTCCACCTAAAAATTTGGAAACTGAGGACAGTGAAAATAGTGACAAAGAAAATGGAAGCAACTACAAAGAAAATGAAAACTTGAAACTTTTGAGTCAAGTAGCAGTTTCAATGGAAGTTTCCAATACAACATCAGGTGTAAGCTCAACACCAAAAATATCAGAAGGAAGCAATTTCACCAGTGTAACCAGTGTAATTGATAAAGTAATTAAAAACTTTCAAGATAAAAATAAAGAAATTTTGGAAGCATTGGAAAGTGAAAACAGCGACAAAGAAAATGAAAACTTGAAAGTTCCATGTCAAGGAGCAGTTGCAATGAAAATTTCCGATCCAAAAGAGTCTACTTTCACGATAACAAGTAATGAAAGCTTTGATGAAGATTATAACAGTTCACTTGAAATGTTAATTAAAACTTTGGAAGGTGATGGAAGTGAAAACAGCAACAAGGAAAATGAGAACTTAAAACTGTTGAGTCAAGTGGCAGTTTCAATTGAAGATTCTGATGTAGCAACAGGTGAAAGCTCAACACCACAAGCATCAGATGAAAGCAGTTACAGCAGTGTAATTAATAGAGCAGTTAAAAAAGTTCTTCAACCTAAAACTGAAGAAATTCGTGAAAGATTGGATGAAGGCATCGACAAGAAAAATGATACTTTGAACCTTTTTTGTCAAGTGCCAGTTTCAATGGAAACTTCCGATACAAAAGATTCTACTTTCACTATAACAAATGATAAAAGCTCAAAAAAGGTAAAATTTTTGATTGATGAGAAGTCGTCAGAGTCAACTTCTCAGGATTTCTTAAGCAGCTCAGCATTTCAAGGAGTTAGCTCGATTATTTCAAGTGGAGAATCCAGTAATTATAAAAAACCCGAAGAAAGTAAGTTTTGTTTTCCTTTATTCTGAGTTTGTATAATTTTAACTTGAACTTTCACAGATAAAGTTCCTGAAAAAACTGAATCATCCGTCAGAGGAATAAAACGAACACGAACGCGTGACCTACCAAAATTTTTTAAACGATTGCAAAGATTTGATAGTCAATAATTCTCCAAAATTTATTGAAATAACGAAAAAAACATTTGAACGAATATCCAAAAAAAGTTTGTAAATGAAATGAAAAATTAATCTCCAGAATTTCTTAATTCTTCTTCTAAATTAATGTGACAAATGAAATTCTTCCAATCGATGAGACTTCCTTTGTCAGGTGCAAAGCCAACTTCTTGTTTCTATAAATAAAATGATTATAAATGTTACTGATGAAATGAAATTTAATAAAGTTTAAATTGATTGAAATACCTTTGGATTTACTGGCGGAATTGGCGGTGCTTTGCAGCTTTTCGCATCAATAAAATAGAAGAAATCTTTTAATTTAATCTCATGGCATTCATTTTGATTTAACACATCAAACATTTGTTGTATAATTGCGATGTCCAATGGAATGCGACATCCTCGGATGACAGTCAACAGCTTTTCTTTACTAATATATTCAATGTTATCCGGATTCAGGTGGAAGATTAACTCCTTGGTACGATCCATGTCATCCCACAATTCACGAATAATTTCAGCTTGAACAATTGAACGCAGATTAAGTCTTTGAGATTGAAGAGAATCTTCATCAATTTCAATAGCAAAGTAACGACAAAGTGTAACAATTTCATGTTCAACTATTTCATCATTCAAAAGATCTTTCAAGAAGTTTTTGAAGTCTTCATAGCAAATGAACTCGCCTTTCTCAGACACTTTCACCTTAGTCATAAATCTTGCGACAAAATCTTTATAGATAGGACGAAGTCTGTCACGAATTTTTGTAAGAATGATTGTTGGATGTGACAAAGGATACTAAAAAAGAATTTGGAAATTATAAGCGATTTAAGAATTTCCATTCTTACCAACTCCTTGTGATCTTCCATAAATTTTAATGCAAATAAATCTGCAGAAATAATTTTGAAAGAAAAGTTTCGCAAGTTCACTGTTGCCCCCAAGTAAAAGTCTTGACTTCTGTAAGCTATTGGACGGTCACTTGTGAACTTATCTTGACCAGGCAAGTAAAATTTTGATTTTCCAAAGAATTCTCCAGCACCAAATCCAAAGTTTCGACATGGAAGTTCATAAACTGATATCGTATCATTAGCTAAATGATAAGTTATGTTAAATCGACGATCATTATTTTCCCGAACATTTGAAATCATTTTTGCACCAAAACGAAGAACAAGTCTAAAAAGGAAATTTTTTATTCATAAATTAAATTGAAAAGATCAAATTCAACTCACTTATCATAAGATAGAAATTTCTTGAAGTCAATTTTCGGTGATTTTGGTTCAATGCCAAGACAGTTTCCTTCCGAATCCTCGTAAGATCCCCAACCATTGAATGGTGGCATCTCCTTTGAATCTTCATTAAGCTTCATACATTTTTGAGAATGTCTCGGAATAGGAATTGGTTGGAAGTCTTCAATTCCATATTTCTGTCGATAGAACTCTCTTGTAGACCCATCGCAATCTGTCAATTGAACGTTACGTCCAAAAACGTTGATAACTTTTCCAATTGCTAAATCATGTTCATTATAATAAGTTGAAGTTTCGTCATCAATCTTTATATCTAAACAATCACGAATGAAACGACCTTTCAATGAATCTCGACCGAGTATATTTAAAACTGTGAAATTATCTTCGCCAACGTCACGAATCTTGCACGCATACTGAAAAAATTTGATTGAGTTTCATTCAAAATTATCACTTCGAATCTTACCCTTGGAAGTTTTCCACGTTTTAAAAGCATTCCATTAGATTGACGACCAGAATTCAATGGCAGTTTCTCTTTTATTTCAAACGTATCATCAGCAAGATGATAAAGAACATCAAGCACGCGAATGTCGCCATTTTCCGATTTCGTGTCGTCCCAATAGCCGGAAAATCGCAAAACTTTTCTGTCGTTTTGGAGAAACTTTGCAAATTTGAAGTCTTTTGGGAATGGATGTTTTGGGATCATACTTTCCTTCTCTCTTCGTCGAAGTTCTGTTGTCGGATCAACGGGAATTTCTACCGATGCTGACACTGAAATTCCAAGTCGTTGAAGAAAATTTCTTGTAAACTTATCGCAATCTGTGATGTGATAAACACGATCGAGTAAACGTATCGTTTCATTGACATTCAAGTCAAGCAATGTGATATGTTCGGTATTGAAAGGTGCTGGTTTCATAATTCTTTGACGTGACACAAGACAACCATTGACAACTCCAGAATCACTGAGCGGTTCTATGATTTGAATGGTGTCGTCTTCAAGGAAGTAAATTAATTTGATTCTTCTGATCTGATAAGGAGTTCGAGTTTCAGGAAGAGTTTCCTTGAAGTATCCATAGAAACGTAACATTTTCTTTTCATAGACGCGCCATGACGGAATAAGAACTTTGTTGGTAGATCGTGGGTGGAGGTACTGCGAAGATCTTTCGAGACACATTGACGAACTTCCACTTCCCGACTGATTTTTCTGAATCAAAATGAATGAATGTTAAAATATCCAAAGATGAAATGAAATTTCTCAAATCACCTCCGACAAAAGTGGAACTTTATTAATGAAATCGAATTGATGTGATTTATGAAAACTTTTACGATGGAAAAGCTTTGGATAATCACCAATTAAAAGTGTTGATGAGAATGGAGTGCACTGAAACATTTTTTTAGCTACTCGAAGTTAACAGAAAATATAAAAAGAAATTTTCTAAATTTCCAACGATCAAACAAATTTGAAAAGTAAAAAATGTTTCCGAGGCGACTGAGTGACGTCGTCGTAAAATGTCCATGTGTTGTTTACAAACAAATCGATGAAAACATTTCGTGATATTTTAAAAATGAATTCTTACTTGAAAGAAACAAAGAAATTGTTGAGTGAAGAAAGAAAGCCGCTGATGGTTGTCATCGGTAATGAATCAGTTGATTTAGATTCAGCAGTGTCTTCTTTATCTCTTGCCTATCATTTAAATAAAGTAAAATGTAAATCAAAAATCATTTCAAATGAAAATAAATTGGAAAATTTCTTTGTTTTGCCGATAATTAATGCTAAGAAAGTTGAATTGCCGATTAAAACTGAAGTGACACATTGGATTATTAAAAACAACATCGAACTAAGCAATTTAATTTGTCGTGATGAGATTAACTTGGATGATGTTGATAAGTTCATTCTTGTCGATCATCATGTTTCTGTGTTTAGAGATAAAGTAATTTCAGTGTTGGATCATCGACCATTTGATAAAAATTCAAGCTTGGCAAGCAATTGTTTTTTTAAAATCCAAGAAGTTGGATCTTGTGCATCACTGGTGACTGAAGTGATTAAAAACGATGCTAATGAAGATTTGTCCGATTACTCTGAAGCATTGCAACTTTGTTATGGTGCGATTGTCCTCGATACAATTAATTTTAGTAAAGAAGCTGACAAAGTTCGTCAATTAGATTACGACATGGGCGAATACATCGAGAAAGCTTTAAATGTTAAAAATGTTTCTGAACATCGTAAAAGTTTATACGACGAACTTGTCGCTGCACGTGCTGATGTTTCATCATTAGATTCTTACCAAATTCTCTACAAAGATCTTAAAATAATTTCAAATGAAGATGGAAATGTGAAAGTTGCATTTCCAGGTGTTCACGTGTTCAAATATGTTAAGATGGAAAACGCAGCTGAAAATGTTAGAAAATTTGCAGAAGATGAGAAAATCGATGTTGTATTTATGATGGGAATGGCACCGAAAGCCGAATCCATTGAAAGATTCTTGGGCGTCATTAACATTAAGAATTCATCACTTTTCACTGCTGTAAGTTTAATTTTGCTTAAAATTGCATCAAATTTTTTATTTCTTTTTCAGATCCTCAATGCAATCAACGAAATGAAAGATCCAAACTTACAATTAACACCTAAAGATGTTGACTTCATGAGTGGATTATTCTACATGCAAGAAAACATAAAAGCAAGTCGGAAACAAATTCTTCCCGTCATTAAAAATCTTCTGAATCGTTTTTAGTCAATGAATTTAATTCTTTTGTTTAGTTAAAACGTCTATTAATAAACAATCCAAGTGATGTTAAAATTACCAATAAAATATTAAAGCTTTCAATGATTGAAGCGTCACTAAAATAGAAACTATCCCAAACATCCATTCTCACAGTGACTTCTGGAAGAACTCCAACAGTGTGTCCCGTTTCTCGAATATTCTTGCCATATAATGGCGGCATGTCGCCATCTGTTGATGGTTCCCAACCTGGATAAGCATCAGCGGAAAAGCTTGTGAAAATATCCAACATATCTTGAGTCACATTCCAAGCAGTTGAATTAAACTCCACCACTGGAGCAAAACTAACTTTGAACAAATGACACAATTCGTCCATATGAATTGGACTTCTATAAATTGGATTCACTAAGTTGAGTCTGCTGAAGCAGTTGTTATCAGTATTCGCATCGTATCTGTAGACAAATGAACGACCAGTTGCACCAGCTGCATTCGCTTCCCATCTTTGTTTCACAATTCGATGAACCGAATGCCAAAAAGCGAAATCCCCAGTCATCTTCAAAGAAGAATTTTAAATATAATAAATCCTTTTAATAAAATTATTTAATTACATAAATAAGTCCATCAGGATTGGTTGGCGTTGGTTGCAATAAACCATAATAAACTTCTTGTAATCTATCTCCATGATCTCTACGAACTTCAGCATCAAAGTTAAGATTTGACGGTACAAAAGTTGCAAAATCACTAAACTCATCAATTGCTCCGGGCACAAATTGAATGACATTCGCAAGTGCACCATTTTCAAATGAATTTGCGCCTATTAAAATGTCAATGTTATTTCCCCAACTATTCGGCGCTAAATTTTCAGGATGATCGAGAAGAAATGCATTTCCTGAGTCGTAAGGTTCGATTGTAGGTCCAAAAGCATTTAACAATCTCTCGTCATTTCGTTCTTCAGGCGTCATTAAAGTGGGAAGTACATTGAATATATCTTCGGGATCAGCAACTTCTAAAAATCTTAACACATCTCGATCATTTTCAGGGCCTGTGTAGTTTAAAGCACGACTCAATCTCAATGCCCAATTTCTTCTCGGAATCACAGCGTACATGTTATTGAAAGCGCTGCCAGCCATAATTATCGACCTTTGGAAAAGATCTTTAATCAAAATGAAGATTAGATAACTTACTCACATATTTCATCGTTTTCATTCATTTATTTTACCTCTTGAAGCGTCTGAGACTATGTGATAATGTGCGCACCCTCCACCTGTAATTAATCTTTTCATTAATTAACATACACGTGACATTTAAAATATTTCATTCACCCGATGACTGTCCGAAAATTGTAATGTTGGATGAGTCACCGCCAAACATTTCAATGTTTTCTTTAATCCATTTGAGTGCTAGAACTTGGTCTTTCATTCCAGCGTTTCCTGTTCATCAAATTATTAAACAATGAAAGTTATTTTAAATTTCCCTTACCTGGAATTTCAAGTTCGGGATCGTCTAAGCTGAGAAACCCAAAAGCATGTAAACGATAATTGAATGTCACTAAGATAATGTTTCGTTCGATGAAATAATCTGGACCGTAGAGTGCCGTCCCACCTGATCCAGTTCTATTGGATTATATATCGTTGATTATTTTATGAGATTTATTTAATTAAAATTACCTAAAACCACCACCATGAATCCAAACCATGACCGGATATTTGACAAGTGGATTTAGATTATTTGTATAAATGTTGATGTGCATTGAATCTAAATCACCCGAAAATACTCCACCCATAATTTCAAACGTTAAATCAATTTGTGGAAAACGCGGACCTTCTTGAGTTGCATCCAAAGGTGTTGTCCATGTATCAGGAACTTCTGCATTTGTAAACCGCCGCGTTCCAATTGGTGGTTTCATGTAAGGAATCCTTTGAAAGCTAAAATAATTTCTTCCAAGATCCGAGCTGAATTAAATTTAATTTAATTTATATTTAATCAATTAAATAATTTAAATCTCCTACACTCGATGTGCTCCTATTATTGGCCCATATTGAGTATTAACAACAACACTTTCAGATCCTATCACAAAGGCAAGGAATATTAAATATTTAAACATTTCAGAATTTAGAAATCGTTCTGCACAAATGAAAATACTAAATTCAAATGAAAAACATAAATTTTATTTTCCTTTAAAAGCTTATAATTCGTTATCATCAGATAAGAAAATTAATTAAGGTAAAGCTGTAGTAGAATTTTTTTTAAATAGAGATTTATGAAGAGAAAACAGGTTTAAGGTACTTTCAATTTTTTGATAAAAATATGCTAATCTCAAGTTATCTGAGTAAATGATAAGATTTCTGTTTTAGATATCTCTTAATCTTTATGGGGAAAATGTGAAGAAGTTAAATCCCAATTATTATTCCAATACAGAAATTTTACTTACATCTATCTAAAATATCAGAAAACAGTTAAAATTTAAAATTTTTAGGGGTATGTAAGTATGCTTATAAATAAAGTCTGCTTAGAAAAGATTCAGAATGCCCCTGAAGCATATGCAACGAAAATATTTGTTTATAAAAAATGTAAACAAATTTGCAAAAGAAACAAAATTTGTCAAATGTTATTGATCAAAACACTTAAATCATTTACTAACCATGGAAGAAAGTGATTCTGACACAGATTCACTGCAAATTGCTTTGGATGATGAGAAATTTTCTACAACAAACAAAAACACGGAAAATTTTCAATTCGATGGAACAATTCTAGATCGTACGGTTGAAAACACAATAGAAAAATGTGAAAACTTTACTCCTGAAGCAGCTAAGAAGATTCTACTTAAGTTGATCAAGAATGAGCACATATTAGCTCTCAGCCTTCTTAAAGCTGAAGAAGAAGCTAAATCAGAGAAATCATTGGAAAGTGAAGAAGATGACGACGAGGATGATGATGGAAAATCAGAAAACGACATCCCAGCACCACCAAAACTGACAAGATTGAAAGCTAAACAATTAAATCATCAACTTCCAGTACCTGGTTCTCTGAAGTCACCAGAACCATGTGAAGAAGTTGTTGCACTTATTCAGTCTGATCTTCCAAACGATGACGATGAGGATGAAGAATATCGACCATGCGACGAAGATGGATCTGATGACGATATAACAAATACAACACTTTCTGATATAGATTCTCAACCAAGTACGCCAGGAAGTGCTTTGTTTTACAATGAACAAGGATTTGACAGTCCGATCAAAGAAAATGAATTTAAAGTTCCCAAACCTAAGGAGTTGTCAATTGTAAGTTACAAACTTAATTATTATTAAGATTTAGCTTGATTTTTTAAATATTTCTTTAAAACACTCATAGGGAGAACAAGAAACAATTTCAAGAAGAACTCGTTCCAAATTTTGTCTTACAACAACGTCAATCGAAACAATTGAATCAACTTTTATACCGCCCGATATCACCACTGACATGTATGATTTGGATCAAGAAAATGAGATTGACAACGAATGGAAAGAGTTTCTTAATGAATTTATGATGCCACTGACAGATGCAGATGCAGATGATGACAAATCTGATCCTGAATATGTGGCAGCTGAGAAAGTTCCAATGGATAAAGAAGAATTGCGTCCGGTGCGTGTGTCAAAGAAAGAACTGAATCAACTTATATCTGAACTTCTTGAAGACACAGGATTGAATTTCGATAGTGATCCATCAACTTCCAATAAAAGAACTTCATTTGATGTCCAAACAAACAAAAATAAACGTCAACGTACCATTTCTCCAATTTCAACGAAGCCATCATCACCAAAAATTAGCTCAAGAATGTATTCTCCTGAAGAATTGCACACTCCGCCTAAATACAACTTTACATCAACTAATGTCAATGAACATGCATCACCAGCATATGAAAATAAAGATAATAATCGGCAGCAAGAAGAAGCGATTGAAATGTCTTCATTTTCATTACCTGCAAATCAACAAATTTTGCAGACACCTCAGCGGAATGTTTTACCAAAATCGACATCAGTTCAATCTTCTAATTTCTCACCTCATCCGATTTCATTACAACAACCACAACAAGTTTCAACTTCTGGAATTGTCGGATCAGTTCAAAATTTAACACAACAACAACCTCAGATACTTGTTGTTAATTCACAAAATCAACTGGAACTTTGTTCATCGTCAAGTCTCATCAATCAAGCTTTCTTCAATAATGGAGTGTATCAATTACCACAATTTCAGTCAGTTGTTGTTCAAGTCCCTACAATTGATCTTCTCCAGAATTCACTCAATTTATCTACAGCATCTACTGATGAGAATAAAGAAACATTTGAAACAATTGATGATGGTGAAGACTCTCCTGACAATTCACAAAATCTCACTGATGATAAAAAGAAGCAGCTAAAGGTTCCGAATCTTAGAGATAAACTTCTTGAATTTAAATATCTTGAAACATTACCACCACCTAAGGAAAAAACCTTTGATCCAAATATGAGAGGCTTCACATATGAACAAATGCAAATCTTCGAGCAACAAATGAGATTTCACGCACAATTTCTTACTCAACACTTTATTCAAGTTTACAAAACTCCAAAATGGAGCCACAAATCAATTTCACTCAAGCGACTTCTTCTCGAATTGAAGAATAAATGTTCAAATGTTTTTTCACAACCAACGTCTAAACACATTGATAACTGCCTTCAAACATGTGACATGTGGAGAAAGGAATTGGATGAAGATTCTGAAAGAAATAGAAAATATCAAGAACACTTAAGAAGCGAAAGTGATTTAGACGAAAAAACCTTAAAACAAAGTTTTCGTGGAAGATTCACTTATAGATTAATGGAATTTTTACTAAATAGCAATGCAATTATGTATCCCATGTTGCTACCGAAGATTCCATTTCGTGCCGTGACTTTGAAAGGTATCAAAATACCAAATTCTGAATTAAATCTTTTTGCTTTTGGATTAGAAAGATTTTTTGAAGAAGAAAGGAAGAAATTGAAGATACTTCATCCTCATAAAGTCAATGAATCAAAAATTAATAGAATATCGAAATGTATTTGGAGAGAATATCAAAGTAAAGATCCTGAATTTCCTAGATTTAGAGAAGAAAAAAGTGTGAACGACATTATTGAATACTACAGAAGGCACGAACGAATAAATCCAATTAAATATTATTTTATCAACAAAAGAGCGCCTGGATATAATCCCACAATTGAAAATGTTGATATTAACAATGTTAAGGCACCGAAGTATTTGAGAAGAGGTTTACTGCCGAAGACTTGGGACGCTTACATGTTTTCATACGAAAGAGTGAGTATTATAAATATTAACGAACGTTTAAAATTCAAATTTAAATTTTGTCTCCTCAGTTTTGTTTACAAAATTTTCAAAGATTTAAATAGAAAATTCCTTATTAGATTAGATATTTATCACAGATTTTAAATGAAAATTTAATTAATTCAACAGCTTAAAGTTCATCCTTACCATCCTGATGAAGAAGATTTAGATCAAGACATCAGTATAATCGAGGAAAAGGAAAAAGAACATTTTCAATCAACATCGGAAGAAATCACACAGAATCGTTCAGTTTTTGTAGACGAATCATATCAAATTGAAATAGTTTACGATCAAATCCCCAAAATCAACATATGCTTTGCTACAGATAACTTAAAAACTTCGGATAACTGTGACGATATTAGTTTGTCAAACAATAATAGTCCATCAGAGAAAGTTTCTTGTGTTAAATTGTTAAGTCCAATTAAGACTCGTCAAAAGACTATTGAAGAGAAACAAACCAATTTAACATCAATTCTTAAAAAGGTTTCAGATAATTTAGATAAACCATCAAGTAAAAAGAAGTCTGTCAATTTTTTCCTTCCACACCCACCCCCAGAACGAGAGCACTCATCAGGATTTGCTGAAAGGTTGAAAATATTACAGAGTAATATAAACACATTTCAATTGACTCAAAAGTTTTTCATCGTTGTTGAAAGCTTCTTTAGCAATTACACTAAAAAATTGAAATTTCTTAATGAAAGTTTTCCAATTCTCAAAAGATTCTTTTATTGGACAAAAACATTTGATATTTACTTAAAGTTGATAAAGATTTCTTTAAAAATGTCAAAGAAACGACAACAAGATTCAATTCTTGGAAGTGGACTAGAGTCAGCTACAAAGTATAAAAAAAATGTTGCATCCAGTGAAGAATATTCAAAAAAGTTGAATCGCAAGTTGACTGAAAATCGAAACTTGATCATGAAAAATAATCGCAACAAGTGTACAATTGAAAAAGATTGCTCATATTCATACAATTATCTTGATAAAATCAAAGAAACCTTATTGGAGAATGGCGATGAAGAGTTGTACGGTGAATTTATGTCGATGCTTACATCATTTGATCCTGAAATTGAGTCAGTTCCAGAACTTTATTACGTGAGTTTTAATCATTTATAATCACACTGTAATTCTTATTAATTAAACATTTTTCTTCCACAGAAAATCGAAAGACTTCTGTCGCCAAATTATGCTGATTTAGTTGATTTATTTCTCACGTTTTTGCTACCTGAACATGCAGTTGAGATTGGAAAGTTTTTTGAACATTTCGTTTTGAACAATATGAAAGATCTTCTTGAGAAGCTCAACATACAATTTGCTAAACAACCGTCGCATATAAAGAAAATTTTGGCTTGTCTGGATGAACTTTCCAATGAATCTGAAGTTACAATCGAGCATCTCAAAACGAGAATCCTTCCACTTTTGAAAGGAAATGATCTGCTTCATGACTGGTTTATGGAATTGTTTGAGAAGCCAACTGAAAGTGTAATTGATGAGTACGAGTCAGTTTATATTAAGAAATCCTTGAGTGACAGTGAAAGTTCGATTGATAATTACGAAGAAATTCATTCAAATGAATTAATCGAATGCGAAAACTTTGACGATTTGAATTCTTGTGGAGTCAAGTACAAGAATGGTAAACTGATGTATCATGGAACACTTTTACCTGCAAAAATCTCATTCTTGGCAAATGACGCGCGATCTTATTCATCTAAGAATCCATCGGAAGAGTCGCTTTGTTCACATGAAATTCGAAAGTATGTGAAATTTAATGATTCAAAGAAATCAGAAAATGAAATTGAAATAAATAAAAAAGAATCGAAGAGAAAAGGAAAACGATACAAGTTGTGTGATCCGCAAACACTTCATGCACATGCTATTCGTTTGAATCCATCAGCTGCTCAAAGCAACGACAAACTTTCGGAATTAGCTCAACTTTTAGTTCCACCAAGTTCAGCGCATAGAACGAGTGACGGTTCTCCAAGAAAGCCTAGAAACAGTAAAAAATCTGGAACGTCTCCACAGAAGAATCTCAACAAGTCACCTTCATCAAATTCAAGTCAATCAGCCAACATTTCCCCATCATCTCTTTCTCCATCGAAAGCTCTTCAAAGCACAAAACGATTGAAGAATTTAATTGAAGATTCAAGTGAAGAACCTTCACCGAAAAAATCTGCTGTTGTCGTGGTTAAAACTCTTGATAAAATCAATCGAAAAGCAAGTCCTAAAATTGATAGACGATGTGATTCACCATTGACATCGAAGAAATCTGATACTGAAACAATCATAAATAAACCAGAAACTTCTAGTAACAAACGTGGATCTGGTGAATGGACTCGTGATGAAGATCGACTGATTTTAGAAGAATATAAAGTCGGATATAAGAATAAAGAAGATTTGATTAACGTTTTACACTCGAAATTGAACAGAACTCGTTCAGAAATCTTCGATCGTTATGATTTTCTTCTTGAAATTGTCATGATGATGAAAACTGACTAGTTTTAAGATAATTTATCAAAAATGATTAAAAATAAAAAGATAAAATTTAATTAACGTCGTTTTATGTTATAACTTTCAAATTGAATGATGTTCGTTATTTTGGATTTGGTATTGTCGTTATTTCAAATTCTTTTGACCCCTCATCAAAGTCAAATCAAAACGCTTGAAGTGTGTGAGCGACATTTAAATTTTGTTTTCTTCACCACGTTTAATCAAATTCTTTACTATTTTTTAATAAATTTAAGTTTCCTGATAAATTCAACATGATTGTTGTGCCAAATGAAGTAAGTTATGAAATTTCAAAGCATCTTCAATCTTATCAACCATTTATAAAATGATTTCTTCATCAGGTGAAATGTAATTTCTGTTCAAGAATATTTTGTTGCTGCCATTGTCGTGAGAAACATGAACTTAAAATGCATCAAATGGCATTACTTGAAAACTATATTAAAAGTCTTTGTGTGTTGTGCAATGAGCAGAATCTTCCACTGGGAAGTAAATACAAATTGGAAGATGATCAAGTTGCGAAGCACGTTGCCGACAATCATCTGCCATTGAAATGCAATAAATGTTCAGAAGTTTTCGAAACATTTGAATCTTTAATAAACATTGGAAAGTGTTGTGCACCACATACCAATGTTATTGAAGTTGATGACCAAGAGATCATTGAAATACTTTCTTCTGACAAAATTGTTGAAGAGAAAATTCCGTGCTCTAAAACTCAAATCGATGTAAATGTGAAAGAATTGATAATTGTTGAAGATACAGTGCAAGATGAAGTAAATAAACGACCAATTATAACAACAAACAACCAAAAGGAAAGATACTGGAAAAATGATGAAATAAAAACTTCAGAACTTCAAGTTACGCATGAATACAAAGAAGAAGTTGGAAGTCTCGCCAGACAAACATCAACACCGATGGAAAATAAACTTTTAACTAAAAAATATTTCACAGATTCTTACAGTTCTTCATCTATTCAAATTTCAAGCATTAACTCAACTGATAGCACTTCGAGTGGATCGGACGCTTGTTCACCACCAATATCAACACCTTACAATCATTTCAAGACGCCACCATCACCGAAAATACAAAAATCTCTCTCTCAAGGACGAAAACTTCCACCTCATGCGACACCATTACGACAGGTCATGTCCAAAAGTATTCAACGTGCAATCGCTCAACATGGAGATTATCGTAAAACTCCTTTTGCCTTGCAGCAACGTAAAATGTCATTTAATTCGTCTTCAAGTGGCAGCGAACAATCATTGAGTTTAATGAAATTTACAAACGAGTCAAGTTGTCCACTAGACTTACGATTGTCACCAGCATTGCGACGTGTACAAGAAGAAGTCATTGTTGAAGTTGATCGCGAGGTAAATGGAGAATCAGAAAATAATTGCCAAGCTAATCGTTTCAAATTTGAGCGAATTGAAATGGTCATCACACGTGGAGAAATAAAAAGTGACAGCACAACTTCACAATTCAAGTCTTGCATGTCTGACACAAGACGATCTGGGTCAATGCCTGACATTCATTACACGCCAAAAAATGTTGGACAACATATGCTTAAGAAGACAATTTCATTTGAAACACCAGCGGTCATTGAACAGACGCCAGGATTTCTTTTGCCAAACAATAATGATGATGGTGATGACGACGTCTTCTACACACCACGTGCTACTCCTCAAAGAGTTTCTCAACCAAATCGCTCGAACTTCGATGATCTTGAAAGTATTGAAGAACAGGAAAATAAAGAAGAAATAAAAGCAGAAGCTCCAAATAAACGTACGAATCTCTGGAATATCGTTTCATCCGTGATAAGTTTTGGACAGCGAAAAAGCAGCAGCAACTCAGAATCTTCAAGTAACAATGAAAATATGTGGAAATTTAGTTTCAAAAAGCCAGAATTTGTAAGAAACTTTTTCAATACAAAAAGAAATGATCACGAAGAAAATCCAATGAAGAGACGACGAACAAGTTCAAACAGCGGGACCAGAACAGGGTCTCAATCATCACCAGCTACAAAACGACAGAAAATTCAATCGAGAAAGCCAATCGAACGCATGAGAAAACTCAATTAAATTTTACTTTTTATTCTTTTTCATTTTTTCTTATACACAAAATAATTCGATAAAAAAAATTGTCTTTGCGTTTTAGAGGTAAATTCTTCTTAAATCAGCTGCTGATGTTATCATGTTACATTGAGGACAAAGCTTTCGACATCCGAGTGTGTAAAGCCAACACTCCTCACAATGTACATGCCAACAACAGATTGACACGACGGGATTCTTAAAATCATCGAGACAAATCAAACATTTTGGCTTGTTTCGAATAAACTTTTCATATTCGCGAATTCGCCCCTTGAGGCTTTCAATAATTTGATGACTGTTGGAATGATCATCCATTGTTATTTTGTTGTCTAAGTCGTTCTTTTCAGATGTCGGTGAAGCTGATGGTGAGACGCTATTAGCAACGTTTTGATTATTTTCTTCTCGAGTTTCAGTTGTAGCTGAAGTTGATGGAGTACTTTCACCTATTACGAGATCTCTTAGTCTTTGGTCGTCTTTATTAAGCAGAATTATGTCACGTTCACTATATTGAGCGGATCCATAGAGTTGCGTGTCATCATCACCATCAATGTTGACTTCAGTGTCTTCATCTTCATTTGATTTTGTTAAACATGTCCCAATTCCTGCAGAAGATAAGCCACCTTCAATGAGTGTTGTTGCTCTGACTCTCGTTTGTCCACACCAACTGTAAGTTTCGCCAACATCAATTTCATCATCAGATTCATCGGAAGTGTTTTCTTGTTTCTTCAAACACAACTCAACATGCAACTGCAAATCTTCTGTTATGATTTTTGAACATATTGGACATGCACGATCCTCAATTTTTCTCTTACGAGTTTTTATCTGAAATTGATAAATTTAATTGAGTTTTAAAAGTTTCATAAAGATTCTTACTTTTGAATTTCTCCGAACACGATTTTCTTTAATTTTCTGATAAGTTTCCCAGCAATTCTCATCGGAATCATTTTTAGTTGCATTACTGCTCTCTCCTATCTTGCTTTTTGATGTTCCAGGTGGTGTAGTCGAAGGACTTTTATTGATCATTTTCTTAATCTTATTTAGCTTTTCAAGTTCACTTTTGAAATGATAGTCAAGCTCATTTTCACGAATTGTTATACCACAAACTGGACATGTTACAGGATCAAGCGATGTCCTTTTTCGATGTCGTTTTTCTTCAGGCTCTCTAGAGTCTGTAATGTTTTCCATCCTCCTAATAAAATATAAAATTTGAAATGTTTTTCGCGACTACAATTTATTATGAAAACAAAACATGAGCCACTTACACTTTGATCATTTACAGCAGTACTAACATTATTGCAACTATTTTACACAATATCGTATAAAGTTGAATAAAAAACAAATCGTATAAAATTGTATTCTTAACAAAAGAAAAAACTTGAGCGCATAAATTTATAGAAGCTAACAATTGGTAAGAAAAAGTAAAGACAAAATTACTTAAGAAATATTCTAAGTGTTTAATTTAATAGTTAAGACCTTATTCAACTAAAAAAATTATCAGGTGAGGTGAATGAATGCATGGATATAAAATAAATTGCGCAAATATTCTTTAGAATTTCTGTTAACCTTCAAATTCCGTTGGATGGAAGCCACAAAACAAAAAAAAATATTAAAAGAATTTCATAATTTAACGTTATCATCCCTCTCTCCTATTACGTTTAGTATTCGAAATGGCTAAAGCTAAAGCTCAAAAGGCAAAAACAGAAGTGAAAGAAGTTGTATCAGAGCCAAAAGTAGAATCTTCAAAAGAACCGGCACCAGCAAAAATTCGCCGTACAAATATAATCGAAATTCCGATTCCATCATTGTCTCAACAAAGTGGAAATTTATTAGTTTGTGGTCAAAATGATGTTGGACAATTGGGTCTCAATACAGACGATGTCATGGAGAAAACTCGTCCTTCTTTAGTGTCTGAATTAAGCAACATTTCTGACGTCAAAGCTGGCGGTATGCATAGTCTCGTTCTGACAAAAGGCGGCGAAATTTGGTCATTTGGATGCAATGATGAAGGCGCTTTAGGCAGAGACACAGAAGAGGAAGGTTCAGAAACAAAACCTAAAAAGATTGAATTACCAGGAAAAGCCGTTAAAATTTCCGCAGGTGATTCACATTCGGCTTGTTTACTTGATGATGGACGTGTCTATGCCTGGGGAGCTTTTCGAGTAAGTAAACTTAAATATTTGTTATTAAATTCACATTAATTATGTATTTATTAGGATTCACATGGTTCGATGGGCTTAACGACAGAAGGAAACAAGAAATCTCCTGTTCATGTTGTTCCAGAAGTTGTTGCTGTCGACATTGCATCGGGCAATGATCATCTTGTCATTTTAACAAAAAATGGCCATGTTTATACAATTGGATGTGGTGAACAAGGACAATTGGGTCGTGTTTCACCTCGAACCTTAACTGGCGAATCACGTCGTGGTAAGACAACTCTTCTCAATCCAGGCTGCATTCCAAAGAAAGCAGGAAAGTTCATAGCAAATGCCATTTGGGCCACTCCATTTTGCACATTTTTGCGTGAGAACAAAAGCAATAATGTTTATGGATTCGGATTAAACAATTACTGTCAATTGGGAGTGAAGAAAGGTGGAAAGGAATTTGAACACTTTCCACTGATGACGAAGTTTTCAGATGTTAAAGCACTTGCTGGAGGTCAACATCACACAATCATTTTAACTAACGATAACAAAGTTTATGCAATTGGACGAAAAGATTACGGGCGTCTTGGACTTGGATCTGTTGAAAGCGATATTAAAGAACTTGCACATGTTAAAGGTTTGACGGACATTCATCAGATCACATGCGGCGAAGCAAGTTCATTCGCAATCACAAATAATGGAAAAGTTTATGTTTGGGGAATGGGATCGAGTTCACAATTAGGAACTGGAGATGAAGACGATGTTGAGTCACCAAAACTTCTTGCAAGTGCTCAAGTCAAAGATAAAAACATTTTGTCAGTCAGCAGTGGAGGACAACATTCACTGTTCCTTGTTGAAGCTCCTGGATCAACAGCAGCTAAATCGGTAGCTATCAAAGAAACAGTTCCAGTAAATGCTCAAAATGAAGATCCACCCATCACTACCATACCTGAACCTGTTAAAGCACCAAGAGGAAACAGCAAAGAAAAAAAGGAATCAGCAAAAGTTGTTAAAGCAGGAAATAAGAAAAAAGCATTATCGGTCGTCAAAGATAAAGAATCAACAACAGATGTCAATGGAAACTCGGAAAAAGATGAACCAATGGATGTTGACGTTGCTGTGACTAAAGTAGCTAGAAAACGAAAAGCAATTCACCAATAATTAGCTCAATTCAAATCTTTTCTTTCATCTTTGAACCTTTTCTTCTAATTCATATTTAAGTATCTGATGAATTTAAAAACCAAAACTTGTTAAATTTTTCTATTTCCTTAAACTCATAAACATTTAATTGTCATAGGAATCCTTTTAAGCTAAAGGATTCGCTCTTAAAAACAATTAACATTAACAAGACTCTAAATTGTCTTTATTTCAATTTTTCGATGACCTTCCTCCACGTGTATAAAACGAAATTGTTTAGTTATGGTGTGCCATAATTTCTTAAATATCTGAATACGATGGAGAATTTATTGAATTTTTGTTTTCATTTCTTAATTTTTTCTTTCTATTAAAAATGTTAGTTTTACTTTTAAGTTACTTTGATATCAATAAAAACATTTTTGTTCTCTTTTGTGGTAAAGAATAAATGATTTTTGTAATGAAGTCATTGATTAAAGATTTCCATTCAATAGGAATGGAAATGAGTTGAAAATTTTCAGAGAATTTCGAAAAAAATTTATGATGAATTTTTTAAATCAGATACTGAAATGGCAATTAAAATAATTTAATTAAATTGCAAAACTTTTCATTCAAAAACATTTATTTCGGAATTATAAATCATTTCATTTTATCAAAATTTATATTTGACATCAAATTTTTCAAGTCATTCTCATTTCAATGTTGTCGTCAGCATCATCAGCAACTTGATGAATGTTTATTAAATGAAGTCTTAATTTAGATTTATTTTGGATTTTAATATTGCAAATCCGACAAACTTCTGATGACGGGACAATGTTTTTGTGTTGTTTCTTAATGTGCAAATCCATTCCCCATTTCTGTGAAAAACGCTTGCCAGGACAGTGCGGACATTCAAAGATCTTTTCGCCAGTATGAACACGGAGATGTCTGAAGAAAGTCATTGAAGAAATTATTCAAATTAGTCAAATAATTCTACTTACATCACTAATTTATTTTTCGCTCGGAATTTCTTTGAGCATCCTTCATGAGTACAGGGGAATGGTCTGACATCATCATGTGCCAGCATATGCATTTCAAAAGATTTCTTATGTGCGAATGTCTTTCCACACCTTGAAAAAGATTGAATTAAGGAATGAAATTTGATAAAATAAAATAAAAAATCCTCACTTTCCACACAGCAAATTTCTTTCAAGGGTGTGAGTATAAAAGTGACTTCGGAGTGCTGCCGTGTCTTGATATGTCTTGAAACAAATTGGACAATCAACCGATCCTTGCGCTCTTCCATGATCAGTGGCTAAATGCAAATGTAATGTTGATTGATTTTTAAAGCTCCTTGCACATTTCTCGCAATATAATTCTTTGTCTTTTGGTCTATGCGACGTCATATGCCGATGAAGTCTTGTACGATTAGTGAATCGGAATCCACAAATGGGACAATCAGTGTATCCATTCTCTCTAATTTCTTTCTCCAATTCTCTATCTGATTCTGATTTCATGACAACATCAGAACCAAAAGCTTTTTGAAACGTATCTAAACCATGTTTTATTCCATTAGCTGCCATAGTTTCGAGAAAACTTTCGTCAACAGTTTTTCGGTTCAATTTTGGTTTCTGGTTTTGATTTTCATTTTTTTCTTTCTTATCTTGTCTTGAACATTCTGCTTCATTGTATCCAAATGCGTGTTGAAATGCTTCAAGGCCATAGTCAATTCCTTGTTTATTTGCTTCCTCCAAGAATTCTGTCGATATTTTCTCATTGCATTCTTCAATCTTGTCTCTCGGCTCTTTTCTTTCACCAACTGCTGGTTTTGGTCTTGTTGATCGACATTTGTTCAGTAAATCGATTTCATTCTCAGAAAAGAAAGTTCGTTGAAAGATTTCATAATTATAATTGATTCCTTTCTTGCGAGCTTCTTTCTTAAAATTTTCAGATATTTTCGAGGAGTCAATATGAAATTTCTTCACAGGTGAGGAATGATCATGATTTAGAAGAGTTCTTAATGAACTAAAANATAAAAAAATTCTTCGATTGCCGGCCTTCGGCTATCACTCAACTATTTTATGCCGGTTACGGCTTTAAATGTGTTTTTTTTTAAGACTATTATCTGCCGGTCTGCGGCTTTTAAATTTTAATTTTTTAATTTTCTTAAAAAATATGACTATTTTCTGCCGGTCACGGCTTTTAAAAGTTTATTGGGTCTTTCCTTGTCACCACAATTGGGTTCTGTGCGCTGCCACCAATGTACCAGGCTGGTATCTAGCGCTATCATAAGGAAAGACCCGAATAAACTTAAATTAAGTTTGAAGCAAAGTGCTTCGCTCGGGCGTCAAAATCTGACTGCGTACACCTGAACTTTAGTTCAGTCTTTTCCCGCACGCAGCGCTCCTACATCCCTTAACAAGTTTTTATAAATTTAATTTTTACAAATTTTTATAAATTTAGTGATGGAACTAAACGTCTTGTTAAACTTTTAATGACACGATGTGCGATATTCTCACGAAGAACTGTTAATTGACGAATGGGTTGGACTTCAACTTCCATTTCTTCCTCTTCATCTTCATTATCTTCGTCTTCTTCTCTTGTACGATTGAAAGTCTTGTACGATTAGTGAATCGGAATCCACAAATGGGGCAATCAGTGTATCCATTCTCTCTAGTTTCTTTCTCCAATTCTCTATCTGATTCTGATTTCATGACAACATCAGAACCAAAAGCTTTTTGAAATGTATCTAAACCATATTTTATTCCATCAGCTGCCATAGTTTCGAGAAAACTTTCATCAACAGTTTTTCGGTTCAATTTTGGTTTCTGGTTTTGATTTTCATTTTTTTCTTTCTTATCTTGTCTTGAACATTCTGCTTCATTGTATCCAAATGCGTGTTGAAATGCTTCAAGGCCATAGTCAATTCCTTGTTTATTTGCTTCCTCCAAGAATTCTGTCGATATTTTCTCATTGCATTCTTCAATCTTGTCTCTCGGCTCTTTTCTTTCACCAACTGCTGGTTTTGGTCTTGTTGATCGACATTTGTTCAGTAAATCGATTTCATTCTCAGAAAAGAAAGTTCGTTGAAAGATTTCATAATTATAATTGATTCCTTTCTTGCGAGCTTCTTTCTTAAAATTTTCAGATATTTTCGAGGAGTCAATATGAAATTTCTTCACAGGTGAGGAATGATCATGATTTAGAAGAGTTCTTAATGAACTAAAAATCTTATTGCACTTTTTACATTTAAGGCAATCTTTGTTTTCCCCGTTTTCAAAATCTAGGACCAAATCAGGATCTTCTTTCTTGACTTTAAGTTTATTTTTCGAATGAGTTTTGTTATAAAGCTCGATCATTTTGTTTTGAATTTTTTCAGATTCTTTTTGCAGCTCGTCATATTTCTGGATTGAAATGAAACAGCTTTGACAGATATTGGCATCATCCTTCATATGTGATTCTATCAGCTTTCCAGTGAAACATTCTATGTAAACAATATTTAACGTTTATTATGATATAAAGGATTATTAATTATGTTAACTCACCTATTGTCTCATAGACGAAAGTTTTTGTGTAATCAGTAACAGTCATTAAACTATTACGATATGGACCGAGAGGATCATCACATAAGTAACAATTGTTAATATCGAAAGTATCTCCGCCCGCATATTTTTTTTTCAAAGCCATCATTTCTTCTTTTGTAGTTGAATTAAACATTTTGGCTGGTTTTTTGATTTCATTCATCTTCACCTTTTTTATGTAATTTCTGCTGAAGTCCTGAAATTTTCAATGAATAAATTTATTATTTCTATTCGTAAGAAGAGCCATTTGTCAGTAGGATGAAATCTAGTGTTTCATGAATTATCCCAAACT